ACAATATAAGCTCACATTAACTATTAACATAATTTTAAATTCTATGGCTGTTCTCTGGTGGTTTTAGCCTCCCTCCCAGCTTGTAATCTGCAATTCAATAAGCACAAAAGTTTGTTAATCAAGATTGTGCTGGACAGGACTTTCTAGAATCTGTACCGAGTACTTGATACCTGACCTTGCTTACCTTCTGGAGGTGGTTTTCCAGCTAATTTTACTCACTGTACAGTAGTTTCTATATCATAATTCCCTAGCTTGTTAATAAGAATATCATGTGAATATTGAGGACTCTGATATATCAACATACTAACATTACATCATCTCTCTGCACCACAAGACCTGTCACTCCATCACAGAAGAAGTAGAAATGCTGGATTTAAAATAATTTATCCTGGGTAAGTCCATTTTGGCTGTTGCTCAATTTCTTTTTCTAGACACCAAAAATGTGATTCATTAGGGATCCAGTATTTTTTCTTTGAGCTAAAGTTAAAATCCACCAGTTTCCTCCTCATCCCATCCCCCTTAGCCAATACCGAAGAGGTATGCACCATTATTCTCTTTGAGTCTACTATTTCCTCCACTATCAGGTCTGAGATTGCTTCAGCTAGTTTTTTGGGGATTTTGTGGTTTTGTTTTTATTTAAAGCACCCCAGAATGAATTTCATCAGGCCCCACCCCATTGAAAAATCTGTTGCTTATCCAAGCAACCTACAGTTTTTTCCTCCTAGTCTAGGACAAGTACTGTTTATGCTTTTATCATGGCTATTAACTACACTGGCTGGATTAACCATTTCAGAGAACATTTCAATCACCTCAGCATTAGTTGTTAATCCATCAGTCTGTGGATCTTTTATTTCTTGCTTTCTTCCAATATCCCTTTTAGCTACATCTCATTATGTATTTGACTGTCCCAGTTTTGTTCATGCATCTTCATGTGCATCTTCAGCAACATACAGTTTCCTGTTTTCTGTTTCCTTCTTGTGTTTACATCAATAGGGAGCAAAGTTCTTTTTTCATGATGAATTTTCCCCTTCAATGAAAGTGCTTGGTACTATCACATTATTTCTCAATGAGGTTGAGAGCAATTTCTTTCGTCCTTATACTTCCCCCCCAGTCAAGCTTTATATGCGAAATTCTAAGCTTTTTGACATTTGTGGGTTTAATTCTACTGTTTGGTCATCTTTTATCCTGTGTAGGCTAACATCTTCTGCAGAACCTGCCTCCCATCTAGGCGTTCTCTTCATTAATCTAAAAGACTATTTCTATGAATTTACATACCTCAGCAGAGCAGTATGTTCTGCTCAGTCTTCTCCAAAGACACTGGATGGTTATCAGAGATTTTAACTAGCAAATCTCATACTTTCAATGGTTCTTCTCCAGCTTCCAACATACACCTTGTCTTTATATTCCTGTCACATATATCTAATTGACCTGATTGAAACTGGGCAGAATACTTTGGATGATCACGCGTTAGGACTTTCCACTGCTGTTCACTCCCCAGTATGTTTGTGTTGGCGCACAGACCAGCACACTAGGTGGAATGACCTGCTGTTCTGCAAGGTCATAAGCAATATGCAAAAATTATTTTTTGCAATATACACGAAATACCACATACGCAAGAATTTATCTAAGCTATGATATATTTCAAGGTTTATCTCAAAAACCACTTAAATATTTTCCATACGCAAACATTGAAACTCTTTTCACTTGGCTAAAGCATTGCAATTTAAATATCTTTAAAATATTCAAAAATATATATGGCAAAGTGACTTTAACAACCTTGCTTTTATTAATAAAAGCAAGAAAGTCTTAATTAGAAAAATGGGGGCCAGTTTGCTGATACTGTCTTTGTAAGAATTCTTACAAAACCAACTTGTCTAATCTAAATAAGCAATTAGATATATTCTTTTATGCTAAAAAGATACACATAGTATATATAAATACATATATAGCCTACAATAAGAAATTAATTATCCTGAATATAAGTCAAATTAATAGGAATTTACATTATTTATTTTTCTAGATTCAGATACAAGCAATGCTATTTATTAATAATAGCATTAGTAATACTATTTATTCATATTTATTAATAGCACAGAAGAAAGTTGCACACTTAGGATTCCACCATATTTCAGAGGAATTTTCCTTCAGAAAAAAAAAAAAGAAAAGGAGACTATAACAAAGGCGGGCTCAGAGGGATGCCATGCTGACACAGGCTGCTGCCAAGCCTGCAGCTTACACCAGCCATATAATGCATTCTACCAACTTGCTCCAGACACAAAGCTGCAAAAACACCAGCAGCATAATTGCTCATGCCTAAATATTTGTTGATTACCCCAACAGGCAAGAGGGCACTAGTCCCAGAAAAAAATAGCTATCAGACCACATAGAAAATTCAAATTTTTAATTTCCTCACGGACCTATCCTGGATGCAGGGCAGAAAGATGAAGAAAGCACATTTTACAACTCTGTTTCACTGAGGGGGAGAGGGGGCAAGAGTCCACACTCAGACTACTAGTCTGAGTTGGACCATCACACAGGAGAGGGAAGAAGGACAGCACCAGTTCCCAAGAGAACCTTTGGGCACAAAGTTGCCTTCTCCTACCCTGGGCTCTGTGTCCTTTAAGAACTTGGCAGAGAATAAGGCTTAGATGGCATAATGGTACATATTGCTGTGGAGTTAAAGAAAGATTGTTTCATATCCCAAAACAGGGAGATAAAGTATTACAAGCGAGTCCTTTCAGTACTGATAGTGTTCTGAATAGGATTTCACATTTTTATAATGTTATTAAGCTACTTACCTTTAGAATTACTGCTGAAAGCCATGAGTTCTATGGGATAATTATATTTAATTTAATAATTTGCTTTATCTGCCATCTTCATTGCAGAGATTTAAGTAAAATTCCTCTTGGCCATGAAATCAACAGAAAACCATTTCATGCCTGACAATAGTCTGCAGCATCCAAAATGGAATACTTGGATTAGATTATTTCTTCCACAAAAGCGGATCCAAAGATTACAATGCAAATTTTCATTTATGAGTACAGTCATAAGAACTACAACTTGCCACTCTACATTCATACAGTACTTCTCTCTTAGATCTTCTTCCTAAGAAGAAAAGCTACAAAAGCAGTTTTAAATATTTTCTTAAAGTAACATTGTATTTGATTTTACTTTAACTTGTTGTTGCACCTTTAGTGCAGCTGGTGTGTATACACTTGGTTTCATATCTGTTATGTCTTTCACATCTATTTTTATTAATCAAGTCAGCTACCACCGTGGAACTTGAGCTTGCATTTGCTGTATCAGGATAGATTTATTTTCTGCTAGAACATTTTGGCCTATTTAAAAAAGTTAGTAACAAAGTTTCTAAACAAGACTAATAGCAGAACATGCCAATAACATAATATATAAAAACCTAAAAGGGAGTCATCAGACCATGTATTCTGACCTCCTCCAAGACTTAGGTGAGAGATCACCACCTGTTTGGCCTTTGAATAGCCTCTGATAACTTGTGACTGATAAAAGCAAGTCTTCCCTTAGCACTCTGTTCAGGGACTCATCATTCTCACTGGTAATGGTCTGTCTCACTTCTCATTCGAATCTTTAACAGGGAAAATGCTGATGCAAAGATGCATTGTTGTTTTCAACTTAATATTCAAGTTGGTAGGGTTTCATTGGGTTTGTTTGTTTGTTTCATTGCTTTGGGCTTTTAAAAGAAAAGCAGTATAGCTGTCAAGCCTTTCACATAGATCATTATGTTGTATTTATAGCTTCAACTGGCAAAATCTGTTTTGAGAAAAATGCACCATACAGCCCAAACTGTTTAAAATAAATTAAGTTATACTGTATTTATCACATTGCATACTATTGAGAAGTTATAGAGAATAAACAAAGCCCCTCTCTGCTTGAATAATCCAAGCCCAGAATTCCTCTGAACCATTTTAGAGTAGGACTGAGCAAAAATGGACCTATATATAAGTTCCTCTAAAATATATACATACATATAATATATATAATATATATGTGTGTATTGCATATATTATAATATATATACATATGTTTTTATAGATATGTTATTTTTCCCCTAGATTCCCCTATATTAAACCTACTAATGGTCAGGAAGAAAAAAAACACAATAGTGGGAATCAGCTAACTCCAACCATAGCTCTATGTATTCACTTGTGATTAAAAGAAATACCTTAATTTCCTTTTCCTACTCTGCAGCAAGTAATATTTTTAGCATTGCTGCTGGACTCATTGATACAAGCCCTGCACAAAAACTTTAGGTGAGCAAGAGAATTGCAATGTAACTATAATTAGACTGTAACAGTGGAAGAGTACAAAGTAACATTTATTTCTGTTAGCATAAAAGGTCAGTAGATGTAATCCTCTGTTGGCTAGACCCTCTACGAGCTATAAAAAATAGTTTGGATATCACAGATGCCAGTGGAAAAACTATTTACCAACAAAAAGGGAATTCTGACAGGCTCTGCTTTATGACTCTTGAAGCTCATGCAGCTTTTAAAAGCTAAAACACTTGCCATACCGATTTATACGTTTAATTGGCAGCCCTGCCTGTTTACCCCCAAATCTTTCCTACTTTTGTATTGAAGCAAACGGGGTAATATCGCGGCACCGGCCTTACAGACCAAAAAACTAGAGCATTAAGCACTTCCTTCGGGATGGCCCCCAACGACTTGCCAGCCGGTCCATCGCCGGACTGAACTCTTTGGGTTTGGTTTGGTTTTTTTCCCCCTTTGCCTTTTAATACCGCTTTTCCCAAATGTTTCTTCCCGAGGGGCGGGGGAGTATTTAGCATGTATTACGGGAGGACTAAACCCGATCAGCCGGGGGATGGTGCCCACCCCCTTGCACGGCTGGAAATCGAGGGTGCCCTTGCCGTGGGACGGGACCGGGAGAGCCCCGCGGCCGCCCGGAGGGGCGGCCGCGGGGCTCTCCCGGTCCGTCCCACGGCGGAGGTGGGGTCTACCCGTGCTTACCTGCACCCGCCTGAGGATGGCTTCGCTCTTCTCCCTCACGTCGGGGAAGGGGCAGCGCTTGGAGAGCATCAGCAGGCGGGCCAGCACCTCGCTCAGCCCGTCGCGGGCGGCTGGAACCAGGAGCCCGTCGGCGGCCCGGCTAAGCGGCACCGCCGCCAGGGGAGCGATGGTCTCGCTCCGGCGGAGAACGGTTTGCCCGATGTTATCCAAGGCGGCGGCCCGGCTGGCAGCGTCGCGGCTGCACAGCCCGTCCCAGCGCACCTCGCCTTCCCGCTCCTCCATGGGGCCGACCGGCTGCTGCTCTCCCACCGCCACCGCCGCCGCCACCGCCGCCTCAGCAGCCCCGACGCGGCCGCCCCATGGCGGGCTCCCGCCAGCCGCCAACCCGCCCACAAAGACGACAGACGCGGCGGCGAAGGGAGAGACCGCTGCCTGCGCCGCATGAGGGGCAGGGCGGGCGGCAGCTCCCTCAGCCCCGGCGGGCGCCCCCGCCAACCGCCGCCCACCGACGCCGGGGCTGCCGAGCCAGCGACGCCGCTGGGGTTTCGCCTCTCCCGGCGGGGAGCGGGGCAGCCACCACCCCGCGGCGCCGGCTGCTGCTCCTCCTCCTCCCCACCCCAGGCATGGAGGGAAGGGGACGGACCCGGTCCTGCCTCTCCGCCGGGGCTCAGGGCGGCCCCCTCGGCCCTCCCTGCCGGGGCAGGGCCGCCACAGAACCCCCCCTCAACGAACCCCTCCTCACCGCGAGGGCAGGCACGGGCAAGCCCAACGACACGACGGACGCGCCCGCTAGCCAATCGTCTCTCAACGTTCGCTGCCGGCCGCCCAATGAGGGCTGTTGGGATGTGTAGTCCGGCCGGAGGGCCGTCCCGCCCCCGCTCAGGAAGAGGACTACGTGTCCCGGCAGGCAGCGCGCGGGGGTGTCTGCGCGTGGAGCCCGCCCGCGGAGCCCGCCCGCGGAGCCCGCCCGCGGAGCCCGCCCGCGGAGCCCGCCCACCGCCGCCGTCGCTGAGGGAGGGTAAGAGAGAGCGTCCGCTGCCGGTCCTGTACAAGTCTTTTTTTCCCGTAATATGGGTTTTTTTTTGGGGTGTGTGTGTTCCACCGCAACAAGTGATCAACCGCAACAGCAACTGGCTGGCAGCAGCCAGGAATACAAGCGATTCTGGTGGTGGGTTCCCCTCAGAGATTTGCATTGGCCAAAAACCCAATTAAGCACGCGCGTGCTTGAAAGCAACAGCAAAGGCTCGTCAGATGGACGCCTTGACAGGAGCCTTTGATGTAGCCTAAGTGAACAGATCAGCAGAAAGAAAGAAAAACGGCCCGTGCAAGCAAAATGTAGGGCCTTCAACACTTGAAAATGAAAGGGAGAAAAAAAATCCCTGGAATATTCCAATTGGGCAACAGTTCTACAGTCCTGTAATCCAAATTAATCCAAGGGTGGGTTTTTTTTAAATCCAGATTCTGCTGAGGCTGATGAGCCTGGAGAAGAGAAGGCTCCTGGGGACCTTATAGCATCATAGAATGGTTTGGGTAGGAAGGAACCTTTAGATCATAGAGTTCCAACTCCCCCTGCCATGGGCAGGGACACCTCCCACCAGAGCAGGTTGCTCAAAGCTCCATCCAACCTGGCCTTGAACACCTCCAGGGATAAGGCAGCCACAGCTTCTCTGGGCAACCTGTTCCAGTGTCTCACCTCCCTCATAGTGAGAAATTTCTTCCTGTATCTAATTTAGTCTACCCTCTTCCAGTTTGAAGCCATTACCCCTCATCCTATCTCTACATGCCCGTGTAAGAAATCCCTCTCCAGCTTTCTTGTAGGCCCCCTTTAAGTACTGGAAGGACTTGGAGCCTTCTCCAGGCTGGAGAATCCCAACTGTCTCAGCCTGTCCTTGTAGGAGAGGTGCTGCAGCCCCCTGATCATCTTTGTGGCCCTCCTCTGTACTCACTCTGACAGGTCCATGTTCTTATGTTGAGGGCTCCAGAGCTGGATGCAGTACTCCAGGTGGGGTCTCACCAAGAGTGGAGTAGAGGGGCAGAATCACCTCCCTCAACCTCCTGGCCACGCTGCTTTTGTTGCAGCCCAAGATGTGGTTGGCTTTCTGGGCTGTGAGTGCACATTGCCAGCTCATGTTGAGCTTCTCATCCACCAACATCTCCAAGTCCTTTTCCTCCAGGCTGCTCTCAATCTATTATCTGCCCAGCCTGTATTTGTCCTTGGATTGCCCTGACCCCTGTATATAAATACCCGGAGGGAGGGTGCAAGGAGGAGAGGGTCAGACTCTTTCCAGTGGCACCCAGTGATGGGACCAGTGGCGCCCAGTGATGGGACCAGTGGCAATGGGGACAAACTGAAACACAGGAGGTTCCTTCAGGACATTGGAAATGCTTTTTCCTGCAAAGATGACCGAGCATGGGCACAGTCAAAAGAACGCTTGCAAGTAAATCAGAAACAGGACATTGGGCTTATAGGGTCTTGTGTAATTATTTTATGTTTCTCATGTACACATTTCCCACTTTAAAATTAAAACCTCAAAGCTGAAGTTAAATACAAACCAAGCTACTTGCATACCACAGAAAGACACAGAAACAGCATCTGAATCCAGGAACAGAGTTTAAGCTGGCTCACCAACACCAGCCATCAACAGCTTTTATTTGTAAAGAATCTGGTTTCTTCATCAGACATTCCTTTTGTTTTCTGGCAGGGTTTCTATAAAACTTGCAAAATAAGTGTCATTCTATCATTACCTGTACCTTTCAAGGAAGACCAATCTCTTTTTCCCATAAAATCCTTTCTGCAAGAAGTCTGTGTTGCCATTGTTTGGCAGCGTGGACAGGCCTGGACTGCTTTGTGCAGCTGCTTCCTCTAGGCCTTTGGCACCCTTGTGAACAATATATCTACCAAAATCATCACTACCTGTAATACATGTGAGTCTTGACTTCTCTAAGCACTCAAGGCCTCCACCCATCATAACTGTCGGGTTCAAAGAAAATAATTCTGCCAGTGCCTTTTATGTTTTTTTTTTTTTTTTTTTTTTGAGCACAGAACTCAGGGTGAGTGATAACCCCCAGAGTGCCTTCCTAGTAAAGATGTCCTCTGGTGCACTACAGGCTTCAGAGAGCAAAGCTTTGTGCAGACTCTGTGCTAGGCATTTCTAGAGTGTTTCTGATGGCTTGTCTCCTGTTTATTTTTTGTCGTTTTTTTTTTTTTTTTTTTTTTTTTTTTTTTTTACTTTAGATTCAGCTTCCCGTCCCATTCTGTCCTCACTCGTTATGGTCTCCCAGTTTTCCTGTGAATAGACATGTCGCAAATGCTTGCTTTATTTCTATCTAAATTTTGATCTGCAGAAGTTGGATAGATCTCATTTTTCTCATGATAAGTTTGCGCTTGCTGGGTGTCAATGGCTACATACATCTGAGATCAGTAAAGTGAACCAGAATAAGAACTGAAGCGTTGGTGTTAGACTTTGGTACGGCTATATTCCCACACTGAATGCTAAGTTTGATTGAAAGTCACAGCACTGCCTTTTATCTTTTAGAAGTTGTTTTTTCCACTGGCTGCAAATGAACTCTGGCTACAGGAAACAGATTGTGAAACTGGCTCCAAGGCCTAAACTTCAGATTTTCAGCCCTTTGTTTTATAGATTTTAATGTAGCACTTTGGTAGTGGAGATGAAGGTGGCTTTATTTTTTCCAAACCAAATCTCTGCAGTTTTCCGATACTGGGTCAAGTTTCTGTATGTACTGCAAGACATTGTGGAAATCAAGGTCAAAGGCTACCAGCGGAATTAATCAGAGCCTGAAGTTAGGGGAATGTGTTTGTCTAATTTGCGTGTTCACTGACTGAAGTTAATATGCTTGTTTTTGATCCCTAAAGAATGGATAAGAGAAAGGCAGAATTATGAAGGAAACAATCTGGCAACTCATCCAGAATTACAGCATTTGAGTTTTTAAAATGATAAGCTGAAGGAAAACAAATTTGTGGCTGTTTTAAACCTCAGTATTTCCTTCCTTGATGATTTATCAACTTCCCTCTTTTTGTAACTAGATAAGGACTTCTATAGCTATATGCAAATGATATCCAACGGCAGAATTATTTTTTTTAAATACAATGTATAGTAGTTGTATTCATGTCCTTGCTAGGATAAAAGATCTAAATTATATTATATTTACTTTTTAAAGTGTTTTCCAGTTTCTGTATGTCACAAAAGAGCACTTTGCTGCAGCACACACTTAGTTACTGGAAAACTAGTAGTAACACAGTCAAAATTGTGCAACTTAGGAGGAACTGATTTTTAAATTAGATTCCTTCAACTATTTTTATTTACACTTGGTTTTGTTGAGGCTTATTTCATTCCAACTAGTAAATACCTGCGATGGGATCACTTCTTTTAAAAGTTCACCTTCCCATTTTAGATCTGGGTTTTGGCATGTCGGTGCAATAAATGGGCACTCCACAGTATTTAATGCGTTTTTCTTCACAGCAGCCCTCTGAGGAAGCAAAGCTCTGTGACTCATGTTTTGCAGAGAGACACCTGAAAGCCAGAGGCTACTCTTCTACTCTCTTTGAACCCAGGCCCAAGCTTGGTCTTAAGCCCAGACTCATGTATCATCCCAACAGACTGGCCTTAATGATGGAACAAGCTACAGCATAAGATGTGGGAGAAAATATGGCCTTGTTTTACTTCTGAGCATGTGTTTATATGTCTACCATGGGTTCTGGCTTACTGTGGGTTGCCTGTATACGTTTGTACCAAACTCTGCCACCCTGCCTCTTAGAGGTTACAAATACAGGAGAGATGGGTAAGTTAGACTTCTTCTCAGGAGACCAAATCTTCCTGTCAGAAAGACTATGGAATAGTTTTATGCTGAAGCATGGGTTGCTTTGAGGAGAGCTGGGCTGTGACATACCAGAACTACGGCCTACTTAAAGCCCTGCTGTACTTTGCCAACTCTCTGACTATACTCCATTTAACTGAATAAATGTGGCCTGAAAGACTAAGGGCTAGACCCTGAAAAAAGAGCATGGGTAAACTAAACAGTCAGATCCAAGAAACTCCACTGAGCAGCCACTTGAATTCTGTTAGTCTGTTTCTGGATAGAAATGTCCAGAATTGCCCCAAGCTGGGCATCTTGGCACCTTTCTCCCTTTTGTGCCCACTTGTGGTCTAGAAAGTAGGTAGAGCAGCTTCAAGAGGAGTCCAGCTGAGAAGAACCTCTCCCAATCCAATGAGTCAGGTTCTCCTGTAATAGCCACAGCTAGCTTCAGTGCCAGGACACATTTGGTAGAGTACTCACCCTCAGTGCAGTAACCCAGTGATGAGAGAATTGGCTTTTAGTTCAAAGAGATTTACATCAACATCTGGTAAGTTCCAGGAGAGTGTCCTAGGTGCTCAGGACTGCAAAGTGGAAGGGAAGCATTCACCACCTGTTGACGTTGGAGAGATGGCAAATGTCACACTGGCATGAACTAGTAGAAGGCAGACAGAGGAAGCTGTAGGCACTCCTGGTTTCTGGTAGCTATTCCCAAGCCAGTGCTGTTTTTATCCAGGGACTATTTATTACAAAAAAGCATAAGTAAAACCCAGGACTGTCTTCTAACGACTAAGCTAGATGAGAGAGACCCATCCTTGGTTTACTCTGTCTTTTGCCTCAGCTGCCTCTCCTTGTCCTAGACTCTTACACGCCTATCTGAACAGGGTCATAACTTCAAACGAAAAGGTGGTGACTCCCTGTTTCCTTCCTGCTCTTCCTCCTGCCAATTGAGCATGGTGGTCAGGGATGCTGCATGAATGCTCCCCGGGAACTCCCACTTCCCGACCAACACTCTAACCACTGAGCATAGAAAAGATGGACACTATTTCCTCCAGCTACACTTAAAAGAAAATTAGCATTGCTTATTGGGAATTTTTTATCTGCTGACAGCACAACAGGCCTTTTAAACACCTTTGTCAGTCTGTCTGTTAACACAGACCTTGGTGTTTTCCAGTAATAACACAAAGAAAAATGCTGTGGCCGGCAGCCATGTGAAATGAAGTCACAGACCAGAGGAGCGACGGGGACTCTTTATTCATTGTTTTAATGATTAAAAGATTTTGGCACTCACCGCCAGAAGAGGACTCCAAATTCTGAGTCCCAAGAGGACAAAAGTGCCAAGCACCAGGGTTGGACTTCAGATACATCTATGTTCATAGAGTTTCCCGCTTTTGTTAGCTTCTCATTGAGCATGCTGCTTGTTTTGGCTGTATACCTGCACTTCTTTTACATGCAGGGAAAGTAAGCCTATCATTACCAAACTTGGGATTCAGCCCTGAGGCTGGAAGGCTCATATATGCTGAAGCACCAGTCCCTCATCAGTCCCATCCCTCTGTGATTTATTAAGGTCACAAAGAATAGCAAGAATTTAAGTCAAGTCCCTGGAGATCCACAAAACTACCTTGCAGTCAGAAACTGTGCATCTAGTTAATAGGGGAAAAATATCTCTTAAACAATTTATAATCAACTGAAGTTAATTTTATGTATGCAACATTGTGCAGGATTTCGTAGCATCTTACTCAGATTTTCCCCACATCTTTAAGTCATGCAGGTTTAAATATACAGATTGTATGAAACAAGTATTCTGTTGCATGGATTTGAATGTTGTAAGTTTTCCCAGACAACTCAGGCCAGAAGTAGTGACAGACAGTTTTTGCATTTTTGTATACTCATTATATTGTATTATCTACAAGTGACTTGGCATTAATACTTATGATATTGTGTCTGTTCAAGATGAGCGATATAGATATGTTGGAGTTACTGTGAATATTCTGAGTCATGTAAACAGATGATATTATTTTAAATTATTCTTTAGCAAAATAGTCTCTAAAACAAGACTGAGGAGTTGCTCTGACTCAGATCTGCTTGCAATTTTTCTGCATCTTTAAAGACGACTGTTGCTGTCAAAAGATGACTTTGAGAATCATCTCTTGCCAGGAGTAAAACTTACCTTTTCCTTGTTAGGTTTTTCGTGGGTTTTTTTCATTCTTTTTCTTCGGTTGCCTGATGTACAAATGCAGAATGGAGTTCTTGTTCCCTGCCAGGTGCCTAGTTATCAGCAGCACAGGAATATGTGAAAAAAAAACAGATGTAGGGGCGGTAGTAGTTAAAAGGAGAAAAATCCTATGAACAATTACCCTCTTTGTGTTCCTCTGCTCATCCATGTCATGGTCTTTTAGTTAATCTGGCTAAAAATCTACCTCCTACTCCATCTTCACACTAGGTTAAAGGGTGTTGGATGAAGAGACTGACACTTTCCATGAGAAAGAATTGGAAAAAACAGAAGTTTACTTTGAAAAAAAATTCCAAGGCAATGGTGGGGACACAATCTGTGTGTTTCATCTGCCTAGAGGGCAAGTTGCAATGTTCAGAACAATCTTTTAGTGATCCCATTAAATATTTGAGACATAAAAGGTGAAAATTAACATGCAGTAAAAGTGCTTACTGTAAATGAGTCAGTACCTGCAATAACTGTCCCCTAGCTCGTTATATTTCTTCACTATGATTGTCATGTCAACCCACTCTTACATATGCCCCAGCCTACCCTGATATCTTTTCCTTTTTTGCATTTGCCTTTCTAATCTCTAATTATTCTGCCTGTTCACAGATACGTAGTCTTCTGTATGAAAGACAGTTGCCCTTGAAAACCTCCCCTTTCCATAAAAAGCAAAGTCTTCCTCTTTTTAATCAAGGGTCAATAGCCAGAGCCAGTAATTTCCTCCTGCCTTCCCATCTACCCGGACATATGTGTTCTGCTCTGCTCTCTAGAAAACTGCTTCCAACCTAATGAACAAAAGCAGATTTTTGAAGGTGAAGGGAAGTGACCAAGCTAAGCAAACTACGTATGGAAGACAGTGTGATGGCATCAGCATCAGAAAATAACAGTGAGGAGAAAAAGTAGCTTTTTACGTTCTTCATGTAGAGTACTGAGGAAAGCACCTTGAATTTCCACATCAGTCAGTGTACTAAGAGCAAACAGCATCTGTTGGAACTGAATCCGAAGTGTGAAGGGAAGAAATTTGATAGTTATTCTTGTGGGGGAAAAAACGGTTCTTTTTGCTTTGTAAAAAACCCTTTTTATGCTAGAAGAGGGATCTGGACAAAAAGAATGAAGGGAAAAGAATAAGGAACAAAGCTATAGGATGATATAATGACAAGGAAAAGGGAGGAGATGAGGGAGAAAAAGCAACATGGAGGTGGATGAAAGAAGATAAGAGGGACAGAATTATGAGGGAAGCAAGGAAGTATATTAGTGGCCATTTGAATTATTTTGTTTTGTGTTTGATGCTTATTACTAAAAGGCCAGATGCTTTCATGCTAACGTAACAGTTGTTACTAGGTAGGGATTTGCAGTCTTTGCTCCTCTGAATGCTAAATTCAGTTATCATCTGCTCATACAGGTTAAAGCAGTTTGCACCAACTCGATCTCCCCTTGGACTATTGAAAATGATTTTATCATGCACTTATGAATGAAGGGACAATTAATTTAATGAGGAATTTGATCTGCTGTGCCAGTTGAAGAGAACAGCAAAACCCTAATGACATTGTGACCCAAGTTTGCTTGAAATACTCTTAGGCTAGAACCCATTCCTAAAAAAAGTTGTCTTAAAAAAAAATCTCTGTTTTTTCCCCACCTGTTTTTTTGCCTTGTTCCCAAAGTACTTGTGTAACTTACTCCATTTTCTTTCTTTCTCTTTTACTTCTGTGTAAAACAAATGCTAGCAAACAGGAACTACAGAAATATCAGTATGAATGCTTAGAAGGTCTGACACAATTAAATAAATGGCTTAGGAGGTGTTTTTTTTTTTAATAAAATACCAGGTTTTACCATACTTCACAGTACATACAGTGTCATGAGAAGACAAAGGATTTAATTTCTTTTCCTTTTTTTCCAAGACTGAAAAAAAATGATTGCATGAAAATTCTGCATAAGACTTGAAATTCAGGAATGAATAGGTTTTGCTACTGTAGTATCAAAAAAGAAACTGGGCAATTAATCTTTATATATCCAGTTCTGAGACTGTCAGTTTGTATCTCGCAGTTTGTACAACAAGCTAATTCCCATGGATTTGCCTGTGTCAGTTTTTTAAAAACTCCCGAGTTCTTTAATTGCTCTAACAAATTTTAGTCATTTGTTCTAAATTCATTTGAAGTGGGATTCGACAGAACTCAAAAACATGTTGAAATGTGCTATTGATTCAGTGAGGTTTCACTTCCTATTAGTTTTGCAGCTGTCACCACTTCATTTCTAACCCCCTTAGATTAAAGAAGGCACACGAGTACCAGTTACTTAGATATGTCCTGAGCAAGGTCATATGTTTCAGGCTGATTAAAGCGGTTGTGTCAGGATGCTAGAGACTGGGTGTTCCCAAAATAACAATGCAGTTTGCCTACCACATTATTTATTTCTTTTTGTCAGTGGAAGGGCTGTTCTTTGTCTGTGGGGAATAAGGCTAAAAGAGCATTGCAGCATAGCAAGTACAGCTGACCAAGCTTTTCCCTGGTTCTCGAAGGAAAGTGAAAGGGGAAAAAAATAGACCAGTTTGGATCGTGTCACAAAAATGGCCTCTCACATAACCTTTCGCCAGCAAGGCTTGGCTCAAATAGACAAGGCAGCAGCCAGCAATCTGGGAGTTTCTTGGTATAGCCTGTGTTGGGGCAATTCTTTAAAATTTCTCTTATGTCAGATAAACAGTGAATCATTCCTTGATTCATCTGAGACTTTGTTTTCAGTTATGAAAAAACCACTATAAATTGTGCGTGCCCAGTAGGTCAGGTCAGAAGATAGGTATCTTTGTATTTCTTTCTGAAAAATGCTTTGATCTGTTTTTTCTCTTTCCTCTTTGAAGGTGTTCTGACAGCATCTCTTTCTTTGGTTCTAAAAGGTTGCCCTCACAGCGATTTGAGTGAACCAGCATCTCTGTGAGATAACAAGCATCAGAGAATTTAGTGGAAGCATCTCTTACATTATCACAGCAACTATCACATTATTCTTTTACTGTATATCTTTTGCGAAACTGCTGAGCTAAGCCAGCATTATTCCCCGAATCTGCTACAGTTCACATGTACAAAAAACTTTTCCATATGCTGCTTTACAGTATGGGACATGTCATGGTTTGGGCTGGATTGGCCACTGAGACTAATGACAGATGCTCTCCCTCACCTTTCTTTTCTGAAACTTTTTTAATGATGTGGCTAGCAGTGGAGGGGAGGAACATAAAGGAAGGGAGGAGGAGGATGAGGAAGTCATAACTGGTCTTTCTGTAACATTTGGGATTTCTGTGGTGTTCAGTAGTTCTCCATTGTTGGCATGCTTACTTGTGCTAGATAGCAGTAACTAAAATATCAATTGATTTTTACAGCAACCTGATCCAGTACTCTGGCACTCAATACAGGCCACATTCAGCAAAAATAAATAGTGTAAAGGTAAATCACATGATAAAACAGCAAATTCCATGTTTGTCTCAAGGTACCAAACTCCATTTGCTTGCTGTCCTCCGAGCTGTCAAAGTCACATATAGAGGTACAGATGGACCTGATGATGGGATTGCTCTCCAACAGCCTTTGTGCAAGCTCGCTCCTGGCCCGCATGTGACGGTGAACCAACAGGCAGAAGTGACTCCCACACCTCATCCTTACACACCAGGGAGCAGCAGGCCAACTGCAGCAAGGTAAGGCAGAGGTAGGCAGTGTAATTGCATTAGTGCACTGCTGTCACACAATAATTTGCCCTGCTTGGCACCATGCATAGGGTTTTGACTGTGTGGCACTGCAGTCCGGGAGCCTGGCTCCAACTTGGGGATGACATAGGTGGCAAGGCCAGGCTATGGGTTAATGGGAGGCCCACAGGCACTAGATAGCCCCATGGGTTGATGCAGGGTATGTATGAACTGGCTCCGTTGTGTATTCATGTATAAAATAACAGTGAGCATGTGAGCATCACCACTGCATCCACCAGTGCAGGCTGGGTCAGTTCTGGTTAAAAAACCCAAGGGGCTGGCAGGGAGCGTGGATGCGACCCACACAAAACACGTGCTTCTCCCCCACCCCTCGCCACTGCAGCACAGGGAGCTGGGGTGGCAGCAAGGCATTTCTGCCTCCCTCCCTTCCCCTCACCTCCCCTCTGCCTGTAATGGGCTGTTTTGTCAGCCTCCATTCAATAGCATACTTCTCTTTTGGCTGTTCCCCAAACTCAAAGGAGTGCACTAATTTCCTCAACGGAGGGCTTGTCTAAACAGCAGTGTTTTGGCTGCTTTAACGAGTGTTGTTCAAGTGCTAAATCCCCCTAAGCCTCATGGAGTTACATTAGTACAAACATTGCCATTTGGGAAGCAGTATCTGCTTTAAAGCACCTCTCTAGGGCTGTGTACCAGCATCTATGTTAGTGTGGAACAAAAGAGTAGTAGGTTAAGCTTGCAATGGATGGGGGCTTTGCAACCCTTTTTAAAAAGCAAGCCCGTCTGTGATGGTTTTATAGAAACTTAAATACTTGCAGGAGAAAAAGTGGATGGTAGGACAGTCGACGTCCAAACATACGTCAAGCTACTTAATTATTTCCTGATAGCTTTCTTGTCCTAGAGGGTTGAAAGTGGTCAGGATGTTTGGTGATGTCTTGCTGGTATAGAGTGAGTTGTTCCTTTTCCTGCCCCATGTCCTTGCCAGAGGTCTGCAGCATCATAGACGTTAGTCCTGTGCAGCATGGTTGTTATAAACTATATTTACCTAAGATATTAAAGGACTTGTCTACACCAGAGCACCTCAGCTAGAGTAATTATGCTGACAGAGCCTCCAAGCACTATAGCAACCATTCCCGCAGCCTGCTCCACGCAGCCTCTCCCTTTGAGAAAGCTGTGACAAAGCGAGGCGTCCGTAGCTCTGTCCGCAGCAGGGCTTCTGCAAACACAGGTGTCTCGGCTGCGCGGTGTTGTATTCCTTCCCACCCCTTGCTCAGCCTGTGCTCGTAGGAGTAGCTTGGGGAGCTACCCCCTCCAGCTGCAGGGTGTGTATTACCCTCTGCTGCGCTGGCAAAGTTGTGGGTTTTCATGCTGAAGCCCACACTGGATTAGCTGGATCACCATCACTGAGCTGGTGAGCTGACCTCTTCTCTTTCACTTTCCTCTGGCTTTGCTTGCAGATCTAAAGGGTTCCTGAATAGGTGTTCCCCATGTCCCCCCGCCTTTGTGTTACTGAGCTTGACCACAAACCCTCAAAATTTTCTGGTGCTTTATTCCCTCCCTCTCTTATTCATTGTTTGCTTCGGATCACTGCCCTCCTTACAACTGTCCACTGACCCATCTCCTTGGAAACAGCAGGACTTGTTTATGTGACAGTAATAAGGAAACTAATTGATGCATAGCAGCTGCAGGCATGCGAGGGAGCCATGTTCCACTGGAGAACGTTGGAGAAGTGAGTCTCTACTTGTGCTGACTGCCAAGAGGTTAGATGGTGTGAGCAAAACCCACCTTCATCCTCTGGAGTTGCCGAAGTTGCCTTCCCCTGTTCACAGCAGCAGTAGGAAGCTTGTTGCCTATGCGTACGCATATCTTTATGGACCTTTTTTTTGCTAGTCTTTTTCATCACCAACGTGTTGGTGTCGAGAAGCAATGGGAAAATTGGTAAGTCTTCCCCACAGGGAACTCTCTGGGAAAAGCCTGTGGTTCAAGGGTAGCCTGGGCAGCTCCTCTCTTGCGGTTCTGGGGAGGCTGTGACGGTGCTGGGGGGGGCCATACCAATGCCAGGGTGTCCACCCTGAACTGTGGGATCTGCCGTGGGGGTGTTACCACACAAAAGCAGCAGTGTCTGGGAGACCTCAAGTCAAGCAAGCCCTGGTGGAGGGATGCTCATGTTAACGTGTCCATGATGACAACTTGGAGGAGGAAGGAAGTATTTCCCCATACCTTTGGTTTAGTGCATATCATACAGAGGTGGTGTGGATGGATGCTGATTTTTCTATGGACTCTGAAACAGTGCTGGAAGAGCTGTTCCTGGAAGCTTTTTCCTTCACTGAAAACTTTCTTCCCTGCCCCCCTGATACGAATTATTTTTCCTGGGTGTGCTTCGTCAGCCGGTTCCAATCTTGGTTTGGTTTTCTTCCTCCTGTTACTAGATATCTCCCTTGGGTGACTTACCAGGAAACTAGTGTCTGTAAGCAGCCCTGCTCAAGTGGGAAGCCTGTTCCAGTTGCGTGCCCTCTACTTTAAATTTGAGTCATACACTAATTGCTGTATCCTTGAACCTTCGAATACGCTTTTTTTCTATCAACTGAAGCTGTATATACCCTTCATGTCACTGTATCAAGTGAAATGCTTGGTGCTGCTTTGCTAGGTAGCTGCAGTGTGATTCAAAACTTGGGTTTAATTTCCTTCTCTTGGTATTACACTTGCTACAAGTTGCAAAACCTGCTAAGAGCTTTCAGAAGTGAACAACTGTCTCAAATTTTGAAGTATAAGTTAATAGGACCCATATCAAAATGGACCAAAGTGTGTGTTTTTGAGGGAAACATTGTCTCTGCTGTTCCTGCTTATGTGGGACAAGTAGATGAGTAGAAGAGCAAAGAATACAATGAGAAAGCTTAACAAACACTATTTTTACAGTGCCAGTGAGTCCAAAGTTATTAAAGATCTCTTTAATCATAGAATAGAATCATAGAATGGTTCGAGTTAGAAGAGACCTTTAAGATCATCTAGTTCCAACCCCCCTGCCATAGGCAGGGACACCTCCCACCAGACCAGGTTGCTCAAAGCCCCATCCAGCCTGGCCTTGAACACCTCCAGGGATGGGGCATCCACAGCTTCTCTGGGCAACCTGTTCCAGGGCCTCACCACCCTCACAGGAAAGAATTTCCTTCTAATCCCTCTTTCAATTTAACACCATTACACCTCATCCTGTTGCTACACTCCCTGATAAAGAGTCGCTCCCCATCTCTCCTGTACTGGTAACTTAAGGTACTGGAAGGTGCTATAAGGTCTCCCTGGAGCCTTCTCTTCTCCAGGCTGAACAACCCCAACTCTCTCAGCCCGTCTTCATAGCAGAGGTGCTACAGCCCTCTGATCATCTTCATGGTCCTCCTCTGGACTCCCTTCAATAGGTCCGTGTCCTTCTTATGTTGATGTTAGTTCTTTAATGTTAATTCTTTTTCTACCTTATTCCTTCAAATGGCCTCTAGCCCTCCTTCAGTAGACCTATTGCCTATGCTTGGTTGTCATAGCATTCCCAATGTAAACGACCAAACGAGGCTTGAATGACTTGTCATAGAGTGCACATGGGCTGATCTCTAAGGGTCTGCTCTCCTAGAGGTTGTGTTAGACTAAAGCAATTTCTGCAAGTTTCTCTGAGTCTTGGGTATCAAGGAAAATCACTATTTGACGGGGTGTAATCTGGAGAAACAGGACTTAATAAATATGCTTAATAATGGAGGAAATGTTGGGATGGGAATACTGGATGTTAAATATCCCTTTGTTATCTCAATGCTAAGTGTGGAGAACCATGTCTTTATTATGTAATAAAGCCATTTGTAAAAAGATAGGTGTCACATAGAGCACAAGGGAGGCTGCAAATGAAATCAGACTGTAAAACTTGGAATGCTTGCTCTGCAGGGAGCACTGAGAGGCAGACACCAAAGTCTGTAAAATAAATAATATAAAATGTTGTTAATCCTTCACTTTTAAGAGGACAATAATCAGCACAAGTTATTAGAAAGCACTGAGAAAAATCTGAAAGTTTTGGATAGTGGAGGAGAGCTGTGTTTAATGTTAAGAAAGGCATTGTTTTGTAATTGTATTAAAAACCAGGATTCATCTGGAGGTGTATGCATTTTTTTAATTATTATTTGGGTTCACATGATCTGGTTTGATATAAAACAGAGCGAGGGAGAGCCAGTGGCATACTGTGAAAAGTTACGTAGTCCATTAAAGAGCTAATGGCATTAAATAGCTCTCTTTTTACAGGCTATGGATTCTGAATCAAAGAACAGTTTCATAGGAAGCTTTCTTCAGCCACCAGAGAAGATGCGTCCCGCAGCCTTTGCTTATATAGAATCAAAGAAGTTGGCAGCTGTTGGTGGTGACAGGCGTCCTATCCCCAATAACCAAGGTAAAGCCAAAATATGTCCTTAAAGTGGTCCTTTTAATTGTTCCATGTGAAATTTCTTGAGCAAACTCCCCGTTCTGCTTTACTCAGTTCAATGACTTGCTGCGATTATCAGACTGACATTGAGACAGGATGTATATGTGTCCTGAGGGAGTAGTCTCCCTGAAGTCATACATCTGGAATGGAAACTGCTGCAAGTCTTCTCACATCCTTATAAACTTTGGCTTTGAAAACTGTTTAACTTAAAACCATCAGACTTCCTCTAAAAGCAAAGGAGAATGCTTCAAACTCAGCAGAAGCAGTTCATGACTTTAAATATAGCAAAAAAAGATCATTATTATAGTACACTGACTGGAATTGGCTTTGTGTAGTGCTATTTTGACTCCCTCTAGCTTAAAATCACTTGTAAGGTTTTTGGTGCAGTGTGACTCCTTGGGAGAACTTTTGAATAACGCAGACCCTCAGGAAAGTCAGCAGCAGGAAAGTTAGTCTGTATGAAATATAGGTCCACTATGATTGTCTTGTGCCTTAATTGATGATTACTCCCTGGAGCTCACAGGACAAATGCTCGGTGGCTTAGCATATCTGGAGAGCTCAGTGAATCAAAAACATACCATACTTGGATTTACTCTCACAGACAACTTTGCAATATTGCAGACATAGTCTATGTGTGTGATCATTGTTCTTTCATTTGAAGAATCTGTGACTTTTGTAGTAATTTTTTGCATACAGAACTTGGGCTTTTTGGATTAATATGTTCAGTTTAATGTTATGGCAGCTAAGTGTTTAAGTAATGAAATGTTTGGCATTCCAATACAGAGATGGAAGAAGTGGTCCCACTTCACCTACTTCATCTTTCTGCTCTCTGGTATCTCTGCTTTCTTCTTTTTATTTTTCTTTCTTTTTTTTTTTTTTTAATTTTTATTCTAATGGGACTATGATAAGCTGATGAGAGTTGTAATGGAGCCAGAAATATTTGCTGGGTACTCCTCCACTGAGAGAATTCGTATAGGGAAACTGTCAAGCCTTATAAAATGTCAGAAGAGAAGCTTGACTTGTTACAGAACATATCTTAAACTTCCACAGGTGTGTATACTTTTTGGAGAGGTAGTAGGCTTTTCCTTGTAGTAGAAATTGCAGCTTTTATTTTTGGCACAATTTTGACACAATTTTGACACATGCTGATTTGAGGCTAAAAACAAAATCTTTCAGACTTGTTTCTATGGTTTAAAGAATCATCAAGTACAGGAAACCAGACATTGAATTATTACCGTTTGAAAGAATAACATTTTTAAAATGCATCTGCTACAAAAATATCCCTTTGTATCTGATGTCCCCCCCTGTCCTGAGTCTGGTTTTGTTTTTTAATCTGTCCACACCAGTTACATCACACTAAAACTTGTGACCTAACTTGGGTGCTTGTGTTCCCTGCTTCTGTGTAAACACAAGTCCTAGGGTTTGTTACACTCAATTTGCCACAATTTCTTTGTGCTTTCTACCATTTGGAGTGATAATAGTTTTGCTTATAGGACCTGTGCTTTATAGCTCAGTTATGCAGTAAGTGCATCCATTTTTGCCCACATATGTTGTGTGTGTGTTAGTGTACTGCTGGGGAATATAATTCATTTTAGGAGTGATCCTAGGAAGAAAATGTAGATAGTATTTTTCCATTTGAAGTGTTTTGTAGTAATAATAATAATAATAATAGGAACCGTTACTTAAGGTGTAGCTGTTGCATTGTTTTCTAGCTGTGGTGGCAGCCCTGAAAACTCTTCAAGAAAAGATCCGCCATCTAGAGTTGGAGAAGTCAGAGGCTGAAGATAATCTCTGCAGTCTCTCCATAGCAGCTGCTCAGTATAAGAAGGCCTTAGAGCACGAATCCTACAAAAAGGACACAGTACATCAAGAACTGATGCAACAGAGGAAAGGTATTTCTCTTGAGTGATAAGGTATAGCCACAGCAGCTCCAAGACTGCATAATCCGGGGAGTGTTTGTTTGTTTTAACAAACTGCTAATTAATGCACCCCCCTTTCTTTTTTGCTTCAGGATTGGGGAGGGGCAAGAACTTGATAACTGTGGATTAAGTTGAGATCTTTTTGTACACAGATTAAACAGGTATTGCATAACCCATAAAGCTATTTTAAAGAACAAGCAGATTTCAGGTGGTATGTTTAACTCCTACAATAAACAAGGAGCTGGTTACATGTATAACACTGCTAACTTGAGAAAAGCGAGGAGAAGGGAAGAAACCAGATTTTGGTTAGATATCTGCTGATATAAATCAAAGTAACTGCAATGCTCACACCTTTGGAATTCAAATTAGGGACTAGGTCTGGAAAAACATTTTGATTCTCATGTCTTATGTATAAAATATATTTTAACCACATGACTTGTTCAGACTAACAAAACTTTTCTTGCATGTTTTGAAGACAGAATTCCTCAATGAGATGACAGACTGGCTAAATGTGTAACTCCTGCTGTACTGAATGTCTTTGTTTCTCTCTGTAGATATAAGCGTGCAGTTAAATGCAGCACAGTCCCGCTGCTCCCTGCTGGAGAAACAGCTGGATTACATGAGGAAAATGGTTTGCAGTGCAGAACTGGAAAAGAAAAGGGTTTTAGAACAACAGGTGAAGCCTTTTAGCATACTAACAAAGTAGTGACCTTGTTAAAAAGTATAGAAATGTGCAAGATTGGATCTTTTTTTATGGCCATCACTCTTCCTAAGCTCTTCTCACGGTGGTAGCAAACGGAAGCAATTTACTGTCTGACTGACTGATGACAACTGTTCAATGAATTGTATGAAAAGACTCCCTAGGTGGAACTTAATGAGCAAAACCATGCTAATACTTGCACATTTGGTAGACAAAAAGGCTGCTGGAAATTTAAGTCTTCTTTGTCTGCCTGGTATTTTTCATCACTTTGCAATTTTAAAAATACGAAACTTAAACTAGTTAAACACCTTTACTGTAGTATGTTTGGTTTTTTGCTCTCAGAAACAATTTCAGTCAGCTGCCAACTCCATTCTTGCTTACGTTTTTCCAGGCCCAGCTTCAGAAAGAGGAAGATCAGAACCGCTTAGAACTGCATGCAAAACTTGAAAAGCTTGACATGCTTGAAAAAGAATGTCTTAAACTTACTGCTACTCAGAGAATTGCAGAAGTAAGCATGCATGGCATGACAGTCTGAAAGTCATTCGTTTGATATAATTTGTATGGCAAATTATAATTTATAATATAATTTATAATTTGTACTGTTAATAGTACTGTTTTGCAAAAATTTCCTCTGTTTAAGCTAAGATCATAAAGTGTACTTACTGAATGCCACCTTGGCTTCATTTGCATAAGCCTTTTTTTCAGTGAGGGCTTTAAACATTCCTATAGTCCTGTTTCATCCCAGATTACAATTGCAAGCTACTTCAGACTTCTGATTCAGCATGGCAAACTGAAGTGTGACTGATTGTTCTTGCCTTCAAATTCAGGACAAGATCAAATACTTAGAAGAAAGGCTTTGTAAAGAAGAGCATCAGCGTAAGCTTATACAAGAAAAAACTGCTCAGGTAGACTGAAAAGATTTTATTTTATCTTTTTTTTCTTTTTTATGACTGAAGAAAGCTATTCTCTCTGTCCAAAATACCTTTTTTTTTTTATTACATTTGAACTTCACATGTATATTACTCAGGGAGAATTCCTGGAATACTACCTAGAGCAGTTATAAACTGCATAGGAGAAAGCTTGCCAGGTGAGTTGCATCTCTCAATCAAGGAAGATTCTACTTGGTTTTGTATTAATGATACAGTTCATCAGCCTTGAAGCTGCTGTAAGTGATCTGGGTAGAAAATGAATTTGTAGAGAATCTCCAACTAAATCAGATAACCTTAATTTACAATAACTAGAAAGAGGTCATGTAAGAAACCTTATGCTCGAAGTAAGGTTGGTTATTCTGTTTGTTTTCCTCTTTTTGTTAAGATCTGCTGAAATCTAATGTATTGGACCATACTTGGAAAAGCCTTTAATCAGTGATCCTGTTACATTGTTCGTTAAGTGAGATTTTGCATAATTCATTATTCTGTGAAGCCATAGTCAGTTTGTTGGGCCACCATCCATCTGAGAGAGGAATATTTGCCAAAGAGAGCAAAATCAAAGAAACCTTTTGTTAGAAGGGGCAAAGTATCCCCGAAAAGTGCAGCCATTTTGCAGCAGCAGTTGTGGTGGCATTCTCTTGGGGCAGGGTGGGGGATGCAGAGCTGAAGAATAATATTGAAAGAACCTAGACATAAGGGAAGCTGACAGCTTAAATTAATTCATCTCTGCTGTCAGTTTTTATACCTCATCCAAGGATGATGGTCCAGGGAGCTTGAAATAACATACAGATTGTAGCCCAGGTGTCTGACCACCTTCAGAACCCAGCAGAATGACACAATTGAAAACTTGCAGGTTTTGGGGTTTCTTGCTTAGACTGCTTGCTGCTGCAGAGCAGGCAGCCTACTATGGAGATTTTATCTTCTGAGAAACATAGTAAGAATGACTTTCCCAGAACAGATAGGCTGACTTTGGCAGTGGTATAAGCATTTGCTGAAGAAAGGACTTGGGTGTAGTAAATTGAGTCCTAAACTAGTGTTAGTACTTATGTTAGTTCACTGCAAGATGGATTTAGGTCTGTTGCATTGGGTTGGGCAACACAGGGTGTGGGGTGGTCCGCTTCCTTTTGATGACAGAAATGCCAGAATAATCTCACTTTTGTGATGGACCTCCAGCCTTGTTTAGCCAGAACTGTTCCACATGCCAAAACAAAGTCCTTGTCCTGTGTTTAATTGGAAATGGCTGTTGTCCTGTTTATCACGGGCTGTTATATCAACTTTGAACTACAGAGCAATCGGAGGATTGTCCAGCAGGTTTGACCTCAGTGTTACACAGAGAGGCTCAGTTCTGTCTGTTGCCAGATTGTAAGATCCAAATGTTCATATTCTTTGGATTTTATGAATGGATGGGGCAGGATTGCCTTATCTCAGTTGCTGGTTGTCACAGTGGAAAAATACAGCTGCTGCGTCTGAATATGTAAATGAGGACTTCTAAGACAGAGCTGCAAAATCTGTCTGATACTCTGTCATCCTAGTAATCTGTTCTGTTTTCAAGTGTAGCCTTCCAAGCAGGACAGTTAATAGTGCCCTTAATTGGTTCTTATCCATGCATGAAAGAGGGCATTACTTAAACGATGTGATTTCATACTTCTAATACTACATTAAATGGTTGTTTTCTTTTTCACTTCTTTCCACAGCTTCAAACAGGGTTTGACATAAACAGAATTTTGATGTCTTCAGTAATATCTCAAAATGAACCTAAAAAGGAAAACAGGAAGAAGAAAAAAACTAAGGTAACATGAAACTTTTTGTTAGCATACTGTTGCTGATAGCATCTGACTTGCACAGAAATTGGAATTTGTGAGAAACGATGATGTAAAAGGCACTTGATTTGTCTGCTGCACTTTACTCTATTTCCAAAGTGATGTACAATGCTGAATACCTCTTTTTTCTTTTTCCTTTGGTAGTTAAAATGGTATTAGGGCTGGTAGGACCTCCCTGGAAAACTTTCCCTTACCAGCCTGACGATAACCTCTGTTACAGTGTTACTGCCATCCCCCATGCCCTGTCTTAGCTGCCTTTCAGTTTATCTGGCAAAACTAGTTTCCAGAGCAATTTTAACCAGGCATGTTAAGATGGTGTGTTTGAGGGAGATTGCTGAAATCAAGAGAATTCATTTTGCAACACATGTTACAGGTCAGTCAAAATTTTGCAACTGTGGTTTTGCAAACTTGAAGGAAGCAATGTTCAATTTCTTTAATGTCAACCTAATTGTCAAACTATTTGCTAAATGCATCTGGAATAAAATTTACTTGTCTCAGCTGTTGGAAAGTCCTACTCTTTCCACATACAGGAGGAAATATTTTTTTTTAACCAGAAGGAATCTGGGGTGATGCATTTCACTGCTTGTTTATTTGAATTTTTCTTATTTAAAAAAAAAAAAGTTTAAGATTGTGCTGTTGGGTCAGCAGATTGGAATTTCTTGTCTTACTTTTTCTGTCTATCTTATGGCAGGGAAATCCTACAATGAAGAAAATGCACCTTTCACATTTACATGTAAAGGCTGGTGAACTACCTTTTGTGGCTGGGAAGGTGAGTGAAAGCAAATGTTCTTGCTAAATTGGAGTCTACAGTTTGAGTAAGTCTCTTCACTGTAATTGTTAATCACTTCTGTAAACCACTTAATAATTTTGCTTTAAGTCTGTCAGCGCCAGCCATTCTGTTAGTGCAAATGTCCAAAGTGTGTTGCATATTATGAAGCATCGCAACCCACGTGTCTCACCACGAAGCCAAGGAAGAGCTACATCTGGGATTTCAGGACACAGTGCAGTTTCAAAATCTGTATCCTCTTGTTCCACATCACCTACTGCCACCAGAAGTCTGTCGGACCTTCTGTTGGCCATACAAGATGAGCTGGGCCAAATGAGCTTGTGAGTACTTACCCCTGATGTTGTAAATTACTTCAGTGGTAGCCCTGTGAAGCTACAGGTGTGCTATAGTTGAACCGAGCCTGTTTTCAGTGTCAGACTACTTGTTGACAGAATGGCCTGAACAGGCCTGACTGGTAGGATTTTTCTCATTCAAACAATTCTTTCTATCCTGGTGTTTAACTGATCTTGTGAGCAAGCAACATACTCTTCAGCTGGGCTTTTGGCTTCCACATCCTGTGCTTAACCAAGCTGCTACTGAAGTAACAGCTGCAGCAAATGAAAAATCTTTCAGGCCTGTGCTTTTTAGAAATTTTAAACAGAGTGAGATCTACAGAGTACACCAAGAGTGTTCTCCTGGAGAAGGCTGCAAAGGTGGTGTTAACTTTGAGCAGGCCTGCAGCATGCAGTCAGTTTGGGTGGTAGAGTAGCTTAGTACAGCTGTGTCAGGAATAGTCCTGTCACAACATCTAGCCTATTACTTTGTCCTCAGTCTTTATGTTTTCTCTCCGTTTGAGCATACCTGATGGGTCTTTGTGCTGAGACAGTGTGACATTCATTCCCTTTCCTTGTTGGTAGCAGGAGAACTTGCCAGTCCTGTAAAGGGGTTGTGAAAGAGGGACAGTCTCCTGCCAGCAAATGGGCAGGGTGTGGAAGAATCTAACGCAGTAGGTGGGAGTGTATATATCTTTCTAGCCATGCAAGTAAATGGGGATTACAACTTGTCATGTTCTTAGGCATCTTGCCATTAATGCAAGCTTGTAGAATTGTGGGCCAAAGCTATGTAGCTGGTCATAGTAGACATGTCAACATGATGAGCTGTGGTTTGAACAGAGGAGGATGTGTTGGTTAAACCAGTTAGGATGTTGACACTGGTTTGAAATCCTTAATGTGGCAAAATTTAAACTGGCAACCAATCTCTTCTTCAAAAAGCTTTGGCTTACTCATGGCAATTCAAGGACAGGCACTTTTTTTATAACAACCACCAGTTGCTTCAATTAAACTGTGAAGCAGCAGCAGTTACTCAGAAGTCAGAAAGAAGCTGTGACCTTTGTAAAGAGATTATTTGTCTAAAAGATTGTCTCTGTTTTCGACTAGCTCAGATCTCTAGGGGTCAAGTAGATCTACACAATTTCTTTTTATTTAGCTGGTTAATTTGATTAACCAGCACACCTCACTGCAGATCTTTTTTAGTAGAATATTTTAGTTTGAATTGCCTTTCAGAAAAACTATAGATTTAATGTACTAGTTTAAACAATACTTTTCTGAATTACACTAAGCTTTCAAAGTCTGCACTAAATTGGGAAGGAGGTGAAAATACCATCCTACATAGCTGCTGCTCACTTTCCAAATTCTTATTTTGCACACTATTACATGTGTAGTTGTTATGATTGTGGGGAGAGGGAGAAATAAGATGCCCATCAGCTGCAAATTTGGAATAGAAAATCTGTCCCACTGGAAAAACCTTTTCTTTTGTAGTGTGAATATATTCCAGATTAATATGTATTATATGTAAATAATGCTAAATTGCTGTACTCTGGACAAAATGACTAGTAACTCCTGCAATACACTGAGAGTATCCAAAGTAATCTTATAATGAATACTTAGTGTGCCATTCTTGTCTTTAATAGCAAGCATCAAGAACTTCTGAAGAAGATACAGGGGACTCAAGACTCCAAAGTTCGTGAAGACCTAGAACAGGAGCTGGATTGCCTTGTAAAACAAATGGAAATTAAAGGAGAACAAATATCCAAGCTGAAAAAACACCAGGCTGCTGTAAGAATAAGATGTAAACTCTCTAGCTGTAACACCCTAGTTGAAGGCTGCCACAACTCTGCCTCCTGTTGGCATTAACTAGAATGTCACTGGAATGCTTAAACCAGGATTATGGGGGATTACAATCAAGCTGCTAGCTCAGTGTTCTTGTACCTCCAACTCCTTCTTTTGATCAAGAAAAAGTGCTTACAGCTGGCAGCCAGGTATCTCTGCTAGTGCAAAAACTTCCTGCCTTGTGGCAGTTCTGCAATACAGAGCTGGGTTGCTCAGTCTGTCACTTCTGCTCACTGCATCAAGACAAACTGTTGAGATTTCATTCATTTGTGTCCTGTCCCTCTGGAAAATAACCCAATAGTCTGTTGACCACAGCTTCTCCAAAGTTATAGGCAGACAAGCCTTTCAGTTTTGTTTAACCCATACCCTCTATGCATTCTGGGAGTTTTCATACAGCTTTTCATACATGCCCATATAAAATCATTCTTCTGTAGATGGACAGCTTAACCCCTTTGTCCTATTTTATTCTGGAACATATGACAAAAAATGCAATCCGTAGTTCTCTCTGATATTTTTCTGTTCTTCCATCTCTTCTTTCAGGATAAATAGACTTACCTAAGAACTTTGCTTATATAGGAAACAAACCAAAACTCAGTGTGAGACCTCATGAAAGGGGGAGGTGATGGTTAATTCAAATCTGACCAAATTTTGTTTGTGTTCTTTCATTGATAGATTTTACTCACTCAAACCTTTTATTGTCTGTATAATTGCAATCACAAAGGTGTTTACATCAAAGTAATCTCAGGGTTGCATGTTAGCAATATGGACAAAGGACATTGACTGTTGAGTCCTCACTGCCTCTCAGCAATGTCAACTGTTTTTTGGATAAATCTTATATTCTTGAGAAGCAAGCAATTACAGTGTTATTCCTTACCTCAGAATCGGGTTGACTTCATCCTCCAGGAACCTGGAATGATGGACAAGAACTGTGACTTTGTTTCTTCCTTTTGCATATCTTTATGGCTACAGTCTGTCTTCATTTTGGGATGATGAGAAAAGGAATAGCACATAGAGTGTGGTGCAACCTTGTTGTCATCCTTGCCTTATCTGGGTGCAGATCTACTGGCAAGTCATCTGTGCTCTGGTACAGCCTTATCAGAGCACACGCCTTAGGGTTATGATGTAAATAGCACATTCTTGGTGTTTGCCTGTTTGATTTCTGTCCATCATGTGCCTGTTATCAACACAGGCCATTCCTGTAACTCTTGGCCTATATTGTTTTTTTCTGGTGCTTTTGCACACAGACATTTCTGTTTGTATTTTGTACAGATCAATCCTCAATACTTCTGATGCATATTTCTGCTTTTAGAACCTGTCACACTAAAAATGCTGTTGTCATCTCTGTTTCACAGTTAATAATATGTTCTAGAATGCAATTAAAGTTAATTATTTTTAGAAATGGACTTAAAGCCTAAATTGGCATATGGAATGCTTCCAGCCTAATTTTATCTTTGGGAGTGACCTTTTCATGCCAAGTGCAAGTCAAGACTTGTTATTTGACTTATTAAAAAACATTATTTAGTAATCAACCCTATTTATTGTGTTTTCTAATTTTGTTATGAGGCTTCAAAGTAAACTGCTTAGCTACAGTAACAGTATGCATTTTATAGGTTTGTTAGTGTTTTCTTTTTTTGTAAGGATAGTACAATCTGAAAGGGAAAAAGACCGTTGTAAATATAAATTGGTAACAGATGATGTTCTGTCTCTCTCAGGCAAGCATTTTTACCTTAGGGGTTCAACAGCCTATTGAGTGTGGGTGAGCTCAGTTCTGTGTAATGCTTTCTGTGTAGGCGAGGTCAGTTTTCTGTGGTGCTTGCTGTTACAGCCAGACAACTGTGTGCACATTAGTAGGTTTCAACTTTTTTTTTTTTTTTTTTTTTTTTAATGTCCCTCTTCAGTTTGGAGTTTGGTAGAAGTCCAGTAAGCTTTACAGCTGTAGGTTTTCTGAGATGTAACATTCTAATTAGTAATCTTTCTTCCTAGGTGCAGAAATTAAAGAGAAAAATTCAGAAATTGAAGCAAGGGGCAGCTCATGTTGAACTAAAGTGTGGTGACCAAAAGAAAGCAAAGGAGATTCCAGTCACTGTAAGGAAAAGTTTATCTAAATCTTGTCCTGGGCAGAAAAGCAGAAGCTCTCTTCAGCTGCTAAAAAATGTGCAGAAACTTCAGTCAACACTGAAAAAAGATGATATAATGTGGGAACAACAGTACTGAAGTTTACTCTGTTAAACATTTTTGAAGTTATATGACAGCTAGTAAATTTTTAATTTCACAAAATACTTTTAAAAAATAAAATAGGGATAGCGGAGATACAGATTTACATTCTAAACTGCCTTCTCGCTAGTAGGTCAGTTTGTTCACCTCAGAATTAACTTTCATGTAAGGTAGCTATAATTCAACTACACTAACGTTTAATAAAGCATTTTAATGAATTAATGAAATACTCATTGACATGTCAAATAAAATTTTATTCCTTTTTTTACACTTAAAATAGTATGCAATCTTTGGTGTCCTGTTCTTCCTGCTGCCAAGGAGATACTCAGAGCTTGCTTTTCCAGATTGACTTGGGCTAGTGCTTCTGTTCAAATAAAAGCAGTGTTTTCCCTTTTCTCTAAGAACTGAAGATTTGGATCATTTCAACTGTGGCAGAAGAGGTATTGTCTCTTATTATATACGTTATCATTATTATTAATAGTATTACTCTATCAGCTTTATTGACAATCTCAGTATTTGGGACAGCTAGGGATTAGATGACTTGATTAAACCATAATAACATGAGAGTGTTCTTGGTAAGTGCAGGGAAGGGGCCACTACCAAAAGCCTGGGTGCTTGTTTTCTCATCAACAGAACCTGCTTCTACCACAGTATAAAATAATTGAGGTGTTATAGAAAAGACCTTGAACGGCATACCAGTACATGTTGTGAAATTTGTGATCTCTTCTACTGTACAGTTTTCATGTGTACGACAGTTTTCCGTACTCATACAAATGCAAGATGGGTCTTTATCCTAACAGTGAGTGTGCTCTTTTCCAACCCCCACTATGTACATATGGTAAAAGACATAACAGTGACTTCGAATCAACCCTGGTTATTTAATTGCAATAAATTCTTGTCTTGAGGTTACTGACTACTACTGATTTTCCTGGGTGTTTGCATATGTCAGAAAAAAATAGCTTTCTCAGGATGTATCAATGAAGCTCTGCTGCAGGTCTCTGGTATGAAGAGAATGCAGTGGTTTTCTCAAGCCCCTTTGCAGGTAAGGATAAAAATTGGAGGCATGCTGTGTTGTCAAGGGTTTTGAACAAAGGCTAGTAATGATGTACGGTCTAATGGAAAGTTGAGTCTTTGGATTGATAAATTCTGCTCTGGCACCCTTCAAGACAAAGGACTAGGAAAACTTTCAGACAATTAATTTAAATTTAGAATGGCCTGTTACAATCCTTGACAGGAGTTGTGTGTGTAAGCTTTTAGGGGCCGGGGGGAGTTTATATGCCCAAAAGTCTTCATCGGGACAGTGGAAAACTGGGTTGTTCAGCTGATATTTGGGGATGGGTTTCCTCTGCTTTGTTAAATTGTATGGGCGTCCTTCTTACCTATGGGTTGTCTCTGGCTTAGAAAAGTATGTTTTGTGCTTGAAAACACTTAAACACAGTTCTAAACATGTTATTTTCTTGGTACAGATAGCGTTTCTGAGGTAGGTTCATGCATTTCTGGACACTGGAATTGCTGATACCGGAGACAAAAGAAAAGTAAGCATTTCTGCTATTACCGTTTTCAGATTGTAAGTATTCTGCTGCCATGAGATAAGCCTTTCCTGTTCCTAGGGGTAGTTAAATAATCTCTGAAGCTCTGTATCTGTGTGTGAGAGGGTAAGCGAGAAGGGCCTTACCAAGCCCTAGACAAAAACCATTGGGTGTTGGATTAAGAGAGAAAAATTGTAAGCAACTTGCCCCAAAATCATAAAAACTGATAGAATGGCATTGTGCGGGGGCAGGAGCGAGAGCAGGATGCGCCAAAGGTTGGGGGCTGAGAGGCCATCACAGCTCCTATAGCTTGGGGTTGCTATAGGGACAGCTGGGCCTGTCCAAGCAGGGAGCCAGCACTTCAGTCACCTGCTCCCTCTGTGCCTTGACCTGGTGTTTTTGTTAACTATAGAGAGGGGGCCATTTTGGTGCCGGAGCTGGAGAAGGAGGGCCCCAACTCCTCTCTCGGACAAGGGGCTGCGGTGGAAGGCAGAAGCTTTGGGTCAGTCAAGCAGGTATTGCCTGGGTCAGTGCTTAAAACTACGGAAACGTTGAATAGTCAAGTCTTCAAAATGTGCGTGCCGACAGGGGCTGTCCAGTTCCAGAGTAAAGCTGCTGTGTTTGGCTTTCTCTGGGGCCAGTGCCTGAACTGAAGGGAAAAACTGCTGGTCCTCCCAGCAGCTGGGATTTTTGCGTCCCTGCCTGCTTCGGAGCAGGACAGGGAGCTGAAAAAGCTGCTGGGCTATCCCAGCCTGGAGCTGGGATTTGAGAGGGGAAAATATGAACGGATGATACGTGAGCTGACAGTAGTTGACAGGGGTACATCACTTGTATTTCAACTTAGAAGATTTAATTTTATTTTAATAATTCTTTTGTACTGCTTTTTTTTTTTTTTTCTGGAGCTTTTCTTTCTCTAATGCATGTGTTTTCACACAATAAAGCAAAGCAGATGCGCTTCTGCATGGGCTGAGGGAGTCAAACTGGATATAAAGACAGTGTATCCCGAACAAGTTTTCTTACTTAAAGAAACACAGGAAATTTGTTTTTAGATTGTATCTTTGGGGGGTGGGAGATGCGTAGGGTAGGAGATCAGCTTATGTATTTATTGATTAGCATATTCACAGTTTGAGGCAATTGTCAATCACATAAGATAAGTCAGTCTTCAAATAAATATGCGGCGGTGAATAATTTTGCAGAAACCTCAGTGGTAAAGTTAGCCTTGTGCACAAATGCTGGCGAGGTTCAGCTCTGCAAGAATTGGGCACGCAGAGTGAGCTTTGCTGGCATCTGGATGCTTCACGTCTTTACACTCCAAAGAAGTTCTGGCTTTGAACTCCATAAACGTACGTTTGGAGAAAGCGGAGTGGTCAGAGCAGGCTTCTTCACAAGAACAATATGTTTTGGCTGAATAAGTGCTTGCTCTACACTTTTACAGATCCTTGTTTTGATTTATATTTTGCATGTTTTTGTTTGTCTTCTCAGACAAAACTGTGTATTTTTTTATGAATGTTTTGAATCTAGCTAAAAAGGACAGCAGACAAACCCACGCACTGATCCAAAAAAAAAAAAAAAAAGACTAATTGGCTTATTTACTCAAAATCTGGGTCCTTTTACACTGAGTTATGCAAAATTGCCACAACAGGTTTTGTTAGTATTTGAATCTAGGGTCGTATTTTATGATTAGACATTAAGGAAATTGGACAAAAGATGTAGGTCAAACAGTATAATTAAAAATACAGACCATCAAATTGTATCCAACAATAGCTCACTTTCCTGCTGCTAATGAAATATGCTAGCACAAATTAGTGGTCTGTAACTTAAGTGTGCTGGAAAGACTTTGTCCTAGTACAAAAGGCATTCAGTTTGAGCATGTGTGTTACAATCCTCTAACCAGCAAAGCTGGAGGTTGGACATAGCTATAAATCCAGTGTGTTCTGGGAATAGAAGCTGGCAAAAACACTCCCAGCAAAATAATCAGGGCAGGATCTCGCTGGGATTTGGATACTGGCTAACATAACTAAGTGCAGATGTTTATGTGGACCAAAAGACATTCCCAGAATAAGAGTGCCGTACAAACACATGGTGATTTTTATAGCAGAAAAAAACCCGAGGAAGTGGGGATAATAAATCATATGCTCTTATTTCTGATGAAAGATTTTCTGTTATCCTCAGGTGGTCTGCACTGAAGTGGGCGAGGCTGCCTCTGCCATATCCCCTGCTGGGGTCTGTTGAAGCTTCTGGAGGTCGCTTGGGTTGCAGTTCTGGTGCTTGCCTGAAGGTCTCCAAGGGCTCCCCATGTGGGTCCCGTAGTATGTCTTCCATCAGTGGAGAGAATCAAGCATTTCTGAAAGCGTTACCCTAAGGTAACAGCTGAAACAGGTCAGATGAATCTTATCCCAAATTCCTGGTTCTCTCTAGCAACTACAACGGGAGTCTGGGGTGATCTGTGAGCTTAAATGAAGATATTTATACTGTACAGAGTTAGGCTGGAGAAGTTCTGATGAAATATGGAGCTCCTTCCTCAGATTTCTGGGGATCCTGAGTTAGCTCTTGAAAATCTTCAAAAGTACTGGGTAAGTCCTGGGCTGGTGGTAGCCTGGGAATCCTGTGCATTGCCCTGCGTCCAACCATTTTTCCTCCTGTTTTCATGTCAGTTTCTCATCCATTGGCCTAAATGTGGGTGCCTGTCCTGAGAACACGCTTGCTGTAACTTCCCCACGATGAGTAGCCTCACTGATCCCAAACTAGGAGATGAGGAGCTCAGTGCTCTGTGGTTCAGAAATACAAGACTACTATAGGGTTTTATTTTTCTTATGATGACTTCTTTTTGCAACTTGAGTTTGTTTATGGACAGCTTTATTATTTTGCCAAAAGTTTTGCTTTATACCCTGAAAGATTAATTCATATTCCCACTACATCACTCTGCTACCCTAGCTTTACTTCCATGTTCTCATAAAGCAGAGTTAAATAATTCCTATTAGTTTTATAGCCCTACCTGAATTATTTTTATCTGAACTCCACTGCTTGCATAGTGGCATCTCTTCTTTTCTTTTGGCTCCTTCTTACTTATATAGCTGAAAAAAATGCCTACTCTTTATTTTCCGTAGTAATTTTTAATGTAGCTGATATTTCTTGTTTTCGTTCTAGGCTTCCCTAAGCCTAGGCCTCTGATATTTTAATTTTTTCCTTTTTTCTTTTTTTTTCCCCTGTTTTGGTTCTGTGCCTACTCTTGATTACTTTTTGGTGGGTTCCACTATCCTTACTTCCAGAGCATTCCCCCTGCTTTTATTCTTTTATTTTGCAGGCAAAAGATTCTACAGCTTCTCCAGTGTTAAAATTCTTGAGGTATTAGTTGCATGAGTTTTCTAATTACTTTTATTAGTTTCTCTAAATTAGCTCTTTTGGACTATAATACTTTACATACACTTCTGGTTTTATTCTTCCATTCTAACTCAGATAACGATCACTTCTCTAATGTTCTCACCACTTACCAAAACTCTCTGAAATACCATCTAGGTTCAGTGAGTAACTGAAGATATTTCAGTACTAATCTAATTAAAATCTCCATCTCTATTCCTCAAAGTAAGTAAATTAATGCAAATCGATTCCCTTTGACCTTTTACCTCTACTAGCTGTTCATAACTGTCAATACATTAAAATACCAGACTATCCCATCACCTTTACCATAAATTCGGTCTTTCCAAAGCATCTCATATCCTGCTGCCAAGGTGTGGTTTCTATTCCACTTTGTTTATATTATGCTTACAGTGTCAGCTTTCATGTCTTGCCTCACTAGTTCAAGCTCTAACCTAGGCATCTCTTTGTTGTGTATGAATATACTGGCTGCTTCTTACTGATTTCACCCAGGTCTCTAGCTGGGTTTGGTAAAATCTTAGATTTTTTAGGTAACACTTCCTTTCTCATTTTAGTCATCCTATCCCCTGGTGTATCTTTTGTTCCTTTTTATTTGAATTTCCTCTTCTCTCAGCTGTGAAATTCATCTGAAATTCAGAGATTTGAGTTCTCTGATTCCTTCCCACAGTTGCTTTCTTTGCAGCTCTTACCAGCGAGGCCAGTTCCATAACAAGAGGTAAGGATTTGCTCAAGACCTTTGGATACCATCAGCCAAGAAGAGTGCCTGAAAGGTACATCCTGCACTGCTGTATTCAGCCTGTTGGCCATCTCCTGTGTTTGTCAAGTTAGACCTGTGACTGGACCAACAGCTGTTGTTTTTCAGTGGTCTCTCATGAAAAAAAAGGAGAAACTATGTCCCCAGAGCAGCCAGTTTCTGCAAAGCATTTAGAAATAGGTGCTACAGATGGTTGCTCTGTGATTACAAATGAGTTCACCTCTTCTTCCCCTTTGCCCGCAAGAAAGAACCCCCAAACCTTTCTGCAACAACTTGCTTCTTCCCTTTAAAAGACTGTTTCCTTTTTTGTTTTTGCTTTCTAACTCATTATGTCCCTCACTGACAAGTGAATAGAATAACCATAATTCCAGATGTTGGGAAGAGAGCACGGCTACATTAGAAATTCTCACAAAGCACGTATTTCCCATTAGAATGGAGTGACTTTGGTATTAGTGGATTATTTACAGACAGTACATTTGCAAAAAGTGGCATGTCTTGCAAATTCTTTCATTCCTTGTATTCTGGTAAACTTCAAGTGATAGTTTCAGGTGAGACAAATGGGGAGAAAATAGAATTTGAATGTAAGCGTATTTTGTTTCGGAAAGAAATGAAAGCAAAAAGTTTCAGTTCTTCTTATGTAAAATGTTTTCTTCAGCACACTATGTTTCATTTTTAATTACCTAACATTTCTGAAGTGTCCTTAAGAAACTGGATGAGGGAGGCAGAAGATGGCATTTGTTAGTGGTGTGCAGGAGGATTCTTGAAAATTTTTGGCCAAAACCATTTTTTCTCCTATTTTCCTCAGGCTGGCAATCAAAATGGGAAATATCACATTCACCCAGTTCTGTTCCTGATATTAAAAGGAAAGTCTTCTTGTTAAAGGAGATGGTGAATAACCAATTATTTAATGAAGTTGCTATATATTATGTATTGTCTATATAGGAGTGGGCATTTGTGTTTTTATGTAGACAGTTTTCCAGGTCCAGAATTCACAAGTGATTTGCTCTTGATAAAGGAGCTGCTTCTTGACTTATTTAGTCTTTTGGTCTACCAAACTGAAATAGGCAAAATGGATGAAGTATACCAGATCTCTTCTACTGGCAAGTCCAGCAGCTGGAACAAGAACTAGCAGCACAGCTGGCAGAGCCAAAGGCAGAAATAGAATACAACTGGATACTCCAGGGAATACCAAGTTGGGCATACAGGTAACAAGAATTTCCTGGGGAATGAGGGAGAGAGTGAGATTATAGCAATGTATTGTGTCTCTTTGGAGATTTTTTTAGTCATGATACAAAAGTCATGTGTTTATATAACTGTTCGGTTTTGAGACCTGAATACACACATGGGAGCCAGGAATAGCAGCTTTTTCATTGTGTGTCTACCACAGAATTATGGTTGAAATGGAAAAGAATGTCAAAACATAAACTAAATTGATTTCATGTGTGTATTGCAAACAAAACTTTAAATCTCCCTAGCATGTCAAGTATTTTCTTCCACTGAAGTAGCTTCAGACATAACGCTGAGATGTATAAACAGAATGGTTGCATATAAGGCAACTGCTCTCACTTTTCTCAGCGATGATGAGATGCAAGCTATGGCAATGTACCCGGGTTTGGAATTATGTTTCAAGGAAGCTTTAGAACACCTGGAGAATATTTGGAGGAAAACAGAGGTCAAGGACGCTTGACCAGCACACGTGAGGCAAAAAGGAGCTGGACTTATGTCTCCATTTTCTCTGGGTTATAAGTCTTCAGACACATGGGAGATTGCTGTAAAGACATAGGGAATAAACTTCTGTTTGCACTTATGAATAGGACAGAAAATAATGGCCTAAATTCAAACTTTCCAAAGATTCTGTTAATTAAACACTCATATCTGGACTAGGAGGTTGCTGACCATCCTTGATTGGAGGTCCTTAAGAAGAGGATAGACAAACACCTTTAGGGAACAGATTTACTTTTCCCTGCCTGAAAGCAGTGGAAGTTGTAGATGATCACACAACCCCTCCAGCTCCTATCTCCTTAGGGCTCTAAGATGTTACAGCAGTTTCCCATGTATTGTTTTTGGACAAGACTCAGGAGCCCTTATTTTAATGGTCCAATTTTCACCTGTGTTTTTAATTTACATGCATTCCATTTTATTCAGTGAAAAAAAAATTCTGTAATGTATGCTTGCTGTAAGTATATGGATGCATGAGAATTAAAAAATAGTTTTCCTCCAGAGGATTTCTCAGCCCCTCCTTCGGTGATATGTGCATATTAGGAAGGAAGTTGTCTAAATTGTGAAGGATGCCTGTCAAGGAGCTCCACTGCATAGTTGTGGGTTGAAATAATGTGCCCATAGAACTGACAAGCATCCAGATGGACTTTTCAAGGGCTTTGACTGAAAAATGGAGGTGGAAGAAAACAGTTTGCCAAAAAATGTCTGCTACTGAAATAAATTCTGCTGCTTTAATATAGGGTTTTCATACCATTTAACTTGCATACTGTTAATTTCACCATGTGAGTCATGTTGTGCCTGAAAAATGTTTGGTTTATACCAGCTGGTATGTAACAACCTGTTAAGCTTTTTTTTTTTTTTTTCTGCAGTTCTGTTCCAGTTCCAAAGGATGCTTCTTATTTCAGAAAAGAAAGGGAGTGAATACTAAAGAAATGCTTACAGGTAGGCAGCTATAGGATACACTGGCTTAAAAAAAATTTCTTTGCTCTTTATCAAGTAGTAGCTGAAAATTAAAATCAGAGAATGTGATACATTTTTTGGAGTCTGGGCCTGTAAAGACAGAATGGGAAGGGTCGTAATGTTGATTGCACGTTAGTAGAACAGCATAACCTTTCTTTTATTTGACTAGCAATGTGGAACTGGCTCTGCAGCATTTGTTTATGTGACAACTCCCAATTAAATTCGAAGTCCAAACATTTTTTCTGTGTTTGCAGCTTTTTTTTTTTTTTTACAGTATCCTGAAAAGGAGATCTATTCACCATGTGCTCCGTTTGCAGGTGACAGAAACAAAACCTCTTGTTATTCAGGCTGATGCCGTGCAGAGGGAGTTAGAGAGCTGCTGGAGAAGGGAGCACACAGCAGCAAACTTGCCTCTGGTTCTGCACCAGGTTGGGCTCCCACTCGCTGCGAAGAGCCTGGAACTTTCCTCTGGCCCAGCAGGTTGCACTGTGCACATTTGAAAATAAAAACTCCTTCCTGAAAACGGGCACGAAAATGTTAGTGCTTGCAGTTTCCTTGTACAATGTGAAAATTTCCTCTTCTTTTTCTTTAAAGGACAGGAGTTTAAGCCAGGTCAGATGGGCCGGGATGAGGTTCTCCCATTTCCATGGTGCTTTTGTGCTGCTGTTTTACTTCTGTATTGTGGGTCATTTTTATTTTCATTTTTAAAGTGGAGTTCAAATTTCTAGGTCCAGTGGACTGAATTCTGTCATTTTCCTTGTATTAACTCCTTTTTTTTTCATTCTCACTATAATACTTCTACTTGGACAACTTAGGGGGAGTACCCTTCGTGGATATATATAACAGCACAGTGGTCTTCGGAGACTGATTAGCTGTTGTTTTGGTGTTATTCTCTGATGCTTATGATGATCTATACATTGCTTAAGTATCCTATAATGTTAAGCTGCTGTTGCTTACAAATATGTGATTTGTTGGTTAATTCTGATTTTATTCAGGTTTTTTAAAGACAGAATTACTCAGCTAGTCCAGAGTAAATATTTGCACATGCTTAGGTGGAAGAGATTTTGTACACACAGCAGCATTGTTGAACAGTTTCATCCTCTCTATCAGGTAGGAACCAAAAGCTAGGATCTAGCACATATATATCTAGCACAGTAGCCATTTATGAAAAACAAAGTGTTAGCAATGGCACTTTTTTTCCATTCTAATAAAAGCTATTTACCTTAAGTCAGTTTGTCTAGAATTTGTCTCTGGGCATTCACTCTCAGCGATCTGCTAATGGTCACTAAGAGCTGCTCAGAGAGACTCACTATTTGAACTGAAATTCGCTTTTCCTCATTGGGTTGGGATTCGCAGCCTTTAGGAAGGAAATAAGCCTCTGAAATTACTCTCAAACTAGGATTCCTTACACGATAGAAATGCAATGGCCTTCTAGCTATTAGGAGAAGATACAGAAATGTGAAAATGACAACATCTCTTTTATATACATAAACAGAAGCAAATTAGTCACATCATGGAAGAGTAAAACGATGCAGCCCGGTGGCAAGGAAAAGTTTCCTGGCAGGAAAGAAAAATCCGGTGAATGCAGTGACACGGGAAGGTCGGATGATTTGCACTTGGTGGTTCGTGTGTCACCTATGCTCTCTGGAGGGTGTTCACCATTTTCTCTGGGTAAGATGAGCATTTTTTGAACAGTGAAGAATGATTATGAAACATTAAAGTCTTGGATAAGAAAGTAAACTGAGGAAGATCAAATCCAATGTAAAAGAAATCTAGAGGTTTGTAGATAATGAGCTCGACTGCGTACATATGACATTCAATTCTTTTAGCAGACTGATTTTACTAGAAAGGAAATACTGCAACAATAAAGCTGAACTTAGGTAAATGGAATAATGAGCTCCCTGGGTGCAGCATAGGTAGTGTTGTGCTGCTTGGATTTGAGATCCAGGATGAGAAAGGAAAAGTCTCTCCAAGCTTTTTCTGTATTATTACTGTGATGATGTTTTAATAGAGCAGGACACTGTCAAGGGGCTGAGTCATCTCAGTGAGTAGACTAGACTTGGGGAGTATTTGTTTAAGTGTCACATTTTGAAGGCAAATGTGAACACTTCCTTGTTTTATCTTGTTTGTTTAATGATTTCTTTATATGAGTGCTACAAGTCATTGACAGTGAATAAACTTTTGGAATTATACACCATGGCAACTATGGTTTGTTTTTTCTCTTTTGTATTTTATTACTAAATTTGCAGCTGAATAGTTTGTATGCTTTATAAGTGACTGGGAATAACAACAGTTCTGTTTTTATCTCCAGGTTCTCCAGCAGTTGCCTATTTCCCACAGAATAAATGTGGCTGATGAGAAATGTCCTTATGTGGTCCAAGACAACTGCGTCAAATTAAGAAATGCTTTTGACAGAAATTCAGGTATTTTTAATATTGATGTGTTTCCCTGTTCAAGAGTTTTAAGAAGAAATGGTGAGAAATTATCCGGTTTCCTTTAAAACCACAAGTTCTACAGATAATGCATTTGTTGATGTGTGGTTCAGAAAGATACTTGTGGGATCAACTCGGTGGAGAATCCAGGATGTTGTACTGATTATGCCAAACCCTGAAACTTTCTGCAAGAATATTATTTAACATATTTCTGTGGGTGGGCTGTTTCTGGAGAAGCTAAGAGAAGAGAGCTATTGTTTTAAGACTTATACTCAAGTATCTCTAGAAAAATCTCCTTGTGGTTATTTTCAAGTTCTCTTTCCTGTTGAAGGAAGCGGGGAGTGATGTTGCTTATGTAGAGTTACCTGTGTGAATGGTACTTAGCAAGCAAGGCAGCATTCTTCTTGCAGAGTGTTTGAACCATATGATTTAACCCATGCTTTTACAGACAGAGCGGGAATAGTGTGGAACTGGGGGAGCTCACAGAATTGCCTATGGAAAAGCACAGCCCCTCTATCCTGGGGATGAGGCAGGGCATACACCACCTTCTTGCAGTTGGGAGATGGGCTGGCCAAGGTGGAGGCAGGAAAAGGTGCTGTGACTTGTCCTTCCCATCTCCTTTCTCCACAGAAGACCTCTTCCACAGGGGATGTGCAGCTGTGGGTCTGCACAGGGGAGCAGTGCGCAGCCCTGGTCTGGAGTGGCACTGCCCAACCAGTGACAACTGTTTGAGAACAGTGCTAAGGGAAGTGCAGATTTACCTGGGACAGACAAGGGACCTTTAGTCCTTAGTGGTCTAAGCTCTGACTAGTCAGTTGGTGCAGCCCTCTTTCATTCAGGGGGCCAGTGGGGGTCCCATGGTGGGAAGACATGAGAGCACTGCCCCGGGAGTACAGCATGACTGGTATTAAGGAGCAGGGAGAGGAGGGTTAAACTAGGTCGTTTTGATCTTCAATATCTAGTTATCTAATATTCGAGGAACAGTATCATATTACCATCATAAGCTTCATTCATCTGCTGTCTAGATCATAGATGAAACAACAGAATGATTAAACCAGACATTAAAACCAAAGCTGAAGTAAAGCATGGAACAGAAACGCAGATGGCCCTTTATTGCTGAAACAGTGAGATAATAAATTAGATTACATGTAGTTTCACTAAACCCCAAGAGTTTTACTGAACTTTAGCAACCTGTAACTTACGTATTAGAATGTTTGCATGTATCAGCAGTGCCCACCAGCACTGGGTAAAGAAGAATCGGTTCACACTTATTTGGACTTTCAAAAATCTTTGGAAAAGTAATAGCAGAAAAAGTGCTGCTGTTTGTTATGGCTTGACCTAAATAAAAAAACCAACCAAACAACCCCCCATTGTTAAATATACCTGTCAAATAGCTGAAAAAATGGAAGAAAAGAAGGCAAAATTTACAGGAATACATTCATTCAAGGATGAATGAATACTGATATCCTTCTTCAAAGCCCTGAGCAAGCCTCAGATGAGGTAAAGAAGGAGGAGAAAACATTTCAGTTCTTCTAAAAATGGGTGCTATGTTGCTCAACACTGATACCACTGAAACTCAGCCATTCCCAGTACACCCTTGTTTCAGAAGTTTGTGATAGCAACATCATGCCAGAATCAGATACCGGAGGAGTGATAACCCTGAAATAGTAACATACTTGAAGTTCCTGTGGCATGTGAAGATTTGGGAGGTGTGTGTGAGAGAAGAATGTTGTACGCCCCTGAGCCAGGACTCTGTTCAGGCAGTAGGGTTTGTTAGTTGGCATCGTTTCCATGCTAGAAGATAGGCTCTCCTCCAAGGACCATGGAGGTGCCCCGGCCTGCAATAGTTGTTAGTCTTTCAGGGTCTGGTGGAAGGCCCTTCCTTGAAAAAAAAAATGCAAATAATAAAAATCCATAAGATGTGAGTTCCCCCTTCCCATCACATTCCATTCTCTGACATATTTCTGCTTCAGGACAAAAAAAGGGAAATTACATCATTGTGTGGATGCAAAGCAAAGGACACTGACAGCATTGCTGCCAGTCATCTTACCATCACGCTGCTTAAAGTGTTGAGGTTCTCCAGCTGGTCTGATTATGGCTTTTTGCAGAATCCTGCCACAAGGACACTGGATTCACTTTGCTCCGGCACAGCACTGAAACTGAGAGGCTGAAACCTCAGCTTCAGCTTCTGCTTCCTCTCTTTGGCATTGACTACAACCTTAAAGCTCTCAAGAACTCAGCTGATGAGATGGAGCTTTTTTCCTTAGTAACTGAAATGTACTTCTAAATATAAAAAAAAAAAAAAAAAAAAAAAAAGAAAAGAAGAAAAAAAAGAGTCTTTAAAAGTATGGAAGGAGGTTCCATTTATTATAAATCAGTGTTTTGCATCATGGAGAAATTAGATTGTAGGCGTTTTTGCTCTTGACAGGAAGCAGCAGAACGGCCCAGGTCGCTTTCATTAAGCCGTAGTAGCTGCTAACGTTTGTAATTTCAGCATCATGGCCTAACTCCATACCTTTGCTCTCCCAACTCTCACTCATGCTTTTTGTGCATATTTCTCGAGTTTTCCTGCTCTTGTTTGGTGTCTCCCCAAGCTGTGGTACTTCCACTAGAGGTCGGCTGTGACACACCATTGCCCAGGACCTCACTGAGCCTCCCCAGCTCATGGGTTACCAGCAGGAAAACGCTGGGTTTCGTCTCTTCTGACACCCAAAAGTCAAAACCAACTGATAATCTCCACCATGTGGTCAAGGTCCAAGGTCCAAAAGGGCTGCATAGCTGTTAAACAGAAATAACATCCTGCTTTTAAATACATGGCCTGCCTTGCGGATCCCGCCTTGTGTGAGAGCAGGTGGTACAGCTGGAAAGGACAAAGGTTTGGTTGCATAAACTGGTCTGTAAGTCTCTCACCAAATTAACATTTGACTAGTCCAGCTGAACTCACTGGCGCAGATAAGCGCAGGCAGACGTGTTTACATGACTAGGCTATGATGTAAATTGTAGGCTGGCAGTGGCTTACTAACTTTTGAACAGGATTTTCAAAGTACATCTTCTAGGCAAATGCTATTCCTATCGAAGCCAGTGATAATAAATTTGTCATTGACTTTGACTGACTGCTTTTGAAAATCCTGGTCTTCTTTTTGGAGGCTCCAGCGTTAACAGCAGGGCGTTTCATTATGGCTGCTTTTTTTTTTTTTTGGCTGATAATATGTAGTATTACTTTGCTATAGGATTTAATACCCAGCTTGGGAAATTTATAACAGCAACATCTCCTCTTATGCTTTCAGTTGTCCAAAAATTTAAAAGTGTCTTCTGTAAACAGCAGACAATGAGAACGTTTCCAGTTTATGACGCAGAGGTTTCTAGGTCAGAGACCTGGGGTGTGCTAGATCCAGCCAGGGCTCTAAAAAGAGAGCCAACTGGATCCCTTTTTGAAAGGTAATTATGAGGAACTTTCCTTTCTCAGCTGCATTAGCCCTAACCAGTCTTCAGGATGTACCAGGATACATTTCAGCAATTAAAGTCCAAGATATTTCTTTTGACAAATAGAGTGTTGATTTTTTTCATAGTTCAGGCCTTATCAAACTACTATATTTCTATAGAGTGAAGAGCACCTTTTCATGTCTGTTCAAAATAAAAAGTGAATGTATTGCATTTTCCTTACTAAATATTGTCTCCTATACCAAAAGCACTCTTAACTTTTGTGATTGCTTTTTTGTTTACCAGATTAAGCCTAAAGTGGATCCCTGGCAGCAAAAGCTTTTGATGAAACTGAAACAATGGGAAAAAGTGGATAAGCTGATGGACCTTCCTTCAAAATTTGTAGAGGTAACATAACTCAAAGTGATTTAATTTAAATGGATTTTAATTTATTTATTGGATACTTCCAGGGAAATTGAAATGTCTAAAATAAGGTTGCTTCAGGTTTATGTATCGTGTATATACCTGAATTCCTTAAAGACCCATTACTAAGGTGCTATAGGAATATTTTTCCACCTCTTTCTCAGTTCAGTGGTTTCAAAAGGCAGCTTGAACACTTGCATAAATATTCAAAAGCTCTGAAGTTCACCTAAGTCAGGTCAAAATCAGCCCTGGAATTTGTGTCAAAGAGATTGCTCAGAACAGCTTTCTTTTAATGTGACCAAGGTTCAGACGTGTGCTCAAAAACCAAGTCAAAAGACTCTGATAGTGAGGTACAACTCTCAAACTTGGTAGGGCACAATGTACAGACTGCCTGTGCCCCAGGGAGAGGTTACTGAATGTCTCTATTTTGGTTCTAGCTTTATAGGTTCTCTTGATTCTGGTTATAACATTGCCATTTTTGGCCATTTTGAGGATGTCCTGCAGGACAGCTCTGCCATCCAGCTTCCAAGGAGAAATGGCAATGTGCATTCGTGCATCAGGACTGCTTTGCATCCACAGTGAGCCTGAGGCACCCATAACACCTCCCACCGTTGTCTTGCAAATAGTGGTCATCTGTGAAGAGCGGTATTAATTTGTCCTAATTGCATCTGTTTCACTGAATGTACCCTGCAGGGCTAACTTGCCTATTCCCAGTAAGCTCTGCTCCTTCAGGCTGGTGCAGATGCATGGATGAGCTGCAGGGTGTGATAGGCTGGTCAGGAGTATTGGGGTCTTGCCGCATTTTTCCAGTGAAATTTTAGCAGGTCTGGCATCTTCATCTGTAAAACAGGAGTCCTCTGCCTCTTAAGGATGAGAAGAACTAATGCAATTAAGATGTTGAACTGCCCCTGTAGGACTGGATCTGAATAAATATCTGAGCCAGCAAAACTCCTCTGGTTATCAGAGGGTGAAATTACTGCCTCTCATCCCCCAGCTGAGCCTGAAGCACTGTGAAAAATAAGGACACTTTGTACTTCAGTTCCCAGTTTTACACAGGAACAGAAAATAATTCCTTTCTCTTAAGCTATGGAGGAGTCATGCCCCTATGTGCCCTCTTCTATCAGTAATCTCATTCCTGCCAAATGGAAGGTCCTTGGTGAGCTGCCTCCTTCTTCCTTTAGTACCCAGGCAGTGTTGGGTTCACCAGAGCAGCCTAAGCCATGCGTTCAGCTCACATGAGGCTATTTCAGCCCTTTGAATGTCACCAGGCTCCTTTGTCTTGTCTCCTCAAAGAACCACTCCTGCAGTTCATCCAAATAAACACCTCTGTCTTCAGGCTTGAAGATGCCCTGCTGTCTAGAAGGGGGGTAATGGGCTTGTCACAGAGTCCCAAATGATGCTGTGTATGTGTTCGAGTTGTGGGTAAGCCTTGATTTGGGATCCTTGCAGGGGTTGCTGCCTTCCTTGGGGATGCCAGCTGGGGAGGGGAGGAGGAGGCTTCCCATCTGCCTGGGGACTGTGGATGGCACGGGGCAGAATGGTGTGAGGGTGTCAAAAAATCAACCAAAGAAACAGAAAAACACCCAGAAACAGGCAGAAGCAAACAGTACTGGCTGAGCAGGGTAGAGCTGTCAGTGCCGTAGCCATGGACCGCGTGTGAGGATGGTGGCTATTCTGCTGTCTGGCTTTCTCAGGATTTCTTAGGATCCCATCAGCCTTCTCTATCCTCTTTAGGTGGCTACTTGCTTTGCCTACACCTGAAGCTGACCTCAGTGAAACAGGGAGCCTTAGTAGGCAGCTTGTGTTGGGCTGAAGGCAGGAGGATAATAAGGCTGTGCTGGAGCAAATTGCCTCCAGTTTGGGAAAGGGAAAATGGAGGCTCCTGGCTTCCCCCCCTGCTCACCTTCCCCAAGCCTCTTCCCACTGCCTGGCTTCTGATTTTGTGTTTTAGTGTCTAACAAGCCTGAAAATAAATTTAACTCTGAGAGAATGAAGGTGCTTGGCAGTGGAATGCTGGATCGTAATGGTGCTTAGTAGAGAAGCAGTAATGGATCAGAGGATGTTGACTCCTGACCAGTAAGAAAGTGAATGAAGTAAATGTTTGGGAAATGAATGGAAAAATAATTTCAATAGGGTTTGATATTTAATTTACATTTTTATTAAAGGCTTCCTGCTCGCCTGTCCCCCCTGCCTTTTAATGATTATTTTTTCCTCCTGTGTTAAGAAAGATTCCATTTGTTTTAACTTTTCATCATCTTTGTTCAAAACAGATGACAAAGATGAGTTCTGTAAAACTCCTGTTCTTAATCCCCTTAGAATTCCTGTCAAGCTTTGCTAGAATTCATATCAACAGAATTTTTCTGATGCCAATAATTGCTAAAGCATGACCAAGTTCTTCAAATTCTAATTCTGATACAAGTGGCAATTAAAACAAGTACTACAAGATTAGATGTGGTTTTTTAAAAATTATTTTTTTACTACCAATCATTCTGTTTAACCTGTTTTTTTGGCAGTCATCTATATATTTAGTCTCCCTGGTTTGCATTTAACATTCATTATTTACTTTCATAGGTCTCACAAAGCATTTGAGAGAGAACCCTTTTTAAATTGCAGAAATCAGAAAGTGGATGTGTATACTTTGCAGCTGAAGTTGACTTACAATATTTTAAATAATTGAATGAATTTGATTTTGATGATACTTTTAGAAAGATTTGCCATATATAGTCTTTTAATTTAGGACTGAAATAAGCTTTCTTTTATAATCCCTGTTTTCAGACCTTTTACCATTGCCAGATATTTCACAAAGAAACCATTCTTTCCAATCTTACCACAGCATGTAATTTTTCTGGAAAGCTTGAGCAAAAGCCATCATCACCACTAACAAAAGTGAAAATGGCTTTGCAGCTCTCTGAGACAATGAAAAGAAGACAATTCTCCTTGTTTTTTTCCATAGTGGTTTGCTCACCAAATACATTATGTTTGGGTTTTGGTCAAGAAACAAGTTCACTTCCTTAATGGTGAGGGGTAACTGGAAAGGAAAGAGGGATTACTCAGTAGTGCCTCCCCTCCATAAATCTCAGTTAGAAAAAAAAAAACTTTTGCATTCTTTCTTATCTGGTGCATTCCCTCTGTATGCTGTGACAGGCAAATCCGTTTCTGCAAAATGCACCTTGGAGAGAGCACAGCAGACAACTTTCCTAAATGAAGGAGAAACAGTAATGAGTGGTTCTGCAGAGGCTCCCTCACTAGATGCTCTGAACTGACCCTGACTCACTGCTGGATGGGGGCTGGCACACTGACTCGTTTGCCTTGTGAATCTCTTATCTGTATTTGATGTGGTTTGAAACAAGGTCTCAGACATGGAGAGGGTGATGGAAGGTCTGCAGGAACACGTGGCAGTGCTGTTCGAGCCACATCCTGCACAGTCAAGTTGTGCAGCTTCTGCTCATGCCTCAGGACACCAGAGCTACGATCAAGTCTGGAAGGAGATCTATGAGCTCTACCAGGTACTTAGAAAGGGAAATGATGAATAAAGGTCAATTAACATGTCTAGCCGGCATTTGTCAGCTCTTATAGAGAACTTCTCTAACAGATTTCTGTTCCCCTTTTTCACAATTCAGTCTCCTGCTACTGCTGCTAAGTGGGTCCTGCCCAGCTGCAACTTACGGTTGCGTGCCCAAGCCGCATACACGATGTCCTCTCCTCCTTGGGGCTCACTAGTTGCTGTGCAGCCACCAGCCCAGTCATAGCACAAGCAGCGTGAGGTTGCACCTACCTAAAAATGACAGTTACAAGCACATGCCTGTAGCTGTCAATTTGACCACAAGAGCTAGAAGTGCACCCTAGTGTTGACTGGAGAATGTGGCGTTAGGGAATGGGTTAGCCTGTGTGTATGGAGGAGAGTGGAGGAAGGACGGTGGCGTGTCTTGGTTGCTGAAGGCTGTCCAGCAGCCAAGCACCTGTGGACCTGACAGCAGATGTCTGCTTTGTGCAGGGGCAGGTGTGATAGCAAGTTCCTCCTCTTGGGGAGGAAGCGGCATTTGTGGGCATGGCCTCACAGAGGCCTCACGGAAGTTCAGACGCTGCGAGAGATCTTCAAGTTTTGGAGAGAATAAAAACAACACAAGTGGCCTAACTGGTGGGGTAGGGAATGAGAAGTAGGAGCTATCTCGCTGGTATCTGGGGAATTTGTAGTAACAGTGCCATGCCTTACGTTGTGAGCCCTGTGACTAACCCTCTGAATTTGAAGGTATCTCTTTGATGAAGATGGACTTTGATTCCCTAGTTCTTTATTGTCCTCCTGACTCAGAAGCTGCTGCTTTGACAAGTATAAAAGCAAGTTCCTGTATCTGCATCCTCATGTTTCATTTGGCTCCCTCTGCCCATGTCCACCTGCCTGCACCAGTGGGCTCTGGGGGTAAGTTAAGAAAAGACTGAACAATATCTTTCTTCTTCTGTTGTTTTCTAAAGAGGAAAGGTCTAAGCTACTGGGGCTGGATGCAGCCCCAGTGTTAATGAGAAGAAGTTCATGCACCCCTGCTCATAGCCAGGACCAAGGAGGGCAGTGAATGATAAAGAAGCAGGGAAAGGGAACAGAGGGAGAGAGACAAAATTTACTCTCTCCCCATTCCCTCTTTCCTGCTGATTAATTGGCCCCAAGGCAGATACCAACTCCGCGTTCAAAAATAAACCCCCATTTTTCTGTCAGGAAAAGCTCCCGTGTGTGAAAACATACAGTTCTTCTTACCTCAGGCTGACGCTGCCCAGGAAATATTTGATTACTTAACGAAAACTTCAGGAAAAAAAAACATTGGGTTGACTCATGCAAGCTACATGATGATTAATGAAACAAAAGGAAGAAAACATGATTGCACTGTACATCTTCTGTCAAGCGCACCGAGTCCACAACCGGGTTGGGAAAGAGTACTTATTGTAGGGGCAATGCAAGGGACGTGACTGATCTCAGCAGCATTAGGTTAATTAAAAACCTAATTTTGAAACAGTCTAGTCATGATGGCATAGCAAAGCTAGAATTAGATCCTTCACAAAAAAAAAAAAAAGCTCTGTCCAGATCTCAGTGTTTTTAAAATAAAAATTCAGCTGCTACCTTTTTTCCTCATTTTACTGGCATTGTTCAGACAGCATTGTCTGTAGCTTTTTAAAGTGAACATTTTTAGTGTGAATGTTTCATCCCCTGCTTACTCCAAATACTTACTGTGATATTGAAGAGATGTACAACAAATGTTTTTGATTCAGGAAAATGTATTTTAATTCTATCTGACCTCACATTATTTCAAGTAATAGAGATTGAAGGACCTAGTTTCTCTAAAATTTAAGAAATTAGGATTTTGGAGTCTATGAGTACAGGATGAATGAGGTTGATCATACTTAGTAAGGACAGAGAAATCAATTTACAGATAATCCATCATTGCAAGGATTATGTAAAGCATTCCTTGTTTGACAGTTTGACATCAAGATTTATTTGCCTTGAAGGAATTTTTGGAGACAATGCCCTCATGTCAACTTGCAAATCTATAGGACAGCCAACATAGTCCTGAGTTTATCTATGACATTTCTATGAGTAACTTTGTTAGGATGTCTCATGTTGAGCAGGATAAATTTGACAAGCACCAATTTGTGAAGATACATTAATAGAGTTTTCTCTAATCAGAAAAAACAATGCCAAAATCAATGCTGTAAAGCCCTTAACTGAAAAGAATTCCAACTTATGCCATCCAAATTCCAATGAAGTAGTGAAATAAATTGGGATAGAGAAATGGGTTAAGAGGACAAATTTTTCTTATAAGCTTGATTGTCTGAGGAAATTAATTGGATAGTGCCTAGTAAATCACTGTCCACAGTGTTCCGCAATTAATAAATACTGTGTGACTCATAGTGATCCTCTCGTTTACACTGCAACTAATGCCAATTAAATGTCACTGTTGTTGGAGTAACTCCTGATGCATGTGAGAAGGCCTTGATGGAGCTGATAACATGGCAGGTATAGCTGTTTTCCTGATTTCTGCTCTAAATCTGTTCTTTCTACTACATTGGTGAGTGTACTGGAAAGGAGTGAGAAAAAACCCCAAGTATTGAATTTAATTTTACAGAATATTCACTATAGCATTTAATATATGCCTGTGTTGGGGGTGTTGTGTATACATCACAGTAAAACTTTTCTACAGCCTGCTCTGATGTTACTTCTTTGTTGCCACACTATGATTTTGTTCCATGCTTAGCCTATGTTCTGCTGCCATAAATCAGTTTTTCTTTTATGGCAGGAGGAAACAGAATGGACTAGGAGGTCAGACATGCCATGAGGCATAGCTGGGTTGAGGTTTTGGTGAACCAGATGTTCTGAATTTCTTTGGAGAAGTTTTTTGATTTGACCCTTGCTGTGGTCTTGTCTTTGGAATGGGCATAGCTTTCATACAGCCCAGGGACTTTTTAAGGATAAAACACTGAGGTCTGGATAGCAATCAAATACTGTGGAGTTATACACCACAATAATTTCACTGCTGGCTGGATTATGAATTTCATACAGTATGGCACTTCCTTTCCTTTTCTTTTCCTTTTGTTATGATAAAGCTTGTGCACAAAGCTGTCAAATAAAAATCATATGCATACTTACCATGCCAATTTTTAACTATGTGTGTTGGAGCTAGGAACTAACTACCAAACATAATAGCACATCTGTGGCTCACAATGGGGAGGATGTAGGAAATATCAGCTTCACTAAATCTCTGGCATCCTTCAGAAAGAAGAATGAAAGAGGGTAAAAAATAGTTTTATAGGTATATGTAAATGTATATAAAGGTATATGTATAAATATGTATGTATATATTAAATAAAACCTTACAGAAGGAAGAAAACTTATTTCAAGCTACTGTTTCTCTGACAGAAACAGTAGTACCATTCTTTCCCATTATTCCGTGCCACAGGTTTCCATGACAGTCAGTCCCTTAGGCAGCCTTCTCTTAGACAACAGATGTAGCAAAACTGCCTACTTTGCAAAGGTTTAGACATCTCCTTTAGTAATAAAAATGTAATTACGTTTTTCTTGTCTGGAAAAAAAAGTATAGCTATATGGGCAGCTTGCAGCTGCTAGGATTAGAAGAGGAGACAGGAACTGCCCCCCACGTGGTGAGGAGAGGAGCCCCTTGTCTCCTCTTTTCCTATGTCACCTGTGACTCCAAGAGCTAAAGGTAAAAAAAATCAAGATAAAATCTGCAGAGATGAGAGTTAATTTTTTTTAAGAGGAGAGCTGTCATCCAACTGAAAAGTCAACTGTGTGTTTGCTGTGATTTGTTTCAGCGAGCGTGCCTGGGGATCCTGAACTACTTCAGGTCTGTGGAGAGAAGCCTGACCATCAGTACCGCTGGCCTCTCCTTCAAGGCTGGTCACCTAATTCCCAGTGCAGAAGACACCTTGGTCTGCTGCCAAAGGAAGCACTGGTGCCTTCAATGCCCTGAGTTCACAGCTGTATATTCACTACACACCAGCGGACTACAAGGTGAGGTACCACCAGCCTTTAGTCTCCCAAAACGTGAGCTTCCACAGGAATATCTAATCCAGTTCCCTCTTCCATGCAGCCTATGTTGTGATCAGTTGCTGAATCATCTGAGGGATTCAGTGTAGCTTGTTCCTCAGCACCATGTGTCTCACCTTAACAGACTACAGGGATTTCCCTGTATTTACCAGCAGTCTGTAGCAAACCTCTGAGAAACTTCAGACACATAGAAGTATAATGTCAATACTGCCTGCCAGATAAACATTTACTTAGATTGGTGCTGCTGGCTGTGCTTAAACTAAGACCTTTGTAGGTGTGGACTTATCACACAGAGTAGATGTTCCTGAGAAATCTGAGGTATTTTGCAATTTTTGGAAATTCTTGTTTAAGTAGCTCCTAATAACTTCTAAATTGTGTTATTTAGATTTAGGTAGAGCTTAGGACTTATTTTTTTTTAACCTTGTATAGGGACATGTGGCTGAAGTGATATACTAAGTACACTTAGCGTCACCGATGGGAAAAATAATAATTCAAATTAAATTCTTAAGGCTTATCAACCTTTGATTGCCCTAACTTTTTTGTAAAATATACTGAACAGAATCAATACATCATGCTGAGATTAGTGGTTTGATATTATATAGTATTTTGGTTTTTGAGCTGTAGAATTTCCTTGCAGCTCTGCTACCTAACGCTCATCCCAAATTTCTCAAGTAGAAAGCCTGAAGAAGCACATTTGTATTTTCATAGGAGTTTTTTCGACATTTTGAGCTTACATTTATTTCTCATTTACTTGTTTGTTTGGTTTGGGTTTTTTTTCTGAAAAAAAACCAACCCCAAACAACACAGAACCAAATGCACAAGCCACTTCATGGAAGAATTGTGGCTAGAACCAAAAAGGAAGTAGGATTCCTGCCCCGATTTGTTGCTTATGTTAAGACACCAAACCTCCCCCTCGCCCTCAAAAAAAAAAATCAAACCTGAAAAACACTTTGCGTCTCTAAATATAAAGAAATCTAAACTAAACCTCTTTGAAACATTAAATGTGTGGGGAGAACATGGGGTTGATGATATTTTTAAGGTACCTTTAGTTTTATTTCTGATATGGCCACATTCATCCTTTAAAAATCTAATCAATTAAAATTCCTAAATGAAAAGCTACTTGGAACTCTTGAAACTAAATAATTGTGATGTTCCACTCAAGAGATGTTGAACTGGGTGGTCCAGCATCTATGAATTTTCGAGTCAGAAAAAGTAATTAAAAAACTTATGTTTTCCAATGGGAGGTGTCATTTTTACTGGAAGCGGGCATTGTGACAAACTCTCCCTCTGAACTCTGCATAATATACATTTATTTTCATTCCCTTTTTTGATGCAAAGATCAATCCTGATCTTCCATCTAAATGCTCTCTGATCTGGAGATTAGCAGTGAAATACTTCAGAGAGCCCCAAGCAATGAGACAGACATTATTTCACAGTGGCCTCTCCTTTCCCTGGACTAATACATGGATATGATATATACTCTTGAACTTCAACTAAAGCTTAGTTACTAATCCTATTACAGTTTAATTGGCAAGAAATTTAGAAGCAGGGGCAACAGTATTTCCTTAACAACAGTTTCTGAGGTGGTTTTGTTTTGTTTTGTTTTATTTTGTTTTAATATACTGCACAGACTGTCCCTCAAGAACTGAAAAAATAATAAAGCCACTTTATTGGCAAATTATTTGAGACCTGTCTAATGGCGCTTGCTATAAACCTGAAGCACAGAGCATTGTTTTTAAAATACTTTTAGCATCTACTCTATGCCCAAAACTGGAGTCGTACCTGTATTACGAATTCCTCCACATTGTAAGCTGTGAGCCCATGTGATGGCTCAGCTCCCCACGTATCCAAAACTGAGGCAGCGTTGCACCCTGCCTAGCAGATGCTGGGGATGGAGATCATCAGAGGCATGAGTTCCAATGACAGAAGGCCCTGTGAAACAATGCATTACGTTACATAAAACTCTTTTCTGGCCCCTGGTGAGATTCAGCTTGAAAGAAAGGAGATAAAATATATGTAGGTGCGTAAGTTTTGCTTTATAACCCAAAAGGGATTTGTTAAACTCCAGTAAACCTGAGCAGAGCTAGAGGGGGAAAGACAAAATCCACAGGCAAAAAACATTGCACATAAATATCCAGTTACTTGATTTGTTGCTAAAGACATATAACTGGCTATTCCCATTTTTATAGGCATAAGTAGTATTTAGAAGGCTTAGGTAGTCTCTTTAAAATATGACACCCAAAACAAATACAACAGGGAAAAAGTCTTCATTTCTTTTTGGTTTGGTTTTGTAAGAACTCTCCAGTTTGGTACTCACATGCTCCTGCAGAATACAGTTAGTCTGCAGTTAAGACTAACTTCTGCAGTTAGTCTTGACTGACATTTTTAGGAGTGGGACAGAGCAGGAATCACCTGAAAATAAATCAAGAGCTTGAAATTTGAGATATTTAAATGAATGTTCTTCATAAGAATGTTTAAAAACACAACTAAAACCCCCTTCTACCTGGTATGGTGAAGTCCGCCCAGTATTTGCTCAGTTATTTACCTAAATCAAGTTAGATTTAATTCTTCTATAAAGGGCTTTTATTTAACCTTTAGAAAATTCTGCACCCCATTGCTAAGAGCAGTGAAACAAATATTCTGGTCAGAAGAATAAGGAAAGAACAGAGAATACAGAATACTATACTGAAAAAAGAAAAGGAATCTGGCCAGGCTGACCCAATATTATGTTCAAATAAGGTGAACATATTGCAGGGCTGCCTCCTTAATTTTATGGGGGAGAATGAATTCTAATCCAGCATAGATCTGTGAAGCTGGCAAGCTGTTCCTCCCAGTATCTTTAAATTTGACTAAGATTTCCATGACCAAAGTGAATACTTTTTCCTTTCCTCCATCCTTTCTTTTAATAGAATTTGAGACATCCAGGTGCTAGCAGGTAACGTTTGGGTAGCATTGGGGATCTTGTAAAGGCAGATATCAGGAAACCTAGCGAAAGGAGGAAGTCCCAGTACATTGTACATCATTATTTGGCAGTGAAGTGAGAGCAAAGGTGCATTACATACCAGGAAACAGTAAAAACAAACAGTGGAAAATGAGGAGCTTGTGTTTGCTTGCCAGCTTCTTATAAGAAGAACCATTTTTAAAGGCTTCTATGGATATACCCCTATACCAAGTGCTTATTTGCACTGGGACATTAACTTCTGTAATTATACACCAAGAGATAGATGTATGTAATTCCCTTTGTGGCACTCCTAGTCAAGAAACAGAGTCTTTTGAAAGCTAACGCCACTTCTGCTGACTGCAGTGCTGGATTCTTGCCTGGGGTGTTACCAAGCTAACTAGTGACTCACTGCCAAGGTAGATGATTCTCTTTTATAGATGCTGCTGGTTTTTTTTAGAAAAATAAGGTCATCGTTAAACTATTCTATTGAACAAGTAATGATATCACAACAATTTGGGACATCAGTCAATGGATGTTCCTTTTAATTAGTGCTAAAGTTTTTGTGTGTGTGAGTTTATCTCAAAGTCTTGCAAGTGTAACTTACCAAGAAGATTTTAAAAAATATGTTAACTTCATCTTTCAATATCAGAATTTAAGAGACTTTTTGCCAAATTTGAGCTAAATTAGATAAAGGGAAAAATGTTCTACCTTAGTTCAAGAGCCAATCTTCTTGTTTTGATGTCCTTTTGGTGCTTTTTCTGGATTTATACACCCGAAAGAGAAACTTAGCACAATAATAATTTTGTACAGTTTGTCTTACTCCATGATAGTATAAATGAAGCCATAGTGTAGGTGTTATCTGTAAAGAAATAATATTTTGGCAATTTTAAATTATATTGTTCTTTGCTAGTGACAAAATACCACGTTCCTAGGCCAGGTCCACCCTTAGATATGTTGATTATGCAGAATTACAATCCTTGCAGAGCTGGCTGCTAGTATCTCTGTGTCTCTTTCTCACAGCACAGGACCACAGCACTCAATTCACAGAGTTTGCAGAGGTGAAAAACCATGATGACTTTTACACTAGTGAAGAAGGATATATTCATACACAGGACCAGCGAGGGGTTTACATAATATATGATGTGGCTTTAGAGGACCTGAAGGAGCTCGAGAACCAGCTGCTGCTTGTGGCCAGCCAGTACATTAAGAAAGATAACAGTAAGATATCTACAGGTCCAAAAGACCTGTGATAATTTGTTTGCTGTTTTCAAGGTAGGCCAATCCTATGACCTCCTGAATCATTGCTGTACTTCTGCAAGACCAAGTGCTGACTGGATTTTTGGGACCTTTCTTTATCCTCCTAGTTAGCCAAGTGATGAATGTGTTACAAAGACCTAACTGAGCATGTGGAATTGCTTGTCACATGTTGTTAGTGTCACAGTTTTGTACTTATTCAGGGTCATAGACATGAAAGTCATCCTGGAGGGGAAAATAACACAGAAGGGACATTTACTGATATAGTTAAGTAGTATAATGAGCAAGCACATCTTCAAGGCACAGAGAGAGAGAGTCAGAAAAGAAAAATGTTAATTGTTTCTGAATGTCTTTAATTAATGTATTAGATTGCTTTTCTGCAGAACTGAATTCACCTCCCATCACTTTTAAACTTTTCTCAGTTCTAAATAAGAAGCTTCAAAGTATTTGATGTTCTAGACTTTCTTTTTTCCTGCTGCTTTTTTTTTATAGTAATAACTGAGTTGAGGCAGATTTCTAAAAAGAACAGCTGTGCTTCTAGAATAGTGAGGAGGAAGAAGCTTGTAATTGTAGAAAGTATGGGGGAGAGCCATTAGAAAAGAGTGAATAAATAGCACAAACACATATGATATTCAGAAAATTGCACAAAATATCTCTTAAATCACTGGAATTACTTTCTGTATTGGTAGGATGTTTTTTGATGTTTTAGTGTGCTTCCCTAAAACTGAAGGTTCTGACCACAGAATGCAGGGCAGAGATGAGGATTAAGATGACCAAAGATCTTTACAAATCTGTGAATGCTGGGACTTCCTTTGAAGTCACCTGAAAGTCCTCATTGTGGACCTTTTTCTGGGGCATCTTTCATATGAGGAGAAGCTGAGAGAGCTGGGATTGTGCTGCCTGGAGAATTCTCAGGAGGGACCTGATCAGTGTGTATAAATACCTGGTGGGAGGAAATGAGGAAGAGGGAGCCAGACTCCCCTCAGCGGTTCCCACTAACAGGACCAGAGGCACTGGGCACAAGTTGAAACACATGAAATTCCACCTGAATACAAAAAAAAAGTATTTTTACTGTGAAGGTGGTCAAACACTGGCACAGGTTGCCAAGAGGTCTGTGAAGATTTTCAAAATCTGACTGGACACAGTCCTGGGCAACCCACCCTATTTGACCCTGCTTGGGAGCAGGAGGTTTGGCTAGGTGACCTCCAGAGATCCCTTCCAACCTCGGCTACTCTGTGATTCCATCTTTATAGGAGGCAGAATACTGAATGAGTCTGGTAAAGCTGTTCTTGTGTTTGTAGGTCACTTCATTATCACCCTCACACAGCACACTTGAGGACTGATTACATACAACCTGTACTCATTCCTTATGCTCCTTCTTGATATGATCTCTTTCTGTATGCCATGGACCCAATCACTTTTAATGCTGACTTCTCCAGTGCTCATGGACTTCAAATGACTCTTTTGTTCACCTTTTGAAAAATAAGACACTTAAACTCTGGAGCTGAAAAGTAGCTGCTGAAGCTTCTTCTATTTACCCCATGGCTGATTTTTAACTCTGCAGCTCTAAACATTTCAGATTCACTCTACTTGATTTATCATTTATTGTCAAAATTAGCTCTAATTTAGATAGTATCACAAGCAAGCAACCAAAAGCATGTTTTCTTTAAGGGTTTCTCATGGGCTGCTAGCATTGAAACATTTTCAGTGATTTTTTTCCCTTCCTTCACAGTCATTTTTAAAGTATGAAGACTGACTTTTCTAATAGCAAGCCATTTGAGAAGAAAAGCCCTCCCCTGGGTCAGCACTCTGCCCTGCTATACCTCTTTGTAAAAATTTATCTTTGAGTAGTCTGTGCTGCTTTTCTTTGATCTGAGAGTGAAGGTGAGGAGGTGAAGATGATCCCAACATGATTTGGTGCTTTGAAAAATTAAGCTTCTCTTCACTTTCCTCCCCTAGTTTTCTTGTGCTTTCTCTGGCTTTATCTCTTGATATGGGTTTTTTGAACTCCAGCCTCTCAAGGAATATTTGTTAAAAGATGATGGAAGAGATATGTTTAAAACAAATGCCTGGTACACTAGTTCTTTGCCTTGCAGAATACTCTGGGGCCCTCCAAAGCTTATGAGACTTGAAATCTTTTTCTGTCCTGGGGTTCCCTGGCAAGCAAAAACCACAACTCTGTGCTATAAATAAATAGAATTACCACAAGACCCGGGACGCTAAGCATGTGGAAATCCCTCTGATACTGGCTTGTTTTCTATTTTTTTTTTTTTTTTTTTTTTTTTTTTGTCTTAGGCAATGTAACTTGTGAGCAATTCAGTGGCAGCAAGATCCTTGGCTGGGCATATGCCTCTGTGGATGGATGTGCTGTGCTGCTTGACCTCTGGACCTGTGAAACTGCCCTCTTGGGAAAAAAATGCCAGGTACAGAAACTTTTCTTAGTCTTGAAAACAGTGATTTGCAATCAGTTCACTTCAGGTTGTGTAAGGTCCCTTTCCACTGTATTTCCTGTCCTGTATACTCTCTGAATCTAGTCGTGTGTCTGTATTTTGCCACGGGACATGAAAGCATAGACAGTTTCCACCCATAGACTTCAATCTTGAACAATGAAGAGTAGACAAGTTCAGAGGAAGGGGCCCAGCTCGGGAGCATAATTCTGCCTATGGGACTCTCCAGTCCCATGGACAGTGCTGTGAGTGTCAGGAAGTGGAAAGCAGCAGATAGTCCACTGCAGAAGCAGGGAGAAATGGCACTAAGAAATGAGGTCGCCTTCACACACTTGAAATGTTTTGTTCTCAGTCTTGGAGCAACACAGGGCAGGTCTCAAAATAGGAATGCTAGAGGGTGTTAGGGCATCTCCTTTGCACCACTGAAGAGGCTTTAAATAGAAAACCTTTTAAACTAAGATAGTTGTATGTAGTTTAGGAAATCTCCTAAGGCCACTCTCCCATTTTCATAGAGGGGCTTTGTGTTACAGAGCTATATAAAATACTGCCTAATTGTCTAGTTCACTAAGTTTCTCTTCTCATCCCAATAGACTTCACTTTCCATTGCTGTATCATCATGCTACCTCTGTGAATCTACCTTTTATTTTTATCACAGGCCTTCCGTATAAGGAAACTTGCTTTCTTTTTGGAAGAAAAACTCCCAGTAGAGAAGAATGAAACCTCTACAGCAACAATGCACTAGTTCTCTTCCAAACCCATCAAAGAGTGTATTCTTGAACTGCTCTCCCAACCCAAGTCTCTAGGCAGGATTAAATGTACAGGTGTGCTCTTGCTGAGGGACTTTTAGCTGAAATGAAATGGAAGTGGGTCTCGCTAGCTTTGTTTCCAGCTGGGACTGAACTCTTTCTGAATGAGAAAACAATAGCCCTTTGTCCAGCAGCTGATACAGCTTAGCTTAGTCAATATAAAACACGCTTATTGCCTGTTGCTCAAGCACTATCTTAGCTTCCTCCAGAACAGTTCAGGTCAGGCAGGTGTAAATCTGAGAACTTGACTGTTTACACTTAAATCTGATTTTTCAGCTACCGAGTTACCTCCTAAGCTCTTCTGCATCTTCCTCTTCCATATTCTTCTGCTTTAAGTATGGAAAGTAATGTGAATGTTTTTCTACTTCCACATCACTGCAAAATAGCCAGATTTAGATCATTTCGTATTGACATGACCAATTTGTCCAGAAGCAAGAGCACTGGATGTTCATGTTTTCAGTCCCCTGATTGCCATCTGAACAAAAAGTACTACAATGTCATCTCGAGAGTTCATGTGCTGTCATTCTTGGTACATTTCTTTTTCTGTCCTAAGCTGTGGGTATGTGTAATTTAAATTTTTATTTAAATAAAACTTTACAGCTATTCTTGGTAGAGAAGCCTGAAGAAGGCATGCATCTTTGTACAACTTTAATTACATCTTCAATTAATTTGGAGTTTCTTCAAAAAATGTAAAGTAACTGTGACAGTCGTTGCCAAATGAGATAACAGAGTCTTGGATGAGCCTGCAGGTTTCAGATTGGGAGAAGTTTTTCAAAGATATAAAACCAGTGTGTGTGCTGGAAAAGAAACAGATTGCAGAGAACAGTGGCAAGAAATAGGTATTTTTAAACTAGTAAGTACATTGTCTTGTTACTTTTTGAAGAGAAAAATGTGCATAATAAAAATCTTTATGCTTCAGTGGAAAAAAACGTATTAACTATGCAAGATTTGGAAGAAATTTTTTTGGTATTCTGTGTTCTGTTCTTGAGCCTTTTGATGAAGCATTGAGTAATATCCTGTGCCAGAAACAAGCTGCATCCTGGGTCACAGTTGTTTTGACTAAGTAGCAAACTCCATGTTGAGAAATCTCTCCCCAACAAAGCATGAATATTTGGGTAAATAAACATTTCTAAATGTCTGAAAATCTCTTCAGCTTCTAGACATTTACTTTGAAGTTAACTAACATGGCTTTGGACCCAGAGGAAAGATTTACTTTGGACCAAGCCATAGTTGACATGCATAAACAACCATGGTTTGATCTCAAACTTGAATATTTTGTCAACCCCTACAAACATGAATGCATCTGTTTACAACTTCAACTGCTGAGGGACATAGAAAACCAACAAGTAGGTTGAATTTACAGTATATCCATCTTGGGGAAATAGGAGGTGAAATCTGGAATGGGAAGCTTTGATTATAGCTTGCATGGGTTTACAGGGTTAAAAATGGTCGATACTAATTTAACAATGAACTCTGTGGATGCTGTGTAAATTGAAGGCCTGAAGTGCAAGAACAGAAAACTATCGTTTTGTCAATATCAGAAAGAAAATTTTGGAAAGATTGCAGAGCTTCATGTGTCACATTAAAGCCACCTCTCCTACTGTTTGAGACAAAAATAATAGTTGAGAGGCGTGGCAGCTAAATAAAACGATAATCTATATTTGTTCTGTAATGCAGTGGATGAGGAACTAGTTCTGTTTATAGTAAGAGAGAAGAGAGTTTTAAAAGAATATAAACAAAGCTTGTACTTTGAAGTGCACTTTGAAAAGCCCTAAACTTCAGATAGCTGTGAATTCCTGTGCTAATAATTAAAATGCACAATGTTTGAAATTCTCACATTTTTCCTCTGGTTTAAAAATCTGCCTCATCTTTCCTCTGTATCCTGCCACAAGCTATTTCCTTTCTCTGAGCGTTGATTTCAGAGGCTGCAAGTTGGCAAGTTTAATTAGCTAACCTTTGTAATTTGGCTTTCAGTCCACAAACGGAAGTTTGTGTTTTGGTACAAGAGGCTACTGTTGTGTTGCTCTTGCCATGAATGCTACCATATTGCTAGCAATAAAAACAGAGCCTTGTAGGCATCATTGGAGTTCAAATTTTTTTCTGAAGGAATATGAAAGATTCAAAATAATTTTAGCAGGAATACTTCATCTAGAGTGGGTACTTGTGACTTGAGAATTTGTGTATATATATAAATAGAAATTTTTACGGCTTATGTTTAGATGAAGAATAGTTGGTTTTGCTTTGATTTCCAGCTATTGGCTAATGTCACTTGTGTTTATTGCTGAGGTTTAGATAAATGCCCGGAGGGAATACAGCCACAAGATTTGACAGGAAGATCAGAGAGGTTGCATTGCTGAATTTGGACTTTCTTATAATGTAATTACTAAGCAATCTTAACACTAGCTGGTAAGTAATTATACAGTTTTATTTTTCTGGAGAGTACTACTTTCTGCCCTAGTTTCTGTGAGTGATTGTAAAAATTTGGTACCCTGCACCTGAAAATAAGACTATTTGAAAAAACGACAGTCTTAAGGTGAATCAAGCAATAGATCGATGTGTTATTTATTGCATGTTATTTAGTCTCATGCTATTTAGATAGATAGCCAGGAAAACATTCAAAGAAGAAAAGTGATTCCTCCCCCATAGCCTTTACACTGCCCTTTCATGACAATGGATTTGAAAATTGCATCTTGCAGTGCTCTGGGACATTAAGATTCCCCTGGGTACAGATTATTTATTCAACAATAATGATGAAAGTGGGTACTGAGGTCAGCCTCGCTTCAGTCTCGCTGCACCAGTAGCCTGACCTGGCTTCACAGCTTTCACTGCCCTTTGGCCACAGCCTATTACTCTTCCTAGCAGAACTTTCAGGTTGGATTTGTCTGTACTCTATTTTCTCACATGGAATCCATGTATCACCTGCCGTACAGACCTGCCACGTGTTTCCTTCCCCATCCTGCAGTTGTGCAGAACTGTGGGTTATGTGAAGGATTTACATTCCTCCCCTGGCACACATTTTGATTTTGGGTTGGTTGTCTGAGGGCTTATTTTCAAGTGCAGACAGTTTTAATGGGTGGGCATAATAGACGTGAAAATGTCATTAATAAAACATGTCAGCTAACGATAATTTTAAACATTTTATGTTTTCATTAGCAAATAAGACTACTTAGATGTGTTCCAAAATCATTATGTTTATTAAGGCTTCAGTTCTATTTTCAGATTTGATGATTGATTTCTGATGTGCACTAAAGCCATTGCAATTTATTCTTGCAAATTAAGGAATTGCAAGGTTTATATACAGTTTATAAATGCCTTGAGAGATCTTTGTTTTTGTTGTTTTCAAGACCTACTTTGAAGAACATTTATTTGCTGGAGTTTCACTCTTCTCTTGCTCTGGTGTGCTTGATCACCAAAGCTCTTGAGTATCTCTACCAGGAATTCTACAGCATCTGCAGACCAAAACCAGCCAGTAAAGCAAGTGATCTAGAAAAACAAGTACTTCAGTTAGTAGTTGATGAGTGGCTAACTATGGAAAACCCAGAAACTTTTTATAACTCTCAGATTCAAAAGGGAGTGAGTTCTGTTTTTAAGTTAGTAATGATTCTTTAGAGTGCCCAAGAGTGTGATCCTGCTAGTTCATTTACGTTTGCTGGATAATGTTCTAGCCATGTGATTCTTAATTCAGTTATTTGCTTATGATTGATGAAGCTCCATTCCATTCACCTTTAAAGCAAGATTTTTTTTTCTGTAAATGAACACAGAAAGGTGTTCATTTGATCTCATGCCAGTATAAAGTAGGAACAATTAGCTTAATGAGAAGGAAAATATAAACACTTAAATTGACATGAAATCACAGTAAGTCTCCAAGTTTTGTGTTTTTGTGTGTGTACAGTCTGGGAAAAAAAAAAAAAAGAAGAAGACTGGACATTAAAGCAAATATTGTTATAGGTGGAGCTGGTTATTACTGTAATGTCCACCATTTCCTGGTGTAGGATTCTGAATTTAGTTGGTTATGATTTTGATAAATGCTAATTATTTTGAATGAAATTATTGATGCTGGATGTCTCTATCAGGTTGATTTTTTTTGTAAAATGAGTCAGCTTAGTTGTTGCTGAGAGCAAGAAATAGAAATTGTTGTCTCTGTTTTCTCTACAAGTTTGTGATATAGCTATGCTTTAAAGCATTCTTTTCAAGTTTGGGAAGATTCATTAGGTAGAGATATGCTATGCTTTCATTCCTGCCAAGTTTTGGCCAGCATAAACTAAAATAAGATATGTTATTGCAAGTATTTAAAAAACATGTAGATGCAGTGCTTAGGGACATGGTTTAGAGGTGGACTTGGCACTGCTAGGTTAATGGTTGGACTCAATGGTCTTAGAGATCTTTTCCCATGTAAACAACTCTATGATTCTATGTTCAGTAGGAAGACATTATATAAAGTTTCTGTGTGCCCTCCTATATCTATAACCCGAGGAAAATCAGGAATTGCCACTGTCTCTGCAACAATATCCCTGGTCTAAGTGATCCATGTTTGATTTGGGTCTGAGCATTGAAAGTGAGTACGAGGAGGTGACAGCCTGCACTGTGACTGGTGTGGCCTTCACTGGAGGCAGCAGAAGAAGCTGCTGAGCGGGTCACAGGGGAGACACAGCACCCCTGTTAGTGGAGCAGGAGCTGGACAGGAGCATAGGGTAAATAGAGCTAGGTTGGTAAGTGGTATGGCAGCCAGTAACTGGGAATGGAGATTGAGGTAGATGAAAAGCCGGGAGACAGAGACAAGGACTAAGACCTAGTGGGTTCCTTCCTTTCAGAAGGAAAAAATACAGGGAAAAAATGTGCACTGCAAATTGGGACTGGGGCAAGGAGGCACCTCGGGTGGAGGTGAAGGGTTGAGAATGATTTGGTAAAGAGTTTTGCTTAAGCTGCCCAAATCCAAGGACAGCAGGACTTGCTAATCAAGGGAGTGGGGATGAAAATGAAAAGTTTGAGGCGTGGAGACAGAACTGGTTAGATGAAGAGAATGTGAAGACAGTGATGGGTAAGAAAGAATAGAGGCAAACTAAATGCAGAAGGACACAGCCACCTAGGATACTCCACTCCCTGGCCTGGAGCAAAACCCAAGGATTACTTATCCAGCATCTCTCTGCTGGCAATAAAATCCACTGGCAGTGTTCCTCTACTCTCGTGTCCATAACAGATCACGAACAATTCTTTGCTTTTTTAGTTTTAAATCCTAGAAGTCAGTGGCAGTTTTGTGATGGATCTTGAAGTTGCCACACTGCTGTTCTGCTGTTGCCAAGGGCAAAAGGGAAGGGATTTGTTGTGTTTACTTTTGCCCATTCCTTTTCCTCCAACAGAAGCTGCAGATGAGACAAACACACACAAGCAGGAAATGTTCAGAAGACACTAAGTCTATAAAAGTCTAGCATTTAAATTTTAGGAAATTTACCTTTACCAGAGCAGATTTAATTCAGTTTCCTTTTGCATAGGCATGATGGTGCAGACTTTACATGATCACATATTGTTTTTCTTTATGACTCAGTGTGCTAAAATCAACATTTTTGTTCTTGGTGGACCACTCTTTTGCCACCCAGGATCTCATTCATTCATGTTTTTCCAACCCTTCACTAAGGATGATTTTACAAGATCCAATTTTTATTCCCCCTCTGGCTTACTAAGCATCTTTCATCTTCATAACAAACAAATTACCCAGGAGTGAGGTACAGATGCTGCCAGCCTGGGAACAGGTGCTTTTCCTATGTAGAAATATCAGAGACACAGTATAAAAAGAGAATTGAATTCTGTGATTACAAAACTAAATAATCCCTGGGAAATTAGGATCTTTCTTGCTCCTGCCAAGCCGGGATCAGCTATACTTATGTTATTTCCATAAGATAAATAGCTCTCCTGTTCTTAAACATCTCATGTGATTGATTTTTTCAAGCAGTCTGGTGTAGTGCTTCACCAGCTTCATCCTTAGCAAGTTCTCCTTAAAGTCTAGCAGAAATGTGCCTTGCTACAGTCTAAGCTTATTACCTCTTTTCTTGTCCTCTTTGGAAACAAGGAAGATGCTCTTCTCCTTGTAGCAGCTCTGTGAAGAAGCACATAAAGATGGGTTGTCCTGTCCCACCCATCCAGAGTCACAGAATTACAAAAGCACATTGTAAAGCTTTGGGGAAGAGGGACAAAATAAAGTTGCACAACTTCTGACATTTAGGTTTGGGGTGTTGTCTTTTCAAAATTTTTTTTTCAGTGTAGCTGTGAAGGTGTAGCAAATAGCAAGTGTTGACATCTGGACTTTTATTACTAATAACTGCATGGCTGGGTTCAGATTTCCTCATGATCTGTGATTCATTGGTCATAAACAGCAAAATGTGAAGCCACTCAGCTATAGGAGTGGGCACATCTATCCCTTCTGACATGAGCAGGGTGTCACAGTTGTACAAGTTGTGACAGCTAGAGACAAGGAGCATCTTCTCCCACACACAGAACCAGGAGCTGTTCCTGAAACCCCTTCCATAGCACAACAGCCAACGGACCATTGTCTTTCTTTCCAGCCCTCCACATTACCAAGCTGCAGCTTTTGATCATTTTCCTTTCCTGGGATATCTGCTCTTTGGAGGCTTCCACCATCCTGGTAGAAAAGGGGTCCAGCACTGCTGAGTTTGGTAACCATATGAGTTTGCTGTCCCCATTTTGGGAGCATCATATGTACAGTGGCACATGTGCTGGGGTCTTCACACTCTATAGGAGGAATGATTTCAGCTAGTAATAAGTGAACCAAGTTACAGAGCCCCTGCTTTAGAGAGGTATATACATCTTAAAGTCTTCGGAATTTTGATTATAATTAAAAAAGGCAAAAAACTTGTGTTAGATGTAAAAAATAAATAAAATAAACTTTGTTGAGTAGAGCCAGGTTTATAGATTTATTATCTTTACCTTTGAAGCAATTGATGAAATGTGATGAAATCTGTGATTGTGTGAAATGCCAGTGTATATATAGTGGTCAGGTTAGGTCAGGGTGAGTACAATTCTGACCTTGCACAGGTTATAAATCAGAGGCAACTCCAGTCATGATTTATTCCAGAAAAAGAAAAAGGAGGATGATCCCCTAAAGTATTTAAAGACCTTTGTCATCTGTATGTAAATGGTTCTGGGTTTCCTTTTTTATTTTTTTTTTGCCTTTCCTTGCAGTTATTTGCCAAGGTACTGATAGAAGACCCTGTGCTGGTGCAAGAGATTGCTCTGTCGTTGTTAGAGGTGGGCACAGATGAATCAAAAAAGATAAGCAGAGAAAAGCAGCTCTTTATCCTGGATTTCTTCTCCACACTCCTGGAGCGTGCCACACTCTGCCATCAGCTAATAGAGGTGGCAACAGAAAGTGCGCAGTTGGCCAGGTTAGTGGTTGGTACTGCTGATTTAGTAATGGTGACCTTGGGGAAGTGTGGACTTCTTTTTAAAAGACCACCTACTATAGTTGGAAAGAAGCACAGAGAGAGAGGAAGAGTGCCTACATTTGTGTTGTGGGAGATACGTTTGCTTGTTATGTGGAGATGGAGTCCACTTGGGGTTCTTCATTAGTTGCAAAAGTTGAGGCCACGCTCCTCCTCAAAGCTTAACAGGAGAGGCCTGTTCCCAGTGAAAATACCAGAATTTTGTCAAAGAGAAGGGGAGCAGAAGGAATTCACTGATCAAATGAACACAAAGATGCCTTCTTCCACAGAGTTTTACACAGACAATTATTTCAATCACCTTCTTATGAAGACTAGTGCAGTGTAAGAAAAGGCACACAAGAAATGAAAGCTTTATTCACCACTAGGGGTAGGAAAGCACAAAAATTTTTTCTGGCTATGCTGATCCTTACAATGATAATGAAATAATCTACACAAGGGAAGTCAGTGTCATGCATTTGGGGAGTTATCAGCTGGAGAACGTGACAATCTGTACAGGAAGACAAAGAAGATAAGGACTGAGCTAATGGGGAAACTACAAAGGATAGTCTTGACCTACTGGCTTAGAGGCAGGTTATTGGTGAAGTTCCTATTGTTCAGTTCCATATTACTTGACATTTTTATTAATGATCTCAGTAGAAAACATAAGAGGGTGTTATTAAAATTGGGACATTGTAGTGCTGGCAGATAAAACTGATATGGAAAATAAATGGAATATCTTACAGGAAGACCTCACGGTTCTAAGGACCGGAGTAGTAGAAAGGAGATAAGCATCAGTAACACAAAGCTTAAGGTTACACATAATAATAGGAAATTCTGCTGTGAACTTTGAGCTTATTAGTTGGAAGCAACAGAGGAGGAGAAAGAACTGGGTGTATAGTTGGCCATTGGATGATTGTAAGCTGCCAACATATTGTAACCAATGGGGGGAAAAGCTGTGATATTGTACTGTGAATCGGGCAATGATTTTATTAACAGTAGAGAGAGGGAGAATTGATGTTGACTCAATTGATTCTGGTGAGGCCTCACCTGGATTATTAAGTATAATTTGGAGATTTGTGTTCAGGCAAAATAAATTCAGATTGGAATGGGAGCAAAGATGATCTACTAGCATGCTGAGGGGAAATAGAAAACGCATTTTACAAAAGCAAATGAAATATCTTGGCTTGTTTATCCTAGCAAAATGAAGGCTGAGAGAAGATAAGATTGTTCTCTATAAATACAGCAGAAAGATAAGCATTGGGAATGGAGAGGAGCTATTTAAGCTAAAGGCCAATTCTGGCAGCAGAACAAATGGATCTAATCACTGTGAATAAGTTTAGGTTGGAAATTAAAAGGGGATTTCTAAGAATCAGACAACAAAGTTCTGGAAGGGAAAGAGCAAAGGGTAGGAAACTAAGTTTTAAAATGGAGTTTGATTCATTTATAAAAGGATTTGTAGGACGTGATTGCTTGCAATAGCAAAGCTGTGTGTGCTAGATAGATGACATTCCAGTTGTGGTTATTTCTTCTTCTTAACCCTTTCTCTAGCTTTCTTCTTGAAAATTTAGAGTCTGTATCAAAAAGTCAGCAGTATTTATTTTCAGCAGCTGTAAACCTAGCCATCTTTAAGATATGTGAGCCAGGACCATTCAAACTTAGTTTGGTGGAAACCCTAATTTTCTGTCACAACTCTTTTCCATTAAAATAAGAACTTCTTGAATAGCTATGATTTGACATCTGAAACTTTCTTGGGCAAACTAACAAAGAAGTTAATTTACTTCAACCCAAGCAATTCCATGAAGCAAGGTCTAATTTCTTGGCAATTTGTATTCCTTGTTTGGATCCTCAGCTCTCTAATACAGATTCCAGTTAAACATTTTCTGCTGTTTGAATTATCTCTGTATTCCTTCACTTATACACATACCTACCTACACACACGTACAGTTTGTGGTACACACTGCAACTTTTAACTTAGCTGAAAAATCAATATCCAATCAGCTTTTTTCATGAAACCTGCAGGAACTTAATATCTTGAAAGCCCTGTCTCTGTGTCAGATTTCATTAATTTTCACCAACTGATTAAAAAGTTATCCAGAGGAGGCAGATGAGCAGACTGGATGGCTACATGGCTGCGTTTCTTTTGGGAACAGGGCTAAGGGGATATACTCAGTAAGGTGACATACTTAGAAATCCCTGAAAAGTAATAATAAATCGTTATTTTTCCAGTCAAGGATGGGAATTCAAAGGAAAGTTATGACAAAAAGTAAGACTTCATGATGTGTCCTCCCCTTTTCTTTCTCTTACTTCACAGGCAGGGAATGCTACTTGATTGTAAAGAACTAAGTTTTTTAGGTCCTATTTGTGTCTTTATCACATTCTCAGAGAGTAGCTTCTCTGGGACCTGACTTCTTGACTGATAAAACACCTGCCTTAGATGTTAGGTGGAAGCAAGGGAGTATCTTATTACTTTGCAGTCTGTATCAAAAAGTCGAAGTCTTTCTTTTTACTGTCTTCTTATACGACATGAGAAGGGGCATCACAGGCCAGATCAGTGTTTCTGTGGTCTTGCTTCTGAAGTAGTGCAGGGATAGATCCATAGGGAGAGAATAAAAAAAAAAAAAAAGCAGGACAGTGCCCAACTTCTGACACGCAGTGCTTTAAAGATTTCCTGAGCTAGTGGTTGCATCTAGACCGTATGTTTACCGTCTGCTGATGGACTGCCCTAATAATTTGTTATATTAGGGAGGTTGTGTCATACTGAGGGCTTCTGAAGTTATGAACTCACCATTTTAATATTAATAATGTATATGAGCTCTGCTTATGTATTGAAGCTTCCTCTCTGGCAGTCAGTTCTCTTCCCAATTTCTAGTCTAAAATAATACTCTTTATCTCTCTGCCAAATGCAGTCCCTTCTAAATAGGAACAGTTAGCATGACAATGCCCTTATGACATTGTAGACTCGAAACTTACTGTCCTTTGTTTGTAGGTGCTGCCTGTGTCTACTGAATGGGTGGTACTGAGCAACCATCAGCTATCTGGCTACAACACTTGTTTGCTTTGTATCCATCATACTATTTCAGATGCCAAGAAGTGTTTTAAGTTGAATGCAGATGTCTCATTGAAGTGAACTAATGGATGTAGGTTTCTAGGTGTGTATTGCTTACAGCATGGATAAAGTTAATTTTTCAAATGCATTCATGTGGTTTTGTATCTAGGTTGTATAAGGATTTTGCAACGGTAGCAGGATTTGAAGAGTCCCATTAGTACCTGAGGCCTGAACTCTTCGAATCTGCATGCAACAGGAAGAAAGCAGACCACCTCCCATCATTATTCATTACATCTCTCCTGGAAGATGACAGCTGTGTTGACAGGTAGACTGAACTTTTTTTGAGTTTCATGGGGTATAATCTCTTTAGATTGAGTGGGATCAAGCCTTTTGTATGCTTAGGCTCACATATAAGCCACAAAAACTTCAGTGTGTAAAATACATAAAATTATTCAAGCAGAAAATATAAAATGCTGCATTATTTGTTTCCTTTTTGTAGAGTCTGGGATTGAATAATGCTAATTTAAAGCTGTTGAGCAATGGAAGTGAGGAGACACTAAATTCATGTAGAACACAGGCAATTTTGGGACTAAAGTGCATTTTTTTTCAAAGTAAGGGATGCCTAACAGGGCAGGCCTGAAAGTGATTGTCTTAAACTCCATAGGTAGAAAAACAGGACCTCAAAAACTATTGTGAATATTGTACTTATTCTGAACATGAAGAAAGCTTGCTCTCCTAGAGTTATACTGCACTTCATGAAATAACGTTTTGATCTTTGTTTTTCATCTCAGTGACTACTAGACCCAATCTCTGCACAAGGAAAATGCCATTTATTATCTTCCCTTTTACCCTGGCGAAAGTGACTGAAACAAGTAGATTTTACAGTTGCCTTGATTTACTCTTGACAGAGCTGGTAAATACGTGCGTATATACATACATGTAAATACACTGCTTTGTGCATGTGTTTGTGCGTAGTTTAGATCAAGGTTTAGGAGGAAGAAAGGAAATAACCTGTGAATTATGTTACTATATTCAGGGAAGGCATCTTGTCAGCCATTCCCTATGGCTGACACAGGTGGTAGGGCTCCCTTCCGACCTGTACATATACCACCTGCAGTCCTGTGCTGTTGTTTGGATCCTATTCCCTCACATACACTCCAGCCTGCTGTGAAAACTGGGCTGTTCTGAACAAGTTTAGCAATTGCAAGCAACCTGGAATTAAACTTCAGCTTCTAATTGAATTGAGGCAGTGATGAATGTCAGAGCCCAGAAGACAGTACAGCAGCACAAAAGAACACATTAGGAACCAATACTTGAAACAAGGCATGATTAAAGTGAACAAATAGATTTTTTGCTGATGAGACCAAGCTCATCTAGGAGGAGCTAATGAGTCATTGCAAAGTCAACCACAAAACATCACGCAATATATTATTTTATTCTTACAAAACTACTTCTGTAAACTAAAGCAACGTCCTAATATCACTAGATTAGGGACTAGAGTGACCAATTCTATTATGTGTTTTATATTTAAAGGTGGAAAGAAATTGAAAGTACTTCTGAATTTATCACTATTTTCCTTTGGTTTCTTTCTGTGCCATACTCCATGTTTATACATAATTTTGCCTTTATTGCTGATATATATTCCATCTGGCTTACCATTAAGCATTCAAGAAATCAACAGTCATATTGGAAAGTTTAGTTTCTGTACAATAGATAGTGTTATGCAGGTGAATGATTTAATTTGCAGAATAAGGAAAAAATGTGTATCATGTTATTATTTATTTGCTAGAGTATATAAGGGCCTCAGTCATGTGTTTGCTAGACACTATAAACTTCTCTACTGTTTATTTTACTCTGAGTGTTAATATGATTTAGTTTACTTTTTTATAGTTAACTTCATAAAATTGCACTGCAAATCTGATTCTTGACATGGCCTAATCCAGGAGTCCTTACTGGGGTGAAACTCTTTAAGTCAGCAGAGTTTTGTCTGAGGAACTTTGTTAAATAAAGCATGGTGACTGTGTGTGGCTCTGTGCACACATAGTAACATCTGGTGTAGAGAGTCCTGTAATGAAAGAGAACAGCCTTAGTCTTCAATGCCATTTTGTGTACTTGCTCCTTTCCTCTTTGTACCAGTGTATGAAAACAGTTATCACAGATGGCCAGACCATGGAGATTCCTTCTCTAAGTCTCCTTCTTGCCATCATCTCAGTCCTGACCTGTGCTCTGCAGCAGGGTGGCACAAAATTAAAAATTTGCCAAGGGGAAACAAATATGTTTTATTTGGTGTCTACTGTTTTCCCAGCCTGTTTGCACGTGGCTGCACGGTCTGGCTCCGTCCTGCTCTACAGAGTAGAGCTGAGAATACAACTCACTAAATACAAGGGAATGAAATGTTTCCTTGATCTCTGCATTTAGTCATATTTCAATAATAACAATGTATACAAATATAAAGGAATGCTCTCCCTTAGCTCTCCTTTTATTAAATTAAGCTGAGGAAGTACTACAAGACAGAGAGTGAAGTTTGTAAAGTAACCTGTCTTTTAAATGGCAATAAAGTTTGGAAAAATGGGAATTGCTTTAACACCTTGTTTTTCCTCTTCTTAGCTCTTGAGTCCATCTGGGATAAGGAACATGCAACTTATCCTGGCCTGTCAGGTCATTCAGAAAAACGCTCTTCTGGCAGCTGCTCAGCAAGCCTCCCTTTGTTACTTGGTCCAGCCTCCCCATACCCTGGACATCAAGGTTAGTAGAGTTTTTTTCCTCACAAAGCACTAGCAATAATGGGTTTTGTCAAACTTAGACTTAGCCCAAAGAGGGCATCTGTTAATTCTGCTTAAAATCAGTTGGATGGTAGTCCTGCGCAATGCTTGGAACAGCATCACTGATGACTGCAGGAACTGCAGTGATTGTGTATTAGCATATGACATAAAAATAAATGGTGTCACATCAGTGATTTATTTAAAGTCTATTAATTGGGCAAGTGATGAAGCATGGCTAAAAATACCCCTCAGGAGAGGACTGAAAGGGATTGGAGATAAATGGAACTGGAAAGGCACGAGTGAAATCTTATAGCCTGTGGTATGCAGTAAGGCTAGAAATCACAACCTGACCTTGAAATATGCATTCTTCTGGGATGGCAAAACCATCCGTTCCTTCTGCTTTCATTTGTCCTGTCTTCTGAAAACAGAAGTATGGTCAACACTATTTCCAATGGGAAACATTCATGTCAGTCTGATGCCTCAATGTTGGTTCAAACGGCCAGGGTCACCAAGCCATTACTGTTCCTCATCTTCTATTTGGCATTTTTGGTTTTTTCATGCTGTGTTTAAGATATGGTGCTCAGGAGCTGCTCTTGCTTCATACATGCTCAATTGTTGTAGGGCTCCATGTTGCATTTTCTTATGGAGCTGTTGTGTCTCTTCCAGCTGCATTACCGTGATGAGCTAAGTGACCTCTTATGCGATTTTGAATTTATAAGCAAATAGAGATCCTTTAGGGCTTGTCTTGCCTTCTCTGTGCTCATATTGACATCTCTTTCCATGTTTCTTAGGACACTCCACCCATCTCCCCCAGCCCCCTCTTGCACCCCTGATGCTCCCAGTGCTCGGTCCCTTGCCACCAGGTGGTCTCCTCACCTCATGGCTGTGTGTGGGAAGTGCCTGTGTTGTGCTGTTCTAGCTGGGCAAGAAGCACCCTGTTTTGTGACAGGTTCATAGTCATGTGCGTGCTGACTGCCTGGCTGTCATGCTGGGAGCCCAGCTGGCCACTGCCCCCTGGGAGCAAAGCAAGCCAAGCAAAATAGCCGTGGGTCAAACTCCTCTTGACTTTTCCCTGAGCAGGGGGTTCTCCTTACTAGCTGAATGCTGATTTTGCAAAACTGGGAGGAACTTTGTACTCTTGAGACCTCTGTTCTTATGTCAAATGTATTTAAAATTAGTCAGAGGGTTCTAATGTTGTTAGAGGTGGGTTGAACCAGCTAAAGGAATGAGGCTAAAACATTTCCTGTGTGACACCAGTTTCTTTCTGAGTTTAAAGATGAAAAACAGACATTATCGTGACTCCCCATTGCCTCATTTTGGGTCACTCAGAGCTGTGGCAGGGGGAAAGAGGGAAAGGAGTTTGCCTTGCAAACTTCTGAGTATGAATTGCTGTTCCTAGAGCAGCGTCCTATCCACTTTCTTTCCTTACACGGGAGGTGGATGTAAGGGAGGTTCCAGGGCCAACACTCACCTCAGAGACTGTCAGCTGCACTAGATCACGATGGCATGCTTGACATCCTGTCCCAACGTGAGCAGGACAGTGATTCTGCACTGCACAGATGAGACTCATTGGCCCAGACAAACTGATATCCTGACGGCCCACCAGAAAAAGAGCTGCCTGCCTGCTGCTGAGCAGGAACCCTTCACACCACTGATCTCAGGCAACTTTTGGCAGCACACAGGCCTTGTCTCAGAGAGCTCCTGCACTCTGCAGCCACTTGGTGGGCACCTAGGCCTTGGCAACTGGATGGCCTGCTGTGCAGCCTCCCAGGGCTGGCCACAGACTAGCTCGTCCCAGAGGCTGGTTTCCATTCACAGAGAAGTCTGAGATTCCACATCTTTCTAACCAGATCCTGCAGCACTGAAATCCTCAGTGGACCTGAGCAACCTCTGTTTCTTTCCCAAATTGATCCTCTGTGCTGCTATACAAAAGTGCTGGTGTTGTGTGTCTCTGCTGGTAACCAGGAGTAGTCTTACTCTGGAAACAGCTCTTCATCCCCCAGTTGAAAAGGATTTATCTTCCAAACATTTGAAGCTCTTTTACTGTCTAAATGCTGAATGGTTTTGTTTCAACAGAATGGTAGCAACTGTATTTTTCATTTTCAGATGTCTCCTCTCCTTTGTAAATCATTTAATGGCTGCTGCATCCATTCTGAATCAGTTTTTGCTGATTTACAGTCAGTGGGTATTAGCTAACTAATCAAATTCACACACAAAGGACCACTAATACAACCAGCAGAGACAGTGATAAGGAGGTCATGCATCTGTTATTTCAGATTAACATGTAAAATTGAAAAAAATCTTGTATAACCTCCTTACACAGGAAAGGGAGATGGTTGCAGGATGTCACAGGCTGTATCTGCACTGAGGGACCTGCCAGTGGTGGCTGGTATGGTTGCCCACCCAACCCAGGCCAAGGCCCATTGCATCTCCCTTCAGCCCATGTGAAGGAGAGCTGGTTGAGTGATACCAAGGGAGCTGTGTGCTCTGCAACAATCTCTGTGGTCTGCTTGGTTGATAGCCAAGACCCATGGGTGTGCCATGAAGGGTGCAGGCTTAACCAACCCAGTCTCACCGTGCAATAAGCCCTTATGCAGACCGGCCTGTTTGATACTGGTCTAGGACCTTCAGAATGGCAAACTCCCATGTATTTGTCACCTCACTGCCCAACTTTTCTACACTGACTTTGTTTATAGGCTGAAACATTTCTCAGGAACGAAGACATTGCTCCTCTTTGCCTATTTACTTCTAAGGCACTTGGTGATCACTGTTTTTTTTAATACATGTTATATGTTCTCTGTGCTCAGCCAAGCAGGAAGATCTGTTCTCTGGGAAATAAGTCCATTTTCTACTAGAACAGAGCAAAGGTGTTCTTCGGTAGATCTGTCTGCAAGCTGGCATTAACTGAAGCCAAGCATAACTTAGTCAGGAGACAGAGCTCCACTCTCAAAATGTGGCGTTTTTCCCCCATTTTGATCTTTCCTTTTCCTACTATATGCAAAAGACAATAGCTCTTCTTGATTTGCAGGGGAATTAGGGTGATTTTTAGCTTCCCTGGGCTTCAAAGTGCCTGTGCCACTTTTGAAATATGACTTCAAGAACTTGGAAAAGTACCGTTTGTTCCTACTTGAAAATTAGGATTATTTTTATATAAACATGCAGAAATTTCTGAGGTTCCTTCATACCAGGAGCCACTGGGACTTAAATAGGGGATGTGGAGGGATGAGTGTAGTTTTTTGTGTTCGTGGGGAGGCAAACTAATTTTCCAGACAAGTGATCTAGACATACAATTATTTGTACATATTTGAAAATGTGAATATCTAGGAATATTTTATTTGCAGCTGATTGAATGTTGAGAATGTTGTCTGATTTATAAATCAGGTACTGCCTCTGACTCTGCTGCTGCTACAGTTTCATTATGGCTGTGCTCAGTGAGAAATGTTTTTTTTCTGTGACTTTCAATGATCCCAGTGAATTATTATATCATAAAGCTGGAGTAAATGAAAGCATACAGAATTGCAAATCTGCACTGATTTAGTAGGAAGAGCTGCCAGTCTTTACGAGAGCAAGCACAGAATTGATATTCATGTTAATTTTAGGAAGGAAATGTAAATCTAACAAGTTGGAGCAGCTCAGCAAGTGGAAGAAATTCGGTGTCTGGGAGTGAAACAGAGGATCAGCTGCTGTAAGCAACCACATTGGACACTCCATTTTCTCCTGGGCTTTCTCCGAGTTTACTCTGTACCATTAAAAGGTATTTGTTACAAACTTGGCCAAGCCCCCTCCAGTCTGGCACATGTGCAAATCCTGAGCACTACCTGCTTTACATTGCACAATGAATAATCATAGTGATGGGTTCTCAATCATACGGGCATGTTCCCGGTCACCCTGTTTCTTGGTGTGAATTGGTGGTCTGAGCTCTGTGGTTGTCTCACTGTACCCTGTCAATGGGACTCTGGCTTCCCATCAAACCCCATGGAGATAACCTGTTAATTACAGAAGGAAATCCAGATACCTTACAGGAGTTTCTAAGCATCAGTGAGTTTACAGTTGAAAACATGGCAAAATTATAACAAATAAGAAGTGGGCCAGAATAAGCCCATTAAATGTGACTTCACTCCTGTAGAACAGAGGTGGGTCTCATTGCTTGTATGCCAATTTACTAGCTCCCCAGCGCAATTTCATGGCTTTTACATGGGGTGGTGTTTACTCGCAGGGCTAGACACAGTTAGAGCAATTTTTTATATTATTCAGTGCTGATCAGCTGGAAGTTGAGCACTGAAAACTACGCTAATTGAACAACCTGTGGTTTGAAGGTATAAATAAAAAGGCATTCAACATGTCCAGCTTAGCCCAGGCAGCCTCATGGTTCCTGTTACTACCTTAACGCCTGTATAAAGAGGTAGTTGGTTTGTTTGTTTTTTTTTTTTTTTTTTTTTCCCCTTTTCCTTTGGGTTGCCAAGAGAATATTCTTTAAAAACATCGATAATAATACAATGTTAACAAAGATAAGAAGCACTTTTTAATTTTTTTTTTCTTTTTTTCTTTTTTCTCTTTTTTTCTTTTTTTTTTCTTTTTTTTTTTTTTTTTTTTTTTTTTTTTCCCACTATTCCTTTCATCATTTATTTCACTTGCACTGAAATTAAAAATATGTAGACTGGGAGACTTTCCCCGGAGCTCATCTCATCTCTAGTAGCTGATCCACAAGAGCCAGTGTATTTTTACCTGTTGTTGATAAGGAATAAGTTAAATGAACGTTGTGGGAGAAGTTGTGTCTAATCTAAAGAAGTTATTTGAGTGGTTCAGAAGGAAGTTATCAGTTCACCTTTTGAGAGGTGACTCTTCTTAGCTCCTGTGCTTTCTTTCCCTCACTAGGTCTCCAGAAGCTTTCATTTCTATTCAGCTGGAGAAATGGGGACCTCGAGAATAGGATGCTGGACATGTTCAGTCAAACGAGAGAAGCACTGCAAAACCCTGTAAAGTACGTCAGCATTTTTGAGAGGAACTGTTGGATTTTGGTGAGTAGGCGAAGTGGTAGCTTTAAGTTAGTGTTGTGGTAACCCTGTGGTTACTTTAGGGACAAAGGTAACCGGTGGCAGGTGTGGAAACCCCAGTGGAGGGAAGGAGGCTGGGACGTGGCCAGAGTGTGCAGGTCGGGTGTGGAGCTGCAGATGGTGGCCTGGATCCACTGGCAGCAGTGGGAGACTTCCATTGTGCCATCTCCCATGGGCATGGCTACAAGACTTCTGGCTGAGAGGTGCATGGAAAGCAGCAGCAGCCTGCAGACACATGGCTAATTAAAGGTTGTGGATACTAACGGGCATCCTAAACCATTTCCAGCCTAAGTAAGGGGGTAAATTCTGGCTATAGTTATGCTGTTCTGGGCTTTTATGTATGAAGCATCCAACAGAGGGCCTAGCTAGAGCAGGACACTATGTGAGGAAGGCTCCTTTAATAAATATTTCTAGCAGTTTTATTATTTTTAGTTTTAGAAGAAGATGTGACAGCTATAAAAAATAATAATTGTAAAGATACCATGATGGGTATGAATTTTGCCTTTTGCAAATTTCTCTTTACCCAGTGTCTAGAGGTGAGAACATGGATCCTGTGTCTTCTGTATCTTATGCTGAATACGTTACATATTAGGCATGGCCTTTAAGAATTTACTGGGTAGTAAAATCAAACTCTTTCTACTCAAACACTTAATGGCTATTCTCTTTTTGAAATAGCATAAATTATTTAGTTTAGTGTACTCATAAGCTTCTTCAGCTCAGTAGGATAAGTGTATGAAGAAATAACTGCTAGCTGCACATTCTTTTAGGAAATATTACAGAATTTGTGAACAAAATTATATGAACCAGACTTGAATAAAATAATTCTAAATTTATTTACAAGACTGCCTTAACTATCTACTGGGTCTGGCATACTGATTGAAATCTTTATTGATGTTTATCCTCCTTAAAGTTTTGGAATTTCATAGTTTAGATGTTTGTAATATTATAGATAACCTGGTAGGGTTTTTAGAATTACATTAATAGAATATTACAAGGGTTTTGGTTTTGTTAGATTCACAGTACCTGTAAGTCCTACATGCATGATATTAAGAAGAAAATATTGTCTCATTATAGGATGTAGTTCTGAAACTCAAAAGAGACGTTAATGTTGAATATTGCCAGGAGGAAGTATTTCTGATATAGACTTTTACTGTATGTCTAATGTATGTTTAATACAGGTCTAGTGTAGACATTTCCATGCAAACACATCATGTTTTAAACATAACTCTTGTTCTGAGGGCATATTTTTCATGTGGATAATATGAATTTATGTACTTCATATTCAGAATATGCTAAGTAGAGGCACACAACAGCAACAATTTTTTGTTATTTCAGCAGAAATACCAGATAAACATCGTAGACATGAGCGATAAATTGTAGTGGAAATAATGTGCAGTAGATCAGAGAATGAACGAGTGGGATGTACTAGCCTGTGAATTCAATCTAGTTTGTAAGAGCTTGGGGAAAAAACAGAGGTTCAACCAGAGTTGGAGTTGATTTCTTGTATTTTTTAAAAATTCTCTGATCATGTGTCATTGTTCAGTATTTTATGGTTTCTGTTTCAGATAAGTTTATCATTCTGGGACCTTTGTCTTGCACACAATGTCATGAGATTGAGCACACATGCCAATAGAGAAGGGAAAAAAAAATAAGGAAATGAGCTATTTCTTGTCTGTTTTCACTGAGAAACAGGCTGTACTTGATGTACTGCACTAGACTAGTTTATGCGTTACCTTTCTACTGCAGTGCGTAGCCTGTTAGGAAGCCACCTAAGAGCTGTGTGTTCCAGATCCACTCTGTCAAAAGCCTGGGCGAGAACCTGGCATGTGGCCAGCATCCAGGTCTGTCTTCTCCTCGTGTGGCCAGCTATACAGAGGTGCACCATGGGCAGCCTTGGGAAAAAGGATGGCAAGGAGCAAGCTGCCAGTAGGGCACCTGTTTCAGTAATGATGTAGATTTGTTTTGTGCTGCAGACGCAGACTGCCTTTAACCCGGGCACAGTTTATCGAATGAGTAGTTAAGGCTGGATTGATGGGTCTGGAGGCACCTTACAGCCAGGGGCTGGAGGGGAGTTTCAGCACAGCTCAGCGACGACGGAATCTGACTCAGGGTCACACCGTCTCATTCTCAGTTCTGCAGTTAACACGTCATCTCACGTAGCTCCTTCCTTCTTCTGCTTCCTTATTGTAACGTCAACATCGATAGCTCCCACAAAGTGGTTGCTCTATTAACTTGCAGATATTTCTAAGGCATTGTAAAGACTATGCAACTGTGTGAAGAAAAGCATTAAATCTAAAATTTACCTTGGTTCTTAAATGCCACTTTCACAATTTTTATCCTGCTGGCTGTCACACTACAGAAGAATCATGGCTTGTAAATTTTGCTGTAGAAGATGCCAAAGATGTCCATACAGAAGGAGATTAAGCTCAACAAAGGTAGAGTTTATCTGGACAGATGACTCCCTGCACAGCACTATATATTTTAATTATTCTTTTTTAGGCTGAATCAGCATGTGTCCCAGCATGCCCTGAGAGGTCAGCTCATTGGGTACTACAATAGTCTAAGAAGCCTCTTAGATGATTTCCCTGCCATCAGAGACAAGTAATTCATTGGACTACCTCAAGGGAAAAAAGAGGAGCAAGACTTAAAAAAAAACCTTGCAGCTGATCCCAGGTTTGTATTGTGTTTGCAAACATGTTCCTGGGGGCCAGAGTCCTCAGTCGGAGTGTATTACGAAGTAAAGGTGAATCCATGTTTGTAAGGGGACTGTTGGTCTGGAAGTGCTCTGAGCAGTGTGTTCTGCCAGTCTTCAGGCAATGCTGATGGATGTAGAATGTGCACAGTCTGAGTTGCCTGCAAAAGCTGGCATAAGAAGAAGGAAAACTTTAGAAATGTGCTTGCTTCTAATCCCAATGCTGCACGTAAGAGGGAAGGAAATGGATAATCTCATATTCAGGATGTAAATCTGCTGTAATGATTAAGCCTAGGTAGTAATGGTTGTCTTACTTTTTAAATTTTATTTATTTAAGATTTAAACAAAACCTGTTAATAAGTTGTAGTCTTGTGACTTGTTGGAAATTAGGAAAGAAGAGAAAGAGCACACGACAGACTAGGGGATGACCCTGTGTCATCTACTCCTTTCAGAAAGGATGTGTTTTTGGCCATGTCACAAGGATCTCCTTCCTCAAAACTTGTGGCTAGCAAAGTGAGCCCTTCTGCTGATTTTCTGTAAGTCTCTGGGCTCCCCACGTTAGTGCCCGTGGGCAGATGGTTTTAGATGTGAAAGCAGTCACCCAGCACACTGGCTTGGCTCTTGCTCATCTTGTTCCCCAGCAAGAGAGAGGCTCGGCAGCAAACCCCCCAGATGTTAAGGTTCAGGCAAAAGGTTTAGTTCTGATTACAAAGGTTGAGATTGTGGTTACAAGCTCAACAAATCATAAAATGTGGTTCAACAAGATACTTGAGCAGGTGCTTCCCTGTTGTTTAACTGCATGCCAGCTGCAGGCCTGTGGAGCTACAGCGACCTTGGGCTTGCTTTTATCTTGCTAGAAGCTGCTGGGGAGTAACCCCATCACAGGCCCATAGCACGGGCCTTTTTTCTGCCTTTATCTACCTGTTTTTATTAGGTGTTGTCTAAGGCACAGTATTTTGTACTGCCATCTCGGATGCCGTGAGAGGCTTTTAAGCTCTATTGTATTTTGCATAATATCATAAAAAGTTGTACACGGACCATTCATAACACATTTGCTCTTAGCTTTAGAAGGAGCCTTCTCTGGACACAGTAACAGAAGAGATGATACTAATCCTAGGGCAAAATATTTTAGTAGACTTATGTTTCAAGCTGAAGCTACCCCCCACTCCAGGTTCTTTCAGTCTGGGGGTTCATGGGTCACATAGTGTCCATCTTCTGCCCTGAACTTGTTTGGGAGCTAGGACCAAGAGTGGTTACCTGTCATAGCAGTTGCTTTGGTTGCCATCCTAGTTAATCAGCAAGGACTAAGTCAAATATGATTTATTTGCCCAGAGGAGCTGCCTTCAGTTGCAGAACCTATGTTTCTGCAGTTCATGCTGTGCTCTACCTCATACTCTTGGTGTCATGGGGACATTGAGCAAAGAATAAAGCCGCGGTGCATTTCAGGAGTATCCATCTTGTGACAGAGGAGGTCTTGCAGAGCATTGCCTCTGTTGGGATATTCCACATACAGATCAGCAGGTCCTAGCACCCTAGCACCCTAATCAGATACTGGGTTGTGCCTTTTGGACTTTCAACAGCAAGAAAATATTTCAATACCATATATACTGTATAAGGTTATACTATTACACTTCCAAAATGCTAATGTAAGCATTTTAACTTATAAGCAGTTACATGTTGTCCTTTTACACTTCAAAATGAAATAACCTAGAAAATAAGTATGTATACACAAGTATGCCCTTTTATTTTTTAAATAGCCCTGAATTTTCTGAGGTTGCCTTTTCTCCTCCTGTGCTTTGATGCTTGCGTGTGTCTCTCCAGCAGCTTGTGGCCCAGCCACTGTCACTTCCATATGGCTTGCTATACTGTGCTGCTTTTCTGTGTTTGAGAAACCAAGGAACCTGAGAGCAAACCCTTATCTGCTGGGGGGAGGCAGACATGAAGGTGTCTGGTGAGCAGCGAGCGTGGGGATGGCTGCAGCACGTCCTTTGCACCTGCGTCGACCTGCCCCTGGCATTCACACCAGGTAAGGAGCTGCAGGGAGCAGGAGAAAAGGCCTTAATTAAAAATGGCTCCTGCCCTTTCAGCCCCTTTGCCCATTTTTTGTCCCCACTTTATCAGTTATGACCAGTTACTGTTTCATTTTCTGTTGTTCAATTGAAGCTAAGAAGCACCTTGTAGACAGCAACTGTCAATTAGTTATAATGAAAGCAGAAATTTAGCTTCCATCTTGCCTGCATTTAGAGGGTTATAGCAGGACATTAATTCAATTGCTTTCTTATCTTCTGAACTAATCTCAGAGCATGCATTTGTGGCTGCCAAGTGCTTGAGGGGGGGGAGCAGGTCCCGTCTTCCCTGTCCCTCCCTTCCTCCCTCTGAGAAGGACCTGCAGCTGGGTGGAGCAAACAGTGTATGTGGTGGACAGGGGGAAAGGTGGCTTGTTACAGCAGAAAGAAGGAAAAAAGATAGGTGTGGAGTGGAGAGGGGAGGGAAGAGAAAAAATTACATGGAATAAAGAAGAAAGGAAGGAAGAAAGAAGAGACTCTTGGAGAGAAAGAGAAGAAATGATAATGGCAATAATTATAATGAAAAGCTTTCTGCAAATATATATATGTACTTTCATAAGCCCATAGTTCATTAACATCAGTGGGAAATGTTTGAGAACAGCCCACCTAACTTGAGATGCCTGTATCTGGCTAGGATCCCCTGATAAATAACAGGTGCTTCAAAGGGATGACCCATTTCAGGCTCTTGTTTTAGGATGAGATGAGTTGTGTCCTGGAAGTGCCTTTTTCTTTCTCCGTCCACTCAAGGGGGTGCTTATATTGTCAACATCCCCATTTGGTCAGTTGAACCCCCTGTCCTTCCTGGTTTTGCTGTCCTTATGTTACACAGGGTCCAGCCGCAGCAGGTCGAAAGGAAGGCTGTGGGTACATCCCCTGCACTGCCCTTGCTGGCTTACCTATGCCTTAGCAATATCCCTTAGGAAAAGGCAGAAGTGCTCAGGTGCAGCAGAATTGTTATCTTACATAAGATAGAAAAAGATTCCTGCAGCAACTGCCGTCTTAAAAGTTAATGTTAGAAGCAGGAAGAAAGAGGAGAATGTAGGGCTGTGGTTTCTGTGTGGTTGTGCCGTCCTGTTCTTCCCTTCCCCCAGCCTTTTTCTTTGTTCCCGGACTTGGCATATGAAAGTAGGTCATAGCTCTCAGCCATACATGTTTTAAAAGTACTAGTCACTCTGTGAGCATGACGTAGCATCTCTGGGATGTTGGGGGGGGGGGGGGGGGGGGGGGGGGGGGTTGGGGGGTGAGGCAGAATCTCCATATTAATGTGCCAATATCTTTGTTCTGAAGTGTTTAATTTTATGCTTTAATGAGAGATCCTCTTTCTGGTTAAGGCAAGCCTTTGCAAGAAACTATTTAGATATTTGCTAGTGTCATCAGGCTCCGGAGCAGGGGGAGGGAAATACTTGGTGCAGGCAAAGAGGGGGGGGTGGGTGCCTCCGTGGCAAAGCCCATCGTGGTGGGAGTCCCGTGGAAATGGGGGAGTCCCTGAGTAAAGTGTCCCTCAAAATCAGGTTTGGGATTTACAGTCAAAAGAATTGGGGATTTTGGCTCAACCGCCAAAAGGAGGAAAGGAGAGGTGATGGGTGTCCCACCACGCTCAAATTCAGGGTGAGGGGGGTTTCCTCCCTCTCTTCATCTGTGCTGGCATCTCTGAGCTCTGATTGCTTTCCTTTCAGGTGAACAGCTCTGTCGCTGTGTGCAAAACCTGGCGTCCTGTCTCCGTGTGCTGCATCTTCCAAAACCCATTACTCATCGGCGTGAGGCGGGATAACCTGCCAAAGCAGATTGCCGCCTGCAAATGCAACTTCCTCGCCTCCCCGGGCCACGTCCTGCTTCTCCAACTCCTCTTGGGGGGGGGGGGGGGTAGGGGGAGGGTGTGTGTTAGGGGGTTTTTTTCACACAATGTAGAAAATCTGTTTTCTCTGGGATTAAACTGTGTTTTCTTAGGAGATGGCACTGCAAATCTTTCATGTGTTGCTGGGGTAGGCAGCACCTGGGCTTATCTGGATGCAGTGGACTGTCCTTATTCTTCTCTGAGGTGCCACATCCTAGGGTGACATAGTGTGGGGCTCCTTTACAAACACACCTACAGAGAAGTCACCCTAAGCATCCTGTGGTGAGGTGGGGAAGTCCAGCATCTGTGACAGGCTGCCCGCCAAACTCTGTAAAGACGAAGCACATCTGGAGAGCGCGTGTGCTTCTGCCTTTGGAGGAAGCCCTGGTTGCCCTGGTTGCTCTCTGCCTGCTGGTATCGTTTATGAGCTGTGATGTAAAGTGGAGGAAATGGAGAGCGCGAATGCTAATCTCACCCTGAAACAGCGTCATTGGTCTGGTTTCCTTAGGTACAATTTGTGCTTATCATTCTGGTGCAAAAGTTAGGAGGGCACAGCTGGTTAAACAAACCCTGCCCAAATATAATTTCCTTGCTTACAACACAGAGTGTTTAACCTTTCATTACTCCATCCCACCCAAACCAAAGGCCTATTTTTTGCATTCAGCCTTGCTTTCTTTTTTTTTCAGACAATAGGAAAAAAAAAGATTAAAAACCCTGCAAAACTTACTTCAGAAAGAGCTGAATTTAATCTTCAAGCTGAATTTCTATCTATTTCAGAATGTACTAGCTGTGTATTGTACTTCATGTATGTGAAGACAAGAAATGGCACATCGTATATAAAAACAGGAAAATGCATTATTCATGTAATAAATGTTGTCTTTTCATATCTTCTGGCAAAAAAAAAGAAACAGTGGGCTGCCTACTAGTAATTGCATATCATATTTTAAAATAATGGTATAGATTTTTAATGCCTGCCTGCTGCTTTGCCGGGCCTGTCTCCTGTTCTAGCCAGCAACAGCACGTTCCCAGAGGCAAAGACCCTGAATGCCCTCAGCACAGCAGCTCACATCCCTGCTTTATAAATCAGATGCTTTAAGAAAGTTTCTTTTAAATTTCTCTCACATTCAGTAGGTTTTGGAGGTCAAACCTTTACCCAGTATTGTACATATCAATGCTAAATCATGTAATGTCTAAAATACACTTGCTCCGAATCTTAAAGGCAAATACTATGTCCAAGGGAAAGCTTTATCAGACTTTTAAAAAGATATATTTCTGGGAAGTGACAGGCAGAAAGAAGCCTCAAAATGCTAAACACCTCTCACTTTTTTGCTATAATTCAGATCCTTCCATTGTCGACCATGCTCTTTGCTGTCTCCAGATGGACACACCTTCCTTAACTTGTGGTTCATCCCTCACCCTACTGAAGGGCTGATCATGTTCAAAATGCTTCCAGAGAAGGTCAGTATTTGCTAATGCTAAAAGAGATTTTTTTCTGGGCGGGAGGCAATGCACATCTTTTCACATGCATTACAATTTTTTCTTGTCATTGGAGGTGCAGAAATAAATACCAGTGGTTTCCATCTGGATGGAGCTAGTATGTGCTTCTGATGGAGGGTGATGATGGGTGCCTGTCAGGAAGCAGGGAGCTTTGGTCCTCTGGGTTCAGAGGTGGAAGCAACAGTAAAAGGAAAGGAAAGATCCTTTAATTAAATACCTAAAGATCTTTAAATATCAGAAGTAATTAAATCAAACCTCAGCCACATGCTGTGCATTGTCTTTTCCTATTTGTGAAAGCATTCCCCATCCCACCAGTTTGTAAAGTATTGTCCTTGTCCTCATGTACACAGAAGTGGCAGGCTGGGACCTTTATGTCCTCAGACTTATTTCTGCTGAAATAAGGGGGACATGGGGACAGGATGGAGGAGGTAACTGGGCTGGTCCTGGCCTGGCAGTGTGGGAGCTGGAGATGTTGCTGCACAGGGTGGAAGGACTGCGAGGGGAAGGCTGCCTGGCCATGTCCATCGATTTGGATAGGTGTAAACATTGAAAAAAGTGGTTGTAAGAGGCACTGGGGGAGCAGTTTCTAAACCAGAAGCTGTGACACCAGATGGGATCGTGACAGCTCGGAGTGGTATCCTGAGCCTGAACAAAATCAGGGCTTGACCTTGCTCTGGGAGCCCCGGTGCCATCCCAGGGAGGTCTCATGTGGTGCCCAGGAGTGGTTGTGGCCTGGGTAGCCAAAAATATTTGCTACTTTGGTGTGTTTGCTTAGGGACAATCATGTGAATAGTTTTCTTTGTGCATTTGTCTTGTCTGCAGGCTGCTCTCAGAGCTCTCCACCTAAGCCTAGGAATTGTTGGTGCATTTCACGATATGGTTTCATATCTCCTGGCTTATGCTCAATTAGGAAATTCCCCAAACTGCTTTTGTGCCTTAAACCCAAAGCCTCTGACCCAGACTGGGGAGGGACTGACAGGATTGGTAAATTACAATTACTGTGTGTTTACGGTAGATAGTTCCAGGTGCAAAGGAGTGTGATATGCTGGTGGTAAGAAAGGGACAGAAGGAGCATGAGGATGCGATTGATGTTAACTGAAGAATTAAGTCAAGATTGAATTGCAGTGATATTTTTTTAATTTTTCCTGCTTCATTTTACTGATGGAAGACTGATGGGTTTCGGGAGGATGCCCACAGCATCACAGATCTGTCACAAACTCACAGAGAAGCAACATAGCTACCAGGCTTGGGAGGTCTGCTCTGGCAGGGATCAGAGAACATGGTCCAAAAATTGCTCTTCCGCCTCTAGCCAAGTGTCTGTTAAGCCATCTGGTCAGCCCATGATGATTTTATCTTTGCCAGAAGATTAAAAAAGGCAGGCTTTGGTTCCTCTAGTAAATCTGTGGCTTGATTCTCTTTCCAAAGGATGAAATAGCTGAGGTGAGTGTCGTCCAGCATAAACGCATATTTGTGCAGAAGTAGTACCAGTTCACCTAACGGCTTTGACCTGCTGTTCATGTAAAACTGTACTGCAGGAGTGTGATTGTGTCTGCCTTTAGTGTCTAGCAGTTAGGTGTGTAGCTACTGGTATCTAACAACTAGTTAGGTACCTCTGCTGTCACTGGACACCTTCTCTAGACACTGTCACAATGACATCTTTGAAGGAGTTGCCCATCCCAAGCTAAAATGTGTTCAAAATTGGATGAAACCCTCTTCAGAGGTGCCTAAGGTTGCAGGAGCCCAGTTAACCTTGGTGCCTGATAATTAGGCAACTAAAGTCATATGAGATAATCCTGTCCCAAGTGTTGAAGTGCTCTTTGTGTTTGGCTTTTCAGCCACTGGATTATTCCCACAGTGAGCTGGGATTTCAAAACATGGCAAGTTACACACACCTTCTCCTCTATGGGGGTGTGTGCTGTGGAGCTGGACTGTTTTCAAGCCAGCTACAAATGCCCACATTTCTATGTCTATATTTGGTGCTGTTCAGGCACAACTCAGGAATAAAAACTTTACCTGCACAACTTCCCTTCTGTCCTGGTATCTTTTAAAAAATGAAAAATTGATTATGACAATTGGGTAAAAATATTAAATTCTTCAAGAAGCGAGAAAAATATATAAAAGACCAGCTTTGTCTTTTAATGTCTCCAGATTTTATCCCTTATGTATTTTTCTTTTTATGTGAGTAAGATTTTTATTATCAGTTCTGAATTTATCTTCTTGAAATTTCATTTTGGAAGGGAAGAAAGGACTCGGTGAATCATAAATACTTGTTATAGCTTTTATTTTAATACTGTGCTTGTGAGTGTTTGATTTTGAAGTGGGCTTATTTTCTCTAACAAAAAGCACTCCCTGTTCTGTGGTGTGCGCTCATTGTAACATCAAGTGCGTATTAGTAACTTCATTTGTATATGGCTGAGAAAGCTCATATAAATTAGCATGTTTAATAAGCTTTGAAACAATCAAGAAGACTCAGCGCAGTGATCACTGAGAAACCACATAACCAGATGTAGGAGGAATATTATGTGCAATGTATTTCAATTTCAGACATATCTAATGTGTGCCTAGCCACCATGCTCTTACAACAGAAAATATGGACAAGACGGAGTCCTCAGTACGCTGCTGTCTCTATAACACATCTTGCACAGACATTTTAACTCCATTGCTCCTGACCAAGAGATCGTTCTAGTCGTTGGTGCAGCAGAATAATTTCCCTCTCCCCCAGATCAGATCATTTAACTTCCTTAAATGATGGCAGCCCCTGCAGCCTGACAGAGAGAACATTTGGTTTCTATAACAGGTGCTTCCAAGTTAAATCACTTCTGCAGTGGCTGCGTCTCAGGAGGTAGTCAAGCCCTGAGCACACATTTCCTACAAACACCAAGAGCAGGTTCTCTTGTAAAGGTAATGACCTGTAGGGACCCATTGCTTTGGGAAGTTTTTGGCTAGGCTTAAAGGGAATAAAAAAACTTTAGGGCCTCAGCAGAAAAATATCCATTAGGTTGCAAAACTGAGACCCAGTAGTATTTTATTGACAGCAGTTGGAGAAGTTGTCTCTATTGTTCACTACCAGGTAATAACTAGTTTAGGTCTTCGGACTAAGTAAAATGCCATCTCAGGACCTCATTCTGTTATTGTCTGACAAATGTAATCTCAATCTTTTCAGTTGGAAGGGACCTACGATGATCATCTAGTCAACCAGATATGATAATAGAAAGATATACCACTGTCCTTGTTGGTATTTTATTATAATTGATTTTTTAATGGGAAAAGGTAATAAAAGAACCATTCTTTTGAAATGCTTTTACCTTTCATTCCTATGCCTTTTGCTCCCTGACCTTACTACATCCTTATAATTCTCCACCTGCCATAATCTCTTTTCTTAAAGCCTGGTTTTGTAGCGTTGAGGGGGATATAAATGCATTCTTCTTCTGCCTCACAGGGGAAAGAGGAAAAATGGAGAAAGTCATGAAGTCCAAAACTCCTGGAGGAAAAAAGAGCTTACTGAACTGAGAGATTTTTAAGTGCATCTCCTGAAGCCTTATCTGATAAACTTACTGTTCTTGGGACTCCAGGGACTGAACTTCAAGAGATACAGAAAACGATTGACAGCCTCCAGAATCCACTGGATCCCTATGAAGTACCCCAGCTGCTCGCTACTCACAGAGAAGTGATCTTTCTACAGTTCGATGCAGCATTCAGACATTGACTACGGTAGGAATTACAGGCTTTATTTTATTTATTTATTTTATTCATAAAGAAAAAACATAGGAATGATGAATTTAAATTTTGTCCATGGTATCTGCTCCAAGATCATGAAATGTGCCTGTAAGTGTAGAAATTTTCTCTTCACTAAAAGTACCAATTTTCCTTTAACTGAAAGTGATGAGAGTCCTCACATGCTTCATTGAGGGATCTCAACACACTATGTCAGTGTCCTATTATCTGAGCTTTATGTTGTGATTCATAGTTTACTGAATCAGGGAGGTTGGTAGCTGCTACAGGGGTAGACTTAGGAGTTCATGTCTTGTTTTCCTGCCGGATCTACATTTAATTTTGTAGTTTCCTTTATCAAAGACTGCTTAATAAGCAGGTGCAGGACTTAGACCTGCTTATATCGAGATCTAGGTAAAATGTTGTTGTTTACCCCACCACAGAAACCCAACTAAGCTCTTCTTTTCAGAACTTTCTTAATAGTAATTGTCTCCCTTTTCTCCCCACTCTCCTCCCATACGTTGGTCACAGAATGGTTTGAATGTACCTAATGGAATAAACTTTGCAGAACCAAAACAAGGGAAGAACATGCAACAGTAGAAGAAATTTCAACTCTCCTCCCCTCTGTAGATGCCACGTGGTGGCATGATGCAAGACTAGATTTGTAGGAGTAGTCTGTGTGGGGCAGGCAGGCCATGGAGTCCACCAGAAGAGAAGCAGCTCCTGGACTTGCTTTTGAGTAACATGCAAGTTCAAAATGCTACAGTTAAAGAGCTGTTCTCTAAAAGCAGCCATGATGTGCTTGCATAAAACATCCTTGAAGGACCAGTGAAAGCCAAATAAGTATCACCATAACTGAGTGCAGCTTCAAAATGGAAAACTACATAAAAATGAGACTACTTACTGAAAAAAAACACTAGAAGGATTAGCTAGGGAAGTTAAATCCTTGCAGATGGCATGGAAATTCTTTGGGGACATACTGGAGGCACTCAAGAAATGTATACCATATGTGAAGAAAGACTTAAGAAAGGGTAAGAGGATGCTGGCATGGCTAAACAGCAGGATTAAACAGATATAATCTGTTTAAAGCAAGAAGGCATCCTTCAAAAAGCTGAACTTTCCTTCAAATTAAGAAAACAGAAAAGACTATAAACTGTGAAAGGATAAATCTAAAAGGATTCAAGACAGCCCAGCAAAGATTTTGAGAAACAATTTTGCTGAAGGCACCAAGACTAATAATAAATTTTGTTTCGAATATACCAGAAGCCGGAAACATGTAGGACCAGTAGGTGATCAGGAGTGTTCAGTGAAGACAAATCAACAGCACTCATTTAAAAAAGTGATTTGTGTGTTTCTGCATTCCCTGTGGAAGAACTTCAGGAGGTTCCCACACTAAAACCTTTCATTGTTGGAGATGCATCAGAGGAGCTGCTGCAAGTAGAAGTGTTGCCAGGGAAAGTGATGGGATGAGTAGACTAAAATGAAGATGAACAAGTTGCCAAGACCAGACAATGTTCAAGAATTCTGAAAGAATGCAAAGATTGTTAATTTTTTTTAAAGAAGCCAGAGTGCTAGCTATGGGGTGTAGCTTCTTGCTTAACCTTGAGACCTGAAGACTGGAAGTGGCTGATGTGTTGCCAGTTGTTAGAAAGGACTTTAAGGGTGATCTGGCTAATCACAGGCTGATAAGCCCAATATCCATAGTGTTCAAATTAGCAGAAACTGTAGCGACATAGATAAGGGGTTGATACAGTTTGTCTGGATTCCCTGAAAACTTCAATAGCCCCACAGAGGCTCTTAAGGAGTCTGAGCAGCCACTGGATATGTAAGGAGAAGGTCACATTTGTAAATAATTTATTAAGATTTAGGAAGAAGAAGACTGTAAATGGGCAACTTTTGCAGTGGATAAGAGAGGTTACCAGTGGCTTCCCACAGGAGTTTGAACTTTCTCCTGAGCTGTTCAGGGCTCATAGATGACACTGAAAGGAGGCTGAAGCTGAGGTGGTACAATGTGTACATGGTACTGAGACTCCCAGGATGCAAAGGGCAAGAGCTGGCTGGAGAAGGACCTTACAAAACAGAGTGGCTGCAAAATAAAACAGCAGATGGAGTTCAGTGTATGGGTAAAATGATGCACCTGGGGAAAAAAAAAAATCCCAATGTATAAAATTACAGTCTCTAACTTGACCATTACCATGCAGTAATGAAATATCAGAGTTATGACAGATAATTCTGTCAAAATTTCATCTCAGTAGAGATAAAAAAAAAGGCAAATTGATTCCTTTTAGGAGAGGAAAAATAAAAACACCACTATACAGCCAAATAAATCTGTGTTGATGAGCCTACACAGTTCTGGTCCCCACCTGAGGAAGGACAGAGAAGTCACAAAGGTTCCCAAAGGAGCCACATGGATGATGAAAGGCTGCTGGGTGGAACAGCTGGGGAAGAGCTCTGTAAAACTGTCAGTCAAAGGCAGGGGATAAACAAGGAGTGTCTTCTCATGTTTTTTTGAGCATAAGGTGCATCCCAGGTGAACAGCACGTAGCCAGCTCTGAAAAAAAAAAAAAAAAAAAAGGTTGTTCTTGCACATGGTTTGTAATTAGGCCATGGGATTTCTTGCTGTGGGACGTGGTGCGTGATAAAAGTCCATAGAACTCAGAGGGAGACTGCACAATCTCATGGTAGACAAATCTACCAAAGGTTATTAAATGTTTAGCAATCACCTCTGGCTGAGCAAATGCCCGAGCTACAAATTCTTGGAGGCCATGAGAATATCTGTAGGAAATATCAGCATGTGCTTCCTCTGGAGATTTTTGTAATCTTCTCATGAATCCATTTTTGATCACTGTGTGAGACAGGACTCTGAGCTGCATGGACCTTTGTTCTGACCCAGTGTGACCACCCTTGTCCTGTCCAGTGGAGCTGTGTTTGTACAGGTTTGTAGACTAAGGATTTTTCTGGAGATTCGCAAGAAGATAAAAACTACCTTGTGCTTTTATTTCTGTCTTCTCCTGATTAAAATACTGTAGGGAGAATTGGCGAGGGCATTTTTTTCCTTGGATAAGGAATTGTGCATTAACAGAAAGTAGGGAGAAATGCAGTATATCAGATGCTTCATCTTTCTTTTTCCTTATTGCCAGTGCAATTAGTTTCCATTTTCTCCACACCAGGGCTAGCGCTGTGATACTCAATCATGTTTAATCTCTTCTGAACTTCTCTGCCAAGTTTGATCCCAGAAGCTGCTATTTGTCCCTGTAATCCCTTTGTTAGTCCTGCAACTGACACAAACCGCATGTCGTTTTTGGAAGAGGTTGTGAGTGTTTTGACAAAACCGAAAGAACAAGGTCCCTGCCTTAGAGTTGCCATTCAAAAGAGGATGTGCAGCCACAGAAAGAGCTGCAGTCTAGATGGCTTCTTATATTGCAAGAACCGGTTGATCGGGGGGCTCTTTGTTTTAAAAGCGTGTGAATGAAGTACAGGAGAATTGAGGGTGACAAAGAGACTTGCAATGAAATGACAAAGTCATATCTAAGCCTGGTTGAGTAACGTATTTACGTGATGCAGACAGTGCAGTAAAAAGTAGCTCTGTGTGTGGAATTGCACAGCAGAACGCAATCCGAGCATGAGGAGCCAGCTGGGCCCCAGAAGCCCCGTACACCTCTGGTGTGGAGCAGCACTCTGCTGGTCTAGCAGCTCCTGCTGCTCTGCTGGGCTCTGGTGTGTCTGCCTGGCCCAGCATCTGCTGGGTGAGACCAGGTGCATCTCCTGGGTGAGACCAGGTCTCATGGAAATCAGTGGGGAGTGTTGTTGCTAACCCTAGCTCTGGACTCCAAGCATCCTTATAATTAAGCTTCCAAAGCTTCACAAACACTTTTGAAAACTTGGAAAATCTTTAGTGGCTCTCCCACTTTGTATAGGAAATTGTCCTATTACCAGGAATCAGAAGCAGTAGAGCTCCTGGATTGATATCCAGTCTATTAACTACCTGAGTGTCCCTCTTTGTCAGCATAGGCATGTGTTTTGCTGCAAATGTCCCCAGTCAGATGCACTTTCACATGTGCATCTACATGATTGACATTTGTGTCTATTAGTTTTAACTGTCATATCTGCTGCTATCCTTAACACTCGCTCCCATGTTGGGTTATGGTGAAGAGCAGTGGGATATTTTTGAAGTCACCTTACTTCTTTTTAATACAAACATTTTGTTTCCTTTACAGAGGACATTTTTGTCCTTGGGGAATGTTTCAGCCTACCAGAGTGTTACAGGCAGGGTATACCTCCACTGAGTAACTCCACAATTCAGAATGCATTTGCTTCACAGCTACGGCCCCCACAGCTTCTGCATCCTCAAAGCTCCAAGGTGAGTAAAGCACACCCTCCGAGGCACTCTTCCTCTGTTTGCATCAAGCTCTTTGGAGAACAAAGTCCTCTGCAGTTCTTGCTGGTGTGCTTACTGCTTCCCTACCATGGTGCAAAGAACCTAACCACTAATAGCTAATTAACTTGATTCACCATTAGGAATTCTAGAAAACATTCTGTGCAGAAGTGAGTAATAAAAATTGGAGACGGAATGTAATCACACTGATGTCACCAAAATGGAGTTTTTCTGTATGATAGATGTTGGTGTTTCTACTAACTTTCAGTTTTGGTAATTACCCTTTTGAGCTCTCCCATCACCTGGTTGCAGTTTTAATTGCCCGACTGTGTCTGTCATGGTTGTGTGCAAGATATTTATATCTAGAGGTTTCTTAGCTATAGTGTCACACAGAGCTACATAATGTCGAACTAGATACCTGTGTGCTAAAGAGGCACCTTGAATGACATGGGCAAAGAAAGCTGGTGTAATGTTAAAGGAAGTAAAGATGAGTCTTCCTGCTGATATTGGCATGTTCCAAGGCAATAGGCAGTTTTAAATAATCATTCTAACTTCATGGTTCCTTATTTTCATCCATCCTGATAATTATCCAATACCAGATACTATTGTTTCACCTTTACTAATGCCTTTCCCCAGCAATAAGTTATAGGAATACAGTTTTCTGCTACCCCTGCCTTGATTTAGGTAATAATGACACATGGGACCTCCTTAGCGTAACTGAGAAAGAGGATTTGTACGGGCATGCAAAATCTGGACATCTTTGATTAATAAGATGTCCTGATGCTTCTGAGATAGGAGCAGCAAGAAATGATTGACAGTAAGTAGGTAAGGACGTGGGAGCTATTCTGGGGAGGCAGAAGTAGCAGAGCATCTTGGTAGGAAATGTATTCTGGAATGAATCTTATTGCCTCTTTCCCAAGGAGTGATAATAGATGCTTCTCTCTTTTCTAGTATGTGGCCTACTTTCAAAGTCAGAGCAGAGTGTGTCACATATCAAATAGCAGCTTGGCCTCTGGGTTGCCTTTTCCTGATCAAATTAGATGGGACTCTCATAACTAATTGAATGTTGTTCTTATTTATGAACAGTCACCTCTATTCTTTTAGACACTCGTGCATTTTCCTTGGAGGACATTCCTAATGGATGGAGGATTGTTTCCAGTCACTATCAACAACACAATTAATATAAATTACAACATGCAGGTACAGTGAGACAGCAGCCTTGTGCTTATGTCCAAAGAAATAAAGGCAAGATGAATCTATCATGCAGCAGGAAAACAACCTAATACCATCTCATTTCCTGTCTTTGTTTTCTAGAGGAGAAGTGAACAAAAAACATCTCACCCTTTTCTCTCCAAAAGCCCATTTTACCATTTAATTCACATTTGATCTTTCTTCAAGCAGAGCAGAGCATTTTTATTGATAACGAACCTATACTTATGATTTTTCTAGTGTGCTAGAACTAGAGAATCGAATAATTTTTATGCATGGGCATATGTGCTTTAGGACCTTGGTGCTAAAAGCTTGAAATCCATTTGTGTTTACGACACAAAAAGCCCTGTGCTGACAGTTACCTGCGATTTGCTGTTACTGGTTAAGCTCTGCACAGCAGACCTTCAGAGACTCTCCCTTCCCCTCCAGCTGTGCCGGTGCAGCCTGAGTGGTGCAGATGGAAGAGCTGCTCACGTGGAGACGGTGGCAATGCAGTTTCTGGTGGAGGATGTACTGCAGAACAGCTACGGCTCTGCTGGGGAAGATCACGCGGACTGTCAAGCCTCGTTAGCTAAGAGCAAGTCCCAAAGAAACTGACAACTCAGTTTCTTTGGGACTGCACAGCTTCTGTGTAGGGCTCCTGATAGTTTTTGCAACTGTGCACTCTGTGCACATAAGCAACCTAGACCTGAGGTACGCTGTAACAACCTCACCTACTCCTGGCCATCTGGTAAGAAGCAAAGGGGTCTCCTGTAAATCCTGAGTGCTCTCAAGAGAAGCCCCAGATAGATCCCTAGAGAGACGTGCCCCTTGAGGGCCTGTTGGTATCACCAGACCTCTGGAGAAAACAGACTGTCCTGACTTCTCCCCGCACACCACTGAAGGTCCAGCTCTTTCTTTATCAAGAGCTGCTCAGTGCAAAGGAGAAAGGAACAGCCTGGCCACTGTCTAAAACCAAACCCAGTCAAGGATAAGCAAGGCTCTTCCAGGCTGTACTTGCATTGTGGCTGTGGCTGTGAGGAATGGTTGCTGGGGGCACCTAAAACCTGACAGAAAAAAGATTTGGTTCAAGGAACGAGGAGGGATTCAAACTGTTTGTGGTGGAAAACAGATAGACTGACTGATTTGCAAGGTCAAATGGATGGAAAGGACAAAGTTAGTTATTTTAATGTCTGCTTCCCTCAAGATCTGAGCTAAGAGTTTGATTTCTGTAACAGTACTTTAGTTAGAGACCAAGCAGAAAGTGTTGCTGTTAAAAGCGATTCACTTGGGGAAAGCAGCAATAAAACAAAGAATTTAACTGCTGTGTGATTTTATCCTCATCTCTGCTGTGTGTGAGTACTCACCACGATCAAAAACCAGCCTGGGATTTCCCTGTACCCTGCTCTGAAGAACACTGGTGTAAGGACCCATTGCAAGTTCTGATTGTGAAATAGCCTGTCACAAGTCTTTTCCCATTGTATATTGGGAAGAAAAGCATGTGAAAAGTTTGCCATAGCTTTTTGAAGCAAAACATTTCCCTGTGACTTCCAGCAGAACTTGGCAGAAATGGTTGACTTAAGTGCAGACTGGTTGCAGAACAGCAAAAAGACATGCAAACTTCTGCTGAGGCATCACAGTCCGGTCACCACGTAACTTGCTGAGATCTTTTCTGGTATTCTGGAAGCAACTAGAAGTATTAAAGGCAGAATGGGGCCAACTGAAGCTGAAGCAAGGCTATCAATAGTTCCTCTCTACAAAGAGTTTTGTGAGCAATATGGGTGAGTTACCTTGGATGCAAGAATATTCCAGAGTGATCAAAAAGGTGAAAAATTAGAAAAGTCTCTGCCTTCTCCATCCATTTTCCTCCTGTCCCCCTCTTTCACTTTCCTTTTTTTTTTTATTTCTACCTTTCTTCATTTTTGCTTAACCGAGTAATTTCACTTTTCTCTAAAGGCTTAAGAGCTACGTTTTTTTCCTTTGTTTCAGTGCAGTTGTTTTTTCCCCTCTTTCAATGTCTATCCAGACTGTTTGCTGCTGATGTTTTCCAAGCACATTCTTCTCAGTCGTGTGACCCGCCTTTGTATTTCAGGCTCCATAAACAATGTTAAATACAGTACTTGAATAAATGGAAATTTTGGAAGCCTGTTAGATGAATTGTAGCAGAATTCTTCTTAGCCCTCCTACTTGGCTCAACTTTGAGCAGACAAGAATAGAAAATTGGAAGATTTCCATCAGAGAGGCCTTTCTGAAAGCAGAAAATGCAACATAACTTTTTAAAATGCCTTGTCCCCGGAAACCACAAGAAAGGAAGTGAAAGAGCAAGATGACACAGTAGGGGTGAAATCCGTGCATGAAGACAGTGGAAAACACTGCTGTCATGCAAGGGAGCCGGAGGAAGCAATGCTCAGTGGGCCTGTCCTTACAAGGCCAAGGCATTTTAGATTGGCAAGTCCGAATCTGTCACAGAAAACTTGTGTGTGTGTAAAGAGCTGGTATCAGGTTTGCTCCGTTCTGGTCTCCATTTGTCTGTGTACAGTGTTACCTCCCATGCACTGCCACCAGATCAGAGGGGGACAGTCCAACTCTGGGAGCCCATCGTCTTTGCCTCTATCTAATTTATCATCTCTGCCAAGGGAGCAGCTCCAGGGAAGAGCAGGCCTGGGTTGCAGGAGGGCTGGGAGTGAGGGGCACAAGTTCTCTGTGAAGAGTGAGGAACAGCTTCTGCTTCCACCCATGGGCATGGGCAGGTGCAGGAGAGCCCCAGCTTCAGCATCTCCCAGCCCTTCCACACCCCGAGCTTTCTTGTAGCGATGCCTGAGATCGGGATTAGCAGTTATTGCGTCCTGGGAGGAGAGGTGAGCTCCCTGCCCCTGGCTTTGCTTACCCTGGCCTTTCAGCAGGAGAAGATTCTGTAGTGGCACCTGTAACAGCTCTTTAGCACAAGGTCCACCTGCAGTAAAGCTGTGTTAAAGCACCTGGGATGTCCTGTACCCCAAAATCCCACTGTGTCTCCCTCCTCCACATCTCTACCCTTCCCCTTCCACAGATGAGAGCTCCCTACTTCCCTCCTGAGCTCTGTGCTAACCTTTGTGTCACGCCATCGAGGGTTTAAAAGGCAGCGTGATTAAAGCAATAAAATGTAACAAGGTATATAAGCTTTGCTAATGGCTCCTCTGCTTCTAAGAGCAAAGTGCATGTCTGCCTGGGCACTTAGCACTCAGAGGCACTTAGCAAACCCATGATCAGATAGGAAGGAGAGCAGAGGGAGAAGACGGAGGGAGTTTCTTGGTCTATTTGAATGATGGTCATAGACAAGTTCTTACCAGTGACCAGATTTCCCTGCTTTACTTGTCAACCACTTGTTCCTTCCCCTCGGGTTTAGTTTTGTATTATTATGAACTCGGAGAAATTACTGACCTATGTAATAAGGCAGGACCGGTGAAGAAGAGACTGCCCTGTCCCACTTATAGGTCAAGTGGGGCTAACGTGATGAGCTGAGGCTTAATCATATTCTGCATGGGTTGGGAACAGGGGCAGAGGAAGAAAAAGAAAAGTTAAGGTCCAAGGTCAGTGAATGCAAATACAGCAATTTTGAGAATGAATGTGTGAAATACCCATGTCTTGGTGATTCTAGTGCAGATATCCTGTAGCCAGCCATGAAAGCTGTCCTCAGACAAATGGGCACAGAGGAGGAGTTTGGAGAGCCCATCATGAGCACTCAGCATATTCTTCCCCCCAGAGGAGCATCAGAAATCAAAGTGAAGGTGTACCAGGTGAGGAGAGGCCAATTAGTGGGGCACTGGGGGGACCACACAGCATCATGGTTTCCTGCAATTTCTGATAAGTGGAGTCCACTGGAGACTTGTTGTAGTATGAAGTTGGGCAGATGTGGGTGACCCCTGAGGCTCTGCAATGGCACCTCTGCTGTGTGGAGCCAGATGTGGGAACCTGCCTCTATCTGTAGTATTTGTGGCACGGCACAGCTCACAGTAACCCCCAAATGATCTTAACCTTGATAGTGTATCTAAAAGCACTGTATTTTAGAGAAGAATGGAAAGAGAATTGCTTTGGTTTAGTCTGCTAGTTTTTGCTAGTTGGCAAGTTGCTTTATAAGCAGTACAGAGATTTAGTAAGAGCTAAGTATTAAACTTGATTCCAGCTTCAAAAGCTTCTGGAAAGCCTAGAAATCCACATGATCCATGATGTGCAGAAGAAAATTAACCAGGAGATGATTCCAGTGATACTTGAAAGAGCCAGACAAGAGAGCAGTCTCCCCACTGGTAAGGAGAATTAAAATACCCTTCCTGAGAAATATGGGACCTCCAGTCTTGAGTGGGAAAAATAACCTACAGTCCATAAAGGCAGCAAAGAGTTGTCCTGAATATGACCAGGAGAGCACATTTGCTCTCATCTCCCCACTTCCCTGTGCACCCATTTGGAGGCCAGGGGCCAGCTGAATTGTGGGGAATGTGTCACTGATGAAAAAACAGCTTACCCTCAGGAAACTCTTCTGTTTTGGAGAGCCCATTGTGAGAAATTCCAGAAATACATCTAGCAGGAAGCCATGAAGAATTGTGTACTGAGATACCACAAGCCTTTCTGCAGGGACCTGTTTATTCTGTCTGTTCAACAGATTCAAATTCCCTAAATCAACGAGTTTACTTTCTCTTTTTAAAATGAATGTTTAGCTATAATCATTGCAAAAACAATTGTGCAAACAAGGCTGAACACTAATTATTCTGGAGTTTGCAGCCAGCCCAAAAAAAACTATAGGAAAATACTTTTCTACGCCTCTGTGTTGGAGTGCTAATATTTTAGTCCTAGCAGTGCAATTTAAATGTCAGACTTTTTAGTATGTTAGGTGTTTACTTGGTACAATTACTGCATGGATCTGGGCAGTTTGGGTATTCACAGGCACAAATAGTAAAACAAAGAAATAGTGGAAATAAAAGGGAAGAAAAATGTGCCCTTCTGCCACTGGTTGTGCTTGCAGGCAGCAATAATTAGTGCTACAGAAATGTTCAATTTCACACAAAAGCCATATTCTTTATTTAATATTTACAGAAAACTCTAATACACAATAGTGGGCCAGGTCATTATTGACAGTGGGCCAGGTCATTATTGACAGAACTGGTCTGTAATGAAATTGCATTTTGGCTTTGATACCAGAACGAATTTGATATTGCTGCTCAACACAGGCTTTGCAATCTGTTTGCAGTGACATTTACTTCTTGTTGTAAACATTTTGGGAAAGCTGAGAAAGCCTGAGCTGTAAAGCATACCCAGTGTCAAATCCCAGGGATTACTGAAGGATCAATATTTGTTGGGGGGGAGTTGGGGTGGTGTTGCTTCTTTTTTTTCTCCCTCTGTCCCTGCAGAACTCTGGAAACAGAGGGTAACTCAAGAAAATTTCTCAGTTGCACGACCATGGATAGTTGAAAAATTTGTTCAAAGGCTGATGGAAAACTACCAAGAATCAGATACAGAGGTATGTATTCTGCATTTCTATCTAAGCAGCAATTAGATCATGTTTACAGCTTTATTTATTAAAGCTCTTGTTAATCAGTGACCTGAAAGAGAAACACATTTCTTAAGCTTATGAGCTTAGGTTCAGATTATGTAGGTTTGTAACAGCAGCATTGGCAGCAAACTTGTGTATTGCCCTGCTGCCTTCTGGCAGGTTTATTTCAGCTCTCAGGACTGCAATAACGTGAAGATGAGTTAGGGCTGGAGGTTTATATGCAACCGCAATGCAGGATTGCAGGACTTTATTCACGGATTCAGGAATGGGAACTCTTCTTCCTGAGTCACTGCTAGATGAGAGATACAGCACCATGTTAGAAATCAGCTTTTGTGGGGGGGTGTTAGTGACATTTAAAGAAAATATTTATGAAAATATGACCACTTTTGGTTAAAAAACACAAAATATGTTTTTTTGAGAGAAGGGATGCTGGGGCCCAACTGCACTCCAGACAGTTGCTGAGCTGATGATTTCATTTCTCTGCTGAAAATTCTCTTTCAGCTTCAGATGGAAAAAAACACATTATATAGTTGCAGCTAGAACCAGTCAAAAAACTGATAAATCTGTTTTTCATCAGTTCAGTGAAACTGCAGATTGGGCAAAAGCATTTACATTGAATACTTTTATTTTTGCTTCATTTTGATATTGCAGAAGCATTTAATTCACAATAAGGTGACCATGTTTCATTTTGACATATGCTGTATATAGCAGCTGTTATGACTCAGGCAACCTGCAAGCTTTCTTATTTTCTTTTTCTCGGTTACTTTTTAAAAAAGCCATTTACAACAGTGCCTCACCGTACTGGGCTGTGACATTATGGCCAGAGAGCGCAGCAACTTTGAGACCTACTCCATGTTTTATGAAAATATTCTCCAGCAGCAGCACTGGCTACTTTACCAAAAAGAACAAGTAGGCTCAGAGCGTTGGTTCTACTCTTTGAGAAGAGGGGAAGGTGGTTTCTCTGGGTGGGAGGCAATTGCTAAGTAAAAAATAAAGTCAAGCTGTAGGCTGGGAGGTTGTTGAAGCAGAATTGGGCGACACAAGCACAGTCACTGTGCATCTTTGTGCTTTGTTTCAGGAGCTGCACACAGTGGAAGGAGGTGGCAACCAAAGCGGCATGGCTCTGGCACAGGTTGGTGATGAGGGTCTATTGATTGGTGGTCTCATTTGGGGCAGAGTCCCACTGTGCAGACACATGGTTGATAGTCTTTGAGAAGAAAGGCAGGGTGGCTCTGAGGCTGCTGTCTCTGCACTGTCAGGAGTCATGCCAGAAGGACTTGTAAAACAAAGATAACCTGAAGGCAAAGGTAGTAGCCTGATGTTCTGTTGTTTGTGTTCACAATGGATGATGTACTGGTAACCTTCTAACTTAAACTTCTACTGATGGATCTCCCTACACAAGGGATTTCTCCCAGGGCCATTCAGTCATTGCGTGGGACAGAAAATAGAATTGGGTCAGGCATGTAGGCTGTACCTCCCTGGAGGTACCAGGTATGGTACAGCACGGCTGCATAACCAACTCCTCTCAAGTTCTGAGCATTTGACTTTGTACCTTCAGCTGCGTTTTTTAGGAACACCTGCATTTTGGATTTCATTCCTGAGCTCTCTTTCCCATCTGTCCTCATCACTGACTACAAGATTTCAGTTCTTCTCTGGGCTTCTTATCAGTTTCTTGCCCTACTCTCTTATCAGTTTCTTTCCAGTTTTTTGCCCCCTATCTTTTTCTGTGTACAGTGTGTTGTCAGCAACCTCCCTTCTTCCCTGATTTCACTGTCCTGTCCATATGTTTGAGAAGGCTGGAGTGAGAGAGAACATGAGAAACACGTGTGAGGTTTCAGCTGGGTGGAAAGATACAGGAGGAATCAGTAGGACTTTCCTGGAGCCTGCGGGCAGGGTAGTCTCCCTCACTCCACTTTGCTAGTTCATCACCACCAAATCCCTGTCTCCTCTGCCACTTCCCTTGAGTACAACACAGTTCATCCCCTGTGACTGGCCACCCTGGGAAACTGCCTACTGTCTCTGGGCTCCACATTGACCTCAGAAGAGACTTCTTGCTCCCAGTTCCACTTCTCACTAGCCTAAAGCAATCAGCAGAGTTAATTGCATTATAGCGGGTCTGAAGAGCGAGCTCAGTTGCTCAGTGGAGGTGTTAGAAACCATGAGAAAGGTTCAGGCATGATTAACCAAATGGGATGGCAGATAGTTTAAAAGCTAAAACATCTGTAAGGAACATACATGAATGATGTGGGTTGTTTTCTTCCCTCCAATAAAGTCTTAGAATTTGTCCAACTTTTTGCCATTTTTACTACAAAGACACCCAAAACAGAGTAAAACTAGTACTGCTCTGAATAAATATCACGAGATTTCTTCAGCAGGGCTAAAATACATGTATTTTCCCCAACATACGTTTTTAGAAGTGTCTCAGTAATGTTTGCTGTAAGACAAAAAAAAAATGACACAGAAAATTTCAGCAAGAATCCAGTGAAGTTATTAGCATTTACTACTTGGATCTGGCATGTGGAGATGCCAGGCAACCTTGAAAGCAGCCTGTGCTGTTGGCTGTGCCTGCCGTCTGCAGCTGGGCCCGTTTCTTATCTGAATAACGTAATATGCTAGGAATGATTTTTAGCTTTCCTCCATTGTGTTCATCTGTTTGCAAATGCTGTTCAGTGGTATGAAAATGACCAAACATTTATACCTAGCAATGACCTACCGATGTGAAATTTAAATTCTGACATTTAACTCTTTTTAAGTTCTATCATGTACCTTCCTATTTGTGCTAACCCATATGCCCTTTCTGAGGGTATGTTAATTGTCAAGTATCAACAAATGGAACACATAGTTGTTTTTATCATACATTAAATGGTCTGTATGTACCACCTTATCAGCAGACAGTCTGTTTGGTCTGATAAATGCATTACCTCACAGCTTACTGAATGAAGCCTGGTCACAGTTCTTCTGACTTTCTCTCTGGAGGCAGGGGAGGTCATGCTATGGGAGGCCAGGCTCACTGACATAGCAGAGCCATGGACCGGATCTTCTCCTAAAATCAGATTCCCTAATCCTGCTCCCTAATCCTTCTGCTCCTCTCTTCTCTGCACATATTTCCTTCTGTCAGTTCTCATACCTATTAGCGAGGAGATATTTATTTCCTGATGACCAGAAACAGTGTTTTTAAGGTTATATGTGAAACTTAAGCATTTCCCCCTTCAAATATTGGTCGTGAACTGCCACAACTGTTCCTACTTTCCAGAGAAGAAATGTTTCTAAAATCAACAGAGATGTACAAAATGGATTATTCCATATCATCAATGGATTATTTTCATCAGGCCGCTCAGGAAGATATTCTTGCTCTACTTAGGTAGGTATCACACAACATATTCAGAGCTGTGAATGGTTTACTCCCAGGCTACGGCGCGTGCTCATCCCTAGCTTTGCTCGTTCACTTTCTCTGCTGTGACAGATTTTGGGGATGTGCAATGGGATGATTATGGAAATAACTGCTCTCAGATCCCAGCTCACTGACTTAGAGGAAGAAAATCTTGGTCTCAAAGAGAAGATTAGAAAAGAAGTACAGGATGAATATGAATCATTAGTGTGGAACCTATTTGTGACATGTCCCTCTAAAAGTAGGTACAGAGTAAGAGAGGGTGCTTGATCGGTCTCTTTTGTGCTGCTGTGTAATTTGCCAACAAGTGTAGCACTCAAAGGAATAAATTGCTGCAGTGTGCCAGGTGGATGAATGGGTGAATCATTTATCTCCTGCTGCTAGAAGCATCTTGTAAAAATGTCTGGTAGAAAAATAGTGTACCTTTTCCAAGAGAGGAGGCGTATTCTCTGTGGAACAGCTACCACATTAGAGAGAGTGATGGAAGCTCTTTTTAGTTACAGTGGAGGGAACTTTTTGGATAAAATACTTCAGTTTGTAATATTCTGCATTAGTTTTCTTGGAAACTTTATGTCCACTGTGTAATTGTATTGCTCACTCTGACAATGCCTTTGTTTTCAGGTAGTCCACCGATTTCTTTGGGGTGACATATGTCATTATTTACAAAAATAAGATACCCCAGCCCAGCCTGTGTTGTGAAATCAGATACTCTAACTGACCTGGTTGTGACCATGTATATTATAGAGCAACTACCTGCATCAGATCCCCAGGGTTTTGATTGATGGTCCACAAGCCCATTAATGTCTCCAGCCAGGGAAATAGCTTCTTGAGGAAGATTGTGATTTCTTTTCCAATCCTGAGGGTGAGTTCAGTTTTCACCTGCAAGCCTTTTTTTTCACGATGGTGCTGTTTGTATCATTAGATACATCCATCCCAGGATTGCTAATAGGTTGCCTGCAAATGATGCAATTGAAATTCCACTTCTTGTAGTGCCTGGATGCAAGAAGAATATTGCTCCGGCTTCCTGATACAGAAAATAATTATGAAGAAAGACCATCTGGTTGTAGCTGAGAGACTTCTGAAATCTGAACGTTGCCTTCCCATATGTGCACACTTCATGTCTTGTGGGTTCTGTTTGTAATTGCAGGGAAAGTTGGATGTCTATCGCCTTAGCATTGAGCAACGAGTGTTTGAAATCATCAGTGAAGTGAGAAGAGAAGGAGTTGACAATATGATTAATCTGAAGAAAAAGTTTGCCTCCACTAAAAATAATGGTGACTTGAAAGAACATTTGTTTAAAGTAAGGAAATACATATGTGTCTTAGTAAACGAACACAGGATAATATCCTGCTTAAGCTTGCTGAAGATGGCTTAAGTTATTGCACTCTATTTGGGACACTGGTTGAGTGCCGAGCATGGAGGTGGTCCATTAGTAGACTCTGTTAATAGTTACTAATTTGTGAGGCTGTCATGAATCAGTCATTTTTGACTGTGTGTTTATACTCCAAGTGCAGAAATTTTGGGCCAAACCCAGCCCTTAGACTCTGAATATCTGCATGTATTTGAACTGAATTTGGTTCTAAGCTTAGGAACTCTGCTTTCAGTCTGTTCTGGGTGAAACTAACACCATGCTTTCTACAGGGAACAACAGAGAGGTGGAACTTGGATCTGAAGAAGTATAAATGCGAACTCAGAGTCAGTCATATGTCAGCATTGTCATGTGTTGTCATTGGCCCTTTTCTGAGTGGGGGAAGAGAATGTGTTGTTTCAGTGACCCTGATAAATGTCTTGATGGGAGTTTGATCTTCTTATTGTGCAAACTGGTCACATAAAAGAATGGGGGCAGAATCCTTTTTTCTACTTGGGGTTACTTAGAATCAAAAATTTATTCAGCTTTATGTTTTGAAAAAGTGCCCCCAAAACTGATGTTCTGGAGTTATAAACTAAAAACCGGAAAGTAATTTCCAGGCTACAACTTCCAAATCAATCCCTTTCATAGTCAAACATATCCCTCCTCAGCTAAGTTTAATTTGTACTAAAGTTATGGTAGTCATTCACTGAATACAAATGAGATCAAACGGATAATGGCTAAATACCTCTGTCTAAAGCAAATACGCCTGCAGATTTCTCAAGCAGAGAAGCTTGAGAAGCAGGATATAACTCTAATGCTAACAGTGAGAAGGGCTTTCCACACCCCCAGTGAACCTGGGGGATGGGGACACGCAGAAGTAAATGAGGTACTAGTGGAAATGGAACAGGTCCATGTGTGAGAAGGCTGCAGGGAGATTTCCACATCCCCACTTGGAAAGGACAATGTGCTGAGGCAGTGGACAAGGAGAGTGGGGAGCTTATGTTCAGTCAAAGGGCTCTGGTTTGAGCAGAGTCATGGAAACTTGGTGGGCTGGTGCACAGCATAGTCATGGGTGGTTACAGGATGTTGAAAAAGGATCAGCAGGGAAGAGGAGTGAGAATTGTGCTCTGTGTAAGGAGCTCATTCCCTGCACAGAGCTCTTGTATGAACATGGAGAGGTGCTACTGAAAGCCTATGAGTCAAGGTCAGAGGATGGAAGAACGTTAGTGATTATTAATGACCGTGGTGGGGTCTGTTACAAACTACCTTGTCCAGAGGATAAATTAGATGGGATTGCCTATAGAAAGCTAAGAAAAGTGGTTTTGATTTGAGGCCTTGGTGTTCATGCAGGTTTTATCCATCTGGAAATCTAATGGAAGGGGGACGCAGCACTGTGAAAACCTAGGCAGTTCCTAGACAGCACTAGTGATAATCATAGAATCACAGAATGGTTTAGGTTGGAAGGAACCTTTAAGACCATCTAGTTCCAACCCCTTGCCATGGGCAGGGACACCTCCCACTAGAGCAGGTTGCTCAAAGCCCCATCCAGCTTGGCCTTCAACACTTCCGGGGATGGGGCATCCACAGCTTCTCTGGGCAACTTGGGCTAGGGTCTCACCACCCTCACAGTAAAAAAATTCTTCCTAATATCTAAACTACCCTCTTTCAGTTTAAAACCATTATCCCTCATCCTATCACTACACTCCCTGATCAGGAGTCCCTCCCCATCTCACCTCTAGCCCCCTTCAGATTCTGGAAGGCTGCTATAAGGTCTCCTGGAGCCTTTTCTTCTTCAGACTGAACAACCTGGAGAACTCTCTCAGCCTGTCTTCATAGCAGAGGAGCTCCAGCCCTCTGATCATCTTCATGGCCCTCCTCTGGAATCCTTCCAACAGGTCCATATCCTTCTTATGTTGGGGGCTCCAGAACTGGATGCAGTGCTCCAGGTGGGGTCTCATCCTAAATAGAAATGCTAGAGGAGTCAGTCACGGTAAGTCCCCACTTTTGCTGCTCACAAATAAGGAAAAACTGGTGGTGAATATCATCATGGATGTATGTAATCTGAGGCTGCAGTGACTATGAAGTTATTTCAGGGTCAGGAGAAAGGTTGCAAAATTATGCTGCAGAGCTAGGACTTGGGACTTCAGGAGAGCAGACTGTGACTTATTTAGGGAATTGCTAGGCAGAATCCCTGGGAAACTGCCAAGAGGGGAAAAGTACCAAGGAAAGCTGGTTGATTTTTAAAGAGATTTCAAACCCAACTACCCTCTTATGTAAGAAGACCAGGGAATTTAGCAGAAACTTGGCCTTGCTTGACTCAGCAAGGAGATTCTTAAAGGACTAAAATACAAAAAGAGAGATTGCAAGTGGTGCAAACATGGACAGGGAACAGAGGCAGAATATCAGAGTTCAGACCCAGAGTGATGAAATTAGGAAGGCCAAAGCCCAGCTGCAGATAAAACTAATACAGGACACAAAGGGTATGAGGGTGAGTTGCAACTGAATGGTAGAGCTTCTGTGCAGAGACACTTCTGCCAGGAGGGCCAGGACCTCCAGCAGTCCTCTGGAACCTTTGTTTCTATGATTTTTGCATAATGAAACTGCTTTCCTCTGCCTTAAGAACAGTTTTCAGGAGGCAGTCTGCTATTTTGCACAAAGAAGAAAAAAACTTGACGACTATACTTCTCATGAATCTACCAATTTTGTCCCTATTAAAGACATTGTATTTAGGGTACACCAGGTTGCTGAATATGGTATGGACCAGAATCCCCATGTGGCATAAGAATGTTTACCTGCTTACTGTTTTGGACTAAATTTCTTCCATTTTTTTCCCAGTTTCTGGGCAATGTTCACATTTCCTGTTTCCCTGGAGACACAGTAATAGAAATTTATTGCCAAAGGCTGCACTGTTTCAAATTGCAAAGTTCAAGCATTTGAAAATTAAAATGAAATACAAATAGTTGTGTGCTTTTACAATTGCATTTACTTCCAAATCGCACGTTTCTTCCTGGAGAAAACAATCATTGCAGGTCTACTCTTACTGATGTCTTCTTTAGCAGGAACAGCTGCAGCTCTTGAGGGATGGCAATACCAGGCTAAGCAAGCTGGTTTGTAAGCTGATGGCTCTGAACTGTTGGAAGCAAATCACTCAGAAGGCACAGCTCTCTGCAAACCTTAGAGAAGGTGATATTTCCCCACCATTTCTTCTGTTATTAGTGTCTAATTTTCTGCAAAACTAATGGTCGGATTGGGCAGGCTCACTACTGCTCAGTGAGTCTATGGGATCTCACAGTAACTGCAGATTTTGGGTACAAATTCTAAACTTTCTTCTCTATATTATGGGTATAAGGGTGGTCTTTAGATGTGAAGAGCATGAAACTAATCCCTTGAAGCAAGAATCTAGGAAGTGAGAGTAGCCTGTAGTATGCCTAATTTTGTTGTTGAGTCAGACTAATTGTGACTTATAACAAACTCAACTATTTCACAACTGACCAAAACATATGTAAAAGAAGAAGGGCAGACATGAAGTGAAAATGAAGCCGACTATTGGCTTGGGAGGTGGCTGAGGTTTGTGGTGTTTTTTTTTTTTAAATTGGTATCTGCTTAAACAAAGCAGAACACAGCATGAGGTTATAAATTTAATTACAGAAATACAAGATGAAGCACAAAAATGACTAAATTAAACTAAAGTGAAGATGGATGGAAAGAAAAGTGCCTCACTGCTTTAAACGAGGCTGATTAGAATGGAACAATCAGGTTATTGATTGTTATACAGGTTAATTAGCTGCACATGTCGAGCAAAGGCAAGGCAGAATGGATCATATTTGTTAACTTAAAAGAGTGAAAAAACAAAATGGGTTTTGTGTGCTTGTTAATTTTAAGCCCAAATAAAACTGGATGTTGCATACGCTTAGTTCAGTTATATGAGCAAGATGCTAAACATTAGAATATTTTATTAAACAGATCAGTCAAAGATGGATTGAATTATTGCAAATGTGTGGATTTAAATAAGAAATAAGAGCTATCTTCACAGGCTTTAAAAGAAAAGCCTGAAACTGAGAAAAATAAATGGGAGATTTTGGCTTTTTAAATTTAGAAACTAGCTCATCTTGCTCAGACGGAGCTTTCTTGTGTCTGACTTTGCAATGATCCTGAAGATCTAAGAGCTTGTATTTCACTGTCCTCCACTCCAAGTGCAGCGGATCACGGACCTTGCTTTTTCCAGTCTACGTGACTGGGAAAAGAGAGAGGGCTGCTAAAGCTGTGCCTGACAGTAAAACGTATACACTTATTTATGTTTGTGTTTAAAACAAACAAAGAAGACCCCGCCCAGAAGGAAAAAAAGCTTCACCACACACATTTTTACTTTAGAGATAATGAAGCAATAAACAGATTAGTAGATGGACAGGTGTTTCTAATGCATAAGAAAGATCAAGATTTACATTGCTCTGAGCTTGTTTGCACACGAGAACTTGAATTGTTGACATGTGAGTGTAATTGAAGATGTCCAGTTGTACCCATATGAAAGATTATCTTACAGTTTTCCCTGTAGAAGACCCCTCTACTCCATCCTGTTCCCCACTTAGCCTTAAGGTGGCCCAGCCTTTATTAGAAAATAGGAGCAACTGAATCCCACTTTACTAAAAATCTCTGAGAGATTTACATTTCAAGAAACCTGCTAGTGCCATATAAAAGTGGCCATCATTGCTTCTGTTTCATACTTTCTCTTTACAGGAAGCTCTTCAAAATGAAGAAGAGTGTCTGAATGCTAAGATGATGACAGAACAAGAGGTGACTTCATTTCAGGGTCAGCTCACGCCTGTAAGGAAAGCTCTAGCAACCTCTCAAGCAGACAATGGCAAGCTAAAGAAGCAGCTACATAAACAGGTATTTGAATTCAGCAGCTCCTGATTCATCAGTGCAACAAGTTAAATTCTCCTCTCCATCTCACTTGCTTTAATGAGGAGTTTGCCTACTGTCATTCTAGGAGAGAAAGAGATTCAAAACTAACTGCATAATAGAGTTACTGAAGCTGGAGGTGGTTTTTATGTCACTGAAACAACATGTTTGTCTGAGTGTTTTCACCATTGCAGGTAGAGAGAAGTAGGGAAAATGTAGCATCTTGGATAAAGTTTGAGTCGCATCCCAAAACGACAGCTACAGGCACTACACAATCAACAGGGCTGCATGTATATTTTAGTAGAGGAAAAGACACACATTTTATTCCATGGATAAAATACATTACAGATCTTGAGGTTATTATTCTTCCACCAAATCATTAAATTTCAAGGAAACATTCAGGGGTGCTGTCATTAAATCCAGAACAAATATTCATTGGGGTTTTTTTCCCATCTGAACACCTTCATGGATATATCACTGCCCCAGCAAGCTCCCTTTCATTTCTACACATGGCTACACACGCTGAAATAGCCCATTCCTCAAAGTCAAATTGAAAAGCACACCCTTCACTTGCAATATACTTAGTGCCGAGGAACATGATTGTATGGAAAATAAGTCTTGTCAAACCAACCTCATTTCATTCTGCTGATAAGATTACAAGTTAGATACATAAGCATAATTCTAGAGATGTAATGGATATTTGGAAGGGCCTTGTAACACTTGAGTTAGCAGCACGTAACTTTTGTATTTTAAATGTTAGTATTACACAATATCAATAAAAATGCTAAATAGATTGAGAGCTAGATTTTTTGACATATAAAGATGTGCTATTTTCCTTAAATGAAGATGGTTTCTGATGGATTTCTATAAGGGTTGGTAGCAGAACTATCAGTATTGAACATTTTTGTCAGTGGCTTGGAAATAAATATAAAATTATAGATTATAAAATTTACCGATGACATATTTGGGGAGGAATGTTAGTGGATTTGATCAGGCACATTTAGTGAATACCGATGTGGGCAGAGCAGGAGTACAGAATCATACAGACAGCTTGGGAGCTTGGTTATCCCTCCAGGATGCATTGCAGTGCCCCAGCAGATGAAGGAGGAGAGGAAAGCAGGACTCATACAGAACAGGGAGACTGCATCCATCCCTGGAGATGTTCAAAAGACGGGTTGATGTAGTGCTGGGAGGTATGGTTTAGTGATGATGTTCCTTGTTTGTTGTGTGGGTGTCTATTTTTGTCAGTTAGGTTGACGGTTGGACAAGATGATCTTTAAGGTCCCTTCCAACCTAGAAGATTCTGTGATTCTGTGATTCTGTGATCCCTGAAGAGGACAGTGGTCGTTACAGGCAGACGACTGGCCATGGAGTGTGAAGCTTGGAAGGACTGGTTACAGTCTATAGATGGTTTTGTTGGGAGAGAATAGCAGATATTAAAGGGTTCTTGGGAAAGGTATTAACAAGAGGCCGTGCCTAGAAGTTAAAACTGAAAATGGGGAAGTAGAAACAATGTTTTCAAAGTGTGATTACCCATGGAAATGACAGTATGTCTGATCCAGTATCTTCAAGTCACGACCAGGCAGCTTTCTGGGAAATACTGTTTAGGCAAACCAACTTGCTCATTCCAATACAAGGGTAACTGAGGTAAATATGATATTAAAAAGTCACATCTGATGGCTCTATTGCTCCATTCTGAGCTTATTGATCTATGAAACTCCAAGCTTAGTAAAGCTTAGAGAGCTCCCTAACAGAAAATGCTTGGGCTGTGACTGCTTTTAGCCATTTGTATTCAGATTTTTCCCCAGCGTGGAGTTGCCTTTGGCTTTGGATAAATTGTCTTCACTGACAAGCTGTTAATTTACTTCCAAAAGACCCACTGCATCTACCATCCTTCTAGCAGCTGGTGGTGGTGGTTTTGTTTTAATTTGGTTTCTGACATCACCTTCTGGTTCTTTGTCTTCTTCCTAACTTCTTGGTACAGATTGTGATGCTGGTGTTTACAAACAGCAGACTCCATTCCCCAACCCTTAGCAGTACAGGAGGGTTTGACCTGATCTGCATGGCTTGTCACACCATTGCATTCAAATGTGGCACAGATTCTAAAATACTTACCGGCTGTCTCTACAAACCCAGTAAAACCAGTAATGCTTGAAAAAGCTGTGCTCATTTTCCCCCCTCTCCTTCCTTGTTTATACGTTGCTTTAAAAACAATTCCACAGGCAGACCAGAGGCTGGTTGCAGAAAGCAAATTACAGCAGGCTGAGGAAATTGGAAGCAACTGCCTTCTTGTTTGTTTGCAACTGAATGAGTTCTACACATGAATGTTGTTTTGAGGCTTCTCTCTCTAACAAGCAAGGATGTAAATCCAGCATTCTGGCCCCGCTCCCCCTTCCCCTTCCCTTGTGCTCCCCATTCCCACAATCCAGATTTTCTTTTGGGTTTAGGCCTGACTCTGGTCCTTTCATAAGATCATAGGGTAATTGAAATTTGTTTATCAATGTTTCATTATCTTCAGTACCAAGCCATGTGGGATTGGGTGTCTCCTCATTCAGCTCAGCTGGGCAGGACCTCTGAGGACTGACCATCAGGGTTTGGAAAGGAATCTAAAGAGGTGTCTGTGGGGACTGGAGGAAGGTAATCCAAGCCTGAAACTTTCATGTTGTAGAAACGAATGCTGTTGGAAGTAGCACAGAGGAAGACACAAAAAGTCAAGAAGAAACAAATACTCAGTGTGATGAAAGCTGAAAACACAGAGAAGATGCTTGAAGAGATGGAAGAAAAAGAGCTGAGTTTCTGATGCTTCTCAGGATCTTGCCGTTGAGCCTGGCTTGGTATCCCTGCTCTAGAAAGTGAGTATTACACTCCTTATTTTTGAGGTAAACTGCCTGAGGGTTTGTGTAAGGTGCTGGTGCAGTGGGAATGGGCTTGACAGAAGAAGCTGGCACCCCTAGGAGGATCAGGGGGCACAGCAAGTGGCTGGGCTCAGTGGCTCCAGAGGCATTAGCCAGCCACATCCCTGTTGGGATGTCTCCCAGCAGAGCCCCAGGCCTCTGCTGCAACCACCATCCTTGTCACTGGATTAAATGGGGAGCTTTGGAGCCTCACTGGGGTTCTGCCTCCCTGCTGGGGCCATGTTCCCAGGTCTGCAGTGCTTGTTGCTTTCCTGGCTCTCCCCGTGATACTCCCCAGGCAGGGCTTTGACACCAGCACTGCAGAGCTGACAAACGGCTCTCCTTTAGCTTTATCTGCTCTGCCTTTACCCTCTGCCCTTACCTCTGTTTCACATACATCACACCACTATTTCCCAAACTCTGGACTACCAAGTGGGAAGGGAACTGCTTTAATCCAGTCTGGCCACAGAAATGGCATTACTTTTCATTAAACTGATGCCATTGTACTGATGTATTGAGTTTAAATCTGTTAGTGCGTTGCTACTCATTGATTTAGTGTAACTGAGTAACCAGATCCGCTCTTAAGATTATCTTCCCGTAAAAGAGATTTAACTCCTTCAATTTAAAAACTGATTTGGCCAGGTAAATAGTCTCTGTGTTTAGCACAGCTCGTAGAGTGGGCTTTTGGCTGTGAAATGTGCAGTGCTGCTTTTGTAGCGTAGCCCACAGAACAAAATAGTGTTTGGAAACCACTTGATTAGCCTTTAACTAGATGTATCCATCTACTAACTGACAACTTTGGTGCCACTGAAGTCTCCTTGCCCTTGCTGTCTGCCTCTAGAGAGAAAAAAGCTTTGTAAATGTCTCTGAATGCCTCTCCTGTAAACCAAGCAGAGTATATTCTGTCTTCAATCTTCTAAACCATCAAGGTGAAAGCACGGGCTGTTTGTTTTCCAGAGTCAGGATGACAAATGCCATTCTGCTGGGAATAATTTCTCAGGCTGCTGGCATGTTTTCTAACCAAAATCATATAAGAGACTTTCACACAGCCAAAGCAGTTGGTGCAGGTAGGTAGGACCACTTGATTTCATTGGTATCTCTCTTTGATGGGGCTCCAAAGTGTTTTCCTGTGTTTACAAAATAACTCTTCAAGAGGTCAGAGAGGTTGACATCTGGAGCAGCCTTTAAGCAGAGTAGAAAAGGAAATGGCAACCGCAGTGTGCAGGCTTTATTGCCACACAACAGCCTCAGCTGCAGCTGGCACCTACACGGTCATTGACACTAACAAACTCTCTACATAAACTTAGTTAGCAATTACAGAGGCTGTGGGAGAGATGAGGGAAGAGCTGCTGGTTTTTTCCACATATTTCAGCCCTGAAAATGGAGACGGGGTCTTGTTGAATTAGGTTTATATGCAGAGAACAGTGAGAAAACACCTGTGTTATCTTTTTCTATTTGTGCTGTATTTTGCATTCAGAGGGATTACGGATATGTTAGCAAAACTGTAATTATGGATTATTTCAGCCAGCAAGAAGTGATGGCCTCTCATTCACAAGAGCACACAGGGCAACAACGTATTTTCCTTTACATTGAGGCCCCTGTTCTGAGGCAGAGCTGACAGGATGAATTTTTGTGGCTGCCGTTAATCCTTTTACCACCTTTTTAGCTAAGAAGCCAGTTAACCCAAGAGTGCAGTTTAAAATGGGAGGCCTTCCAGCAGGATGATGAACTGCAGTGTCAAGTTTATGACTTGGAAGCTGCAGTTTCCCAGAGGAATGTGACTGCAGGTAAAGACCTGCTCTCTTGGGGAAATAAGTCTTCTGAGCTACGTGTCCATGTCTCCCCATCCCTCCTTAACCTTTGAAGCAACAAGTAACTCAAGCCAAATATGAAAGAGGAGAAGACCTCCTCTGTAATGAAAGCATTTAGGTAGAAGAGTGGTCTTGAAGAGAAGTCAGACAACTCAAAAGCCATACGCCTTCCTCCACTGCAGCTGCTCAGGGAGCACAAGAAATGTGTTAGTAACTTTAAACCATAACTTGCATTGTCTTGTGCTTTGTAGGGATATCATAGGAAATGCAAGGGGAGCTGCATTTAGGGGAGGAGGCAATAGGAAATGAAGGATCCCAAGAGGTAGGAAATCAGGCTTCATTAGTGGCTCTGGTTCTGGAACCGCTTACTCACAAATCATGTGGGGTAGCCAAACAAGACTAAGTCAATTAGATACCTGGTACCTTTAGAGGATCTCAAAACAGCAGTGAGAGCTTTCTAGCCTTTAACTAAATTAACCTGGACCATAAACCTTTAACAAAAATCTTTCTTCTTGTCTGTTTGTTAGGTAACTTTTTAACATAATTCATGGAGCTTGGAAAGCTTGATCAGTGATTTCTGATCCTACCTGCCTGAAGTTGCTGCTTTTACCTGTGATACCAAAATCCTACTTTTTTTTTGTTCCAAATGTTCCAAAAATTGATGTAGGAAAGGGGGCAGGAGGGAGGTATTTAGTTAGCAATGATCCAGGAAAGATTTTATTTTTTTTTTTATTTATTTAGTACCATGTCATGGTTGGTGATGCTTTTTATGTGTTACTTATGCTTCCAGGTGCCTCTCAGATGGAGGGAGGGAATGGCAGACGGGCTACGACCACACCTCACGGAAAAGTCTCTTCCTGCTGTCCTCACGCAGCTCCAGAAACAAAGGCTGGTCCAGAAGTAAACCTAAATCAGTACAGGGCATTTTAGGAAAATGTCACTGAACTGGCAACCTTGAAATAAGAAAAGGACCATTTATATCCAAATGGAAGGGAGGCAGTAATACTCCATGCTGTGCATACATCAACAGATTTGGATGCAGCGTCCCATTCCAGCGGCTGTCAGTTAATCTGCTTATCCATTTTAGGTACTGGCTGATGCAGATCCTCCCTTCAGCGAGCGCAGCACAGTACAGGCAAGGATATCAGTCAAAACTAAAAGGTTTCTTTTTATTGTGGTAACCTTGGAACGTGATGGTGCAAAGCCTTGCTAAGTGCTTACAGCAAAAGCACTGGGGCTGGTGTTGGGTTTTTTTTGTTGTTGTAAGTTTTGTTTTTACTGCTGTCCTCCTGCAACCCCTGAACACCACATCCTGCCCAGCGCAGTGCTCTCACCCCAGGGGCTGCTGCCTGTGCACTGAACTTCTCTTGCCTGTTTAAAGATGACTCATCAAATGCACCAGTGTCTCCACCTTCCCCAGCACCTTCTCTCCCCTCCCCCTAGAAGAGGGAAGAAGGGCAGCTCCTTGCACAGTGCTAGAGTAACTAAGAAAATGGCGGGGGGGGGGGGGGAAGAAAAAAAAACTAACTTTTTCCTTTTTGCCT